CAACTCTGGTCCGATCTGCGTGAACCATCCTCTTCTAACTATGTCAATCCTCTTCCAAACAAACATCATCGGCCAAAAAAAACAATATATATATATATGACGGAATAATTTTGTTAAAAAACGTTCTACTTAATAGAATCAAGTATCAACATAACTCTTAAAAATTTCTAACCACCGTACAAGACAATCATGGACATTGACCAAAAAATAAAACCGAATAACGCATTCATACCCGCTTACAAACGTCCAACAACAAACGCTCAAAAATCGATCCTATTTCCACGACGGTGCAGAAATCTTCAATGACGATAAAACCCGCTGGAACGATGAAGAGAATCTTCAAAAAATATTATACACGATTTGATATAACGGCCAATGATCTCACGTAAATTTATTCCGTGATTTTAGGCAACGTATCAGCAAATCTCAAATCACGTATTAAAGGAAATAAATGCCGTTTAATAATAAAACAGGGGTATTAAAGGGAAATTATATAATATATTTTGCCAAGTTGGCAAAATTGGGTGTATCTCAAAAAGGGAAAAAAAAAATTGGATCTACCTAATATTTTTTGCTAAATTAAAAAAAAAAATAAAATTAAACAATTAGATTTTCTAATTTGGAGTGCATTTCATGACCTTTTAGATTTACCTAAAAAAAATGTATCAAGAACTTGTCGAATGTTTGTCTCCAATGCTTATCATTATGCACACTCAAATAATAATCATAAAACATTATTATAATAACAAATATATATAATATATATGGTTTAATAATAACAATTTGTACATATAAAAAATAACATATATGATTACACTTCTCGTTCTGTGACAAAATCAACCCCTTCTCTCTCTCTCTCTCTCTCTCTCTCTCACACACACACACACACACAGAGTGTATATGTATATATGAATAAGGGTTTGTCTAGTAGCTATATAATTTATATGGATTCACGTGCGTTGTTGTCAACCCCATTAATTCTGGCAGCTCTTTTCAAATTTCCCTTTACTCTCTTTTCACTTTCCTCCATTTCCATTTTATTTTTCCTGTCTGAATTAATAATATTTCTTGTGTGTTCGTCTTAATTCAATGGAGTTAGCTTTGAGCTTAGGTCATCAAACCCCAAAACCCAATATTTCGTTTCTTGATCAAAAGAAATCCCAGAAGATCGTCGGCGATGATTTAGGGTTCTGCATGGCGGTCGGTACTAGTACTGGTAACGACGGCGCCGGAAGACGTAAGCAAACCGGGTTTTCCGATGGTCAAATAAGAAGAAGAACAAGTTCGTCAGATTCGCCGCCGGTTCAACTCGATCTTCTCCCTTTCTCTCCGGTTAATTACAGAACCCAACCTTCTTCTAACAAGTTATCTTTCCCTTGGCTTAATCAAAACTGTAAGTACCGTTGAAACTGATTCACCATACATATTATATATTATATATATAAATATTTTTTATTTTTGTTCTGAAAATGAAGTTGTTTGATATATTCCGACAGTGGGTGCTGAAGTTGTAGGAAGAGGGATGGAAATTAACCTTAAAAGAAACGAAGAAGCAATATTATTACAAGGGGCGTCAAATAATAATAATAATTCATCATCGTCTCCAAATAGCAGCACAGTTTCTTCGTTTCAGATGAATTTCTCAGTATTCAGACCAAACTCAGCAATCAGCCGAAAGAGAGGTTTTGAAAAAATCGCAGAAAATAATAATAATATTAACAGCTGTGAATTATTAGGTGAAGCAGATCGTATTAGAGGAAGCGACGACGACAACGACAACGACAACGACGAAGATGAAATCAATGGCAATAATAATAATAATATGTCAAGAAAAAAACTGAGGCTCACGAAAGAACAGTCTGCCTTTCTTGAAGACAGCTTCAAAGAACACAACACCCTCAATCCTGTAAGAATTTGTCCTAGCTAGTGTGTGTACTGTTTGATATCTTCTTGAATTCGTTACTTAATTAATTAAAAATATATTTTTTCAATTTTAGTAGAAGTAATTTTATAAATTGGTAATATTGTAAATGCAGAAACAGAAGGTAGCTCTTGCAAAGCAGTTGAATCTTCGTCCTAGGCAAGTTGAAGTATGGTTCCAGAACAGAAGAGCCAGGTACATACATATTTTAATTTTATTTTATTTAATTAAATTTTATATTTTTCCTATATAACAAAAAAAAAAAAATTGGCACTGTATATATGTATAGTAGTCTCTTGAATCTCGTGACAATAATATATAGTAAATAATAAATGAGACAATTATTCGGTATGCATTTATGATGGGATGTAATAACTAATAAATATGAAATGAAAAATTGGCAGGACAAAATTGAAGCAGACAGAGGTAGATTGTGAGTATTTAAAAAGGTGGTGTGAGACACTGACACAAGAGAACAAAAAATTACACAAAGAGTTGTCTGAATTAAAAGCACTTAATTCTCACCCCAACAGCTTCTTCATGCAACTTCCTCCTACTACCCTCACTATGTGCCCTTCTTGTGAAAGGGTGGCCCCCACCACCGCCGCCGCCGCCCAATCTCCGGTCACCGCCACCACCGCCGCTGCTTCTAAACACTTTTCACTTTCACCTTCTCATATTGCTCATGCCCAGCATGCTTCTTGATTACCACTAGGTTTAATGATAATTCAAACATTATTAGCTAGAGAGACAGTTAAACAGATTTTTTATTTTTTTAATTTTATATTTTATAATTTAAATGTGTATATATTGTAGTTGGGATTGTACAATATATCCCATGTTTTTTGTTTGACTGATTTGTTGATTTGTAATGGGATAATATATGCATGATTTTTTGTTTGTGGAAGAGCACTCATAGTTTGACTAATTAAGATTATTATCTTGTTAAATTTTAGGCCAAATTAATTAACTACATTCTTATTTACTACAAGAACAATGTTGTAGTAAATTGAACTTTGAAGTAAATTTTCAAGAATGAAGTTAATAAATACCCACTTTAAATTATTCAAAATGATTACTAATTAAATTAAATGGGTAATGATTGTTAAATTTTCAATGGTTTTAGAACTACATATATCAAAATGTCATGATGATGTGAACAGAACATTGATTGATCAATTTATTAGGGTTTTTTGAACTTTTTTTGGCTGCCAATATAGACCAATGCAATTTTCACATGCATGATTGATCTGGTTATTATTATTTAATTTAATGGAATTTTACCATTTATATTCTAGTCAATTACGATTGTTGAATAGCAATTTTAGGCAAATATATATATAGAAGAAAGTGCTTTTATCTTGACCAGAAATTAAAATAGATAGTAATTAATTAAAGACCAAAATATTATATTTAGAATCATTAATCTTCAGTATGTATCTATCATTTGCTTACATGTTAATGTTGTAAGAAACTAAGAATAATTGCGTTTGGATATGATTAAAATAAAACAATTAAAACGTAGATCCTGTCAACTAAAAAATACTAATTATATTTCAGTATTGACTTCAATTTTTGAGGCACGTGACACTGTGTTGAGGCGCGCGTGCTGATGATGTAATCTTGTGAACATTCAACATGCTCTCCTTCAATCATTATGCTTTCGTGACTTGTTTGTGAAGAAATTATTGACATAATATATATATGTTATTTTATTTTATTTTTTTTAATTAGTAAACTTAGTAACATCCACACTTGTATCATTTTTATTTGTTTATGCCGCCAACTCGAACGTCAAATATTTTTCTATGTACAATTTTTAATTGGTCAAATTAATTGTTTTTTTTTTCTTGTCCGAAACAATTGCCTCTTCATATTAGGGATATATATTGTAAAATTAACAAGAGATAAGGATATTGTAATTAATCTCAAGGCCGGAGAAAATATATTGTCTCCCCAAAAAACAAAAGGCCACGCAAACTATAATATGACTCAATGATTTATAGTACGAGGATTTGAAATAAACATTGATCACTATATATATATATATATATATATATATATATATATATATATGATGAAGCCTGCTAAATGATCTTAGCTAACAATAATAATAAAATGGAAAATGAGCTAGACTTGTGAAGGAACAAAGAGAAGTCTAAGATGAAGGAAAGTCCGATCGAAAATGAATTCAACTGTCTTAGGAGACCTACAAAAATATAAAGGATTGCCGGTGATAGTTTTTCCGGTTCTTGTACTTTAACGAATAAGTCAATCGAGTCGAGTGGAGTAGAAAACGATATATATCTATTAGAGAGGTAAACAATGGTGTATTGAAATTGAACGCAATATATGGGTCAAGTAGGAACCATGTCTTATCAAGCCACGATGCATGTGCATAGAAACAAGGCTTGCTGCAGCGAGCTCATTTTACCTATTGAACATGATGTACTTCCCGATCTCTCCGCGACCTAGGTAGCTCCTATTTGTGGTTTGCTCTAACTGCCCTAAGCAAGTTCGCTGTTAGTTGGTGTGATCTCTTTTCAGCCTACGTCACGCTGCAGGCTTTCCGTCATTGTTTACGACATTTATCAGTTGAAGTCTGCGCGGCCTTTGTACTTTGTGTAAGGCTTTTAATTCAATATGTGTATCTGTGCAATTGAACTCGTATCAATATACGTATATGGCATGCTTATAAAACGAAATTCATTATAAGTATTTGCCAAAAATCGTTAAATGTCGATAAATCATAACTCAAACGACCATGGGTCGTCGTATCTTATATTATTAGTAATTTACTTTTAATATTTCATAATAGTACATACATCATTGTTCTTATGCAGCAGAAGGTTTCCATGAAAGCATAAATTAATTTTAAATATTTGTAATTGGTGTTAATATAATTAATTATCACAAAACATGTTGTGGGTTTTACTTACATGATTGCTTATAGGAATGAATAATGATTGTGTCTTAGATTTATGTTATTCCCATTTGGGTTTGAATAATTTGGGATTATGATTCAGTCAAGCTGACCATGCATTCATTTATAATTAATTAACTATTCAACTCATTAAATAATTATTCATGCATATTACTTTTTTAATGATATATGTCGGTGGGTCTTTTTTCCTTCTAAAACGGATAATGGATCTAATTGGAATATACTATTAACTAATGGGCCTATATTAATCCTATATATTAATATAGGCCCCTTCTTAAACAGTTGCATTTCTACCCAATGGGCTTTAATATTAGTTTAGGCCTGTTTACTATTTTCGTCACAATATTATGTTGCAATAGCAAGTTTATCCCTGAGGTAAAGTCAAATTATGAAAAGGCCCCTTATGTTTGAATAATTATAATTACGCCTCAACTATGAATTTTATTACACGTCAACCCTTGCAGTGTTAAATTTTGTGAAATCTTCTCGATTATATGAAATATTCTCCAGTTTGTAACCGTTTAACCTCATTCTAACTCCACACACGATGATCATAAGAGGTGTTCTTGGCCTTATAAATATCAGATTTTTGTGCATCATAAACTTCATTTTTGCAAAAAACGAGTACAAACTAGAAAATATTCCTTACACGGAATCAAGAAGGTTGTGTTGAATTTTACATCATAATGATGAACGTGTATGGAGTTTCATAGTTGATGAGTGATTGTAATTACTCGATGGTGAGTGGTTTTTCGTAATTCGACCTTACACGGATAACCACCGTTATTTACCCAAAATTTAAATTATTATGAAACCAGCCGACAGTTTTGGCGTGATGGCAGTTAAATTATTGAAAATAAATCCAAATAATTGTCAAAGCATCCCATGTGAAAAAAGGGATTAAAAGTGCCAAACTGCGTATTAATTAACATATTATATTCATTAATAGCTCAAAAACAGCTTACTGTAAGTTCCAAAATTAAAGTCTTTGTCCAGACCAAATCTGCACCGTTGGATCTGATCTTAGGCATTTAAAAATAGTAGTTTCTAAGGAACATCAATCATAGATAATGTGATAGAATGATAGAACCATCCTACTCTTATCAAATTCTTTAATCAAAATCCGACAAAGATGTAATTAAAATAAGAGAAAGAATATTTACCATACATTAATTTAATTTATTATTCTCGAAAACCGAAAAAAAATAATTTAAACATTTTACATATATATTTCTAAATAAACATTCTTGTACCAAGAAAGAGACAGAATAACTGTGTCCCCCTCTCTCTCTCCTCATCATCACTAATCTCTCTCTCTCTCTCTCTCATAATTATATATATATAATAATAATATATACCTTTATATAAATAAAAAACACTATTTCTTGGATCTTCTCCAAGGTTGTTCTATATGTGTCTATATTCTCATCAAAGTGAGGTAATTTAAAAAAAAAAGTGTAATGCACATTTCTTTAGGCTCATTTGACTGTTTAATTACCATATAGCCTTCTCTTGTGTGAGTATTTATTTACTCGGGAGCGTTCAATCACGACCACACACACTCACGGTGAGAATGTGTGTGATGATCCAACGGCTGTAAACAATGTTCGTTTAATTTACCTCCGATTTTGCTGCTTTTGATGATGCAGTTTCACCAAAAGTTCTGCGTAGAGAATCTCGTTCCACGTATCGGGCACGCCAGGTAAGCACCAATGGCTACAATCTTGGAAACTCAAATCAGCAGAATGTTGCTTTCGGAAGATTGACGGATGCCCGTCTTTTCGATAATCCGTCATTCTTGTCACGTTTAAATAAGTCACCTTGGTTTTCATTCCTTTCAAAACTTTCTCCAAAATTTGCATTTTTGAAGGGTAGTGTGAGAGATATGTGTCGTTTTTTATTGGCTCCGTTTCGTGGTCACATTGCCCACCGGAATTCCACTGCCCGCCACTGCACCAAAATTAATTAAAAATAAATAAACATATTAATAACAATATAGCAATTATGCGGGGAAAAAAAAAATCGAATCTTTTTCTTTTTTCTTGACATCGAATTTATTACCTAAAATGAGAGGCTGAATAGCCTCTGAAGAAAACATGGGATTTCATCGGATTGACGTTTGCATCGATCCATCTTCCCCATGTTGTTAAAGCTTTACGAAAAGCTTCTAGAACGTTCAAATCACTATACACATGGCTGCCTTCTTGATAATAGTCCTTCCTGCAATAATTACATACTTATTCAGCACTAATTATTAAACTAATTTATCGATTACTTTCGGACTTGTACTAATCTTTTTACCCCGTGGAGGTCTTCTCGTGAGTCCACCAATGTCCAGTATTGAAAACGATGACATCAGCATTCTTATATTTATCGGCAAATCCGTTGACTAAATCGAGCCGAAGTGTTTCCTTTTTCGTTCCGTTTTTTCCCTTTGATTCCCATTCTTCGACTAGGAAGGGAGATACAAAGAACTCCACCCTGCATTTATACTCCTGTATATATATACGTAGAAGATTATACGAAGTTTAGAAGACGAAATGCAAATCGACTAGGGATTAATAATTAACACCGATGAAGACACGGAAATTTACTTCAAAGACGAAGGAATAAGAAGCCTCCGCTCGAAAATGGTGCCTCCCAAATTCCTCGTAGACTTTCTTCTTATCTTTAACAGAGTTCCTCAGTATGCAAATAAGAGATTCCCACATATTTCTGTTGAGAGAATCCCCGACGAAAACGAGTCGTTTCTCTCTCAACAATTCCAACATATGACCTCCATCCAACCTGAATATTCAAGATTGTAAGTTTGATAATAATAATATGCCCACAAATTTATCTGTTTAGAAAGACTACTAACTCAAAATTGACTAATCTAACCCCTTGTTGCTACAAGATTATTAATAACATTAAAAATTTGAAACAAGTCAAATTAAAGAACTAAATTCTTGAAAATTGCCAGTAAGTATCAAACTTATGGACCAGTTCAACTCACGATAAAATATTTAAAATATACATACGTAAATATGTATGTATATAAATTACCTTGGGAGAGTGCAGGCCTTTGGCTTCCATTTGAGTTTGTGGTAGCCATTATCAAGGCGGCCATTGGCAAAGCAGTTGAATTGATCATCAATTAAAGAACAAGAACCTGGCTTGTACAGTGGATAAGATTCATCCTTCACCCAATTCCCATCAAACAAATCACAATTCAAAAGTGATTTCACCAGTTCATCAATTCCTTGTTTCGCAGTAGCATTACTCTGTTTCTTCATCAGTGAGGAAGTTAAATTCTTCACAGTAATACCCTTCTCTCCAATTCCCTTCCCTCCAATTCCAGCAGTTGTATTCTTCTCTGCAGTTGGTGTAGTACTCTGGTTTCCCTTCATTAAACCTTCACTGTGGGTGTTGTTTTGCTTCTTAAAGACTCCATTTTTATCACTCAACTGCTGATTTTGAGTCTGGTTCTTGGAATCTGGAGACCCTTTGCTCAACTCAGAAGAGGGTTTTGGTGGAGCAGCAGTAATATTATTTACAGAAGGTAAAACAGTGGAATTGGGTGGTTTCAAGACTTGATTTTTATTTGTCTGGTTTCCGACAAAGGAATTGTTCAGAGATCCAGGATTGTGGGATTGAGGAGATGAAGCAGATGAGTCATCTGGGAAGAAGTAGTAATATATTGAGGAGAAATGGGATCTGTAAGAATAATCAGATGAGGAATTAATGTTTGTAAACCATGGGGAAGAAGGGTTTGAAGAAGGGCTGAAGGCGAGAAAAACGGAGAAGGCAATGAAGAAAAAGATGAAGGCGTAAGCAAAAGCAATGGTTCTTCTTGGTCTGAAGATGGAGAAGTGGGTGTTGAAGTCTGAGATCAAAGTGCCGCCATTAATGGGTGCATACTTTGTTATCCCTGCCATGTGGCACTGTGTGTTTTTTGTGGCAAATTCCCAGAAATATATGAGTGAGAGAGAGAGAAACTTGTTTGTTTAGAGAGAGAAACAGAGATGGAGAGAGAGAGAGAAACTGGGAGAGGAGCACTTTGGAGTTTTTGTTGAAAACTTTCATTTGTGAGACTTCTGTTAAGAGTGCTGTCTCTGTGTTAGAGAGAGAAAGAAGAGAGAGAGAGAGATACAGTTTGTGCATGTGACTTATCATTAAAGGGTAAAGATAAATTAACGGATGACAATTATGTATTAACACTTTCGTAAAAATTTAATTTAATTTAATGCCGGAAGAATCAAAATTTCGAATTTTTGGAATGAGAAAGTTTGTTCCTGAAATTGGAATTATTCCGATAAGATCTAAGAAAAAGAAATAAATTAATTATTTATTTACTTATAAGTTACTATAGTAATAAAAATGATATTATAAGGTGTTATATTCGTGTTGGGATATTTGGGGAAAGGCCAATTGGGAAATGTGTCGGTGTGCTATAATTGGTATTTGTATATTTTTTAATTTGTGAAAAAACAATATTTGAAGAAAGATAATATTAAATTAAATTAAATGTAAAAATACAAAAAACAAAAGAAAACATTCCATGATACAGTCCCTGCTTTCATGCGTTTACCGGCCCAAAGCGGAAGTTAAGTTCACCGCGGCCTTTTTCTTTTCTTATTTTCCAGAAACGCCCCTACAAATTGCAGTTAATAGCGAAATTGCCACCACCGTCAGGCTGGGTTGGAAAGACAGACCAGGGATATGGTGCCACGTGTACACGCCTCAATTTCCACCTATTACATACTGGAATTCCACTTGCTCATCCCCAAACGGCCCACCGTTCATAAATTCCTTCCAATTGTGCATTTAAGGTAAATTACTCTCACCACTAATACAAACTTAAATTATGAAAAATCCCTCGGGATTAGTTTATTACTCCATCCGTTCCGTTATAGTTGTCGTTTTAACTTATGCACAAGGATTAAGAATCTCAATAAATATTGCTTAATTTTAGAAAAATATATGTTCTTATACTAAAATGTCCTTGTCAATAATTAAAGTGAGAGAGTGTTGGAGATAGTTAATAAAGGTAAAATTGATAATTACACAATTAATGCAGTATTGGAAATGTAAAGTGACAGATAATATGGAACAAAAATAATTTAAAAAAGAGATGGTTATTGTGGAACAGATGGAGTACAACTATTTCTCAATTATAATTTTTCTTACATTTTTATTATTGAGGTGTAAGAAATTTAGTGTAATATTTCTAAATTATGTGGAATATTCTTCAGTTTGTGCGTGTTTTACCTCATTCTACCTCCACATTTTGAAATAAGATGATCATAAGTATTATATTGTGGTGCATCAAAAACTGTTTTTTTTTTTTGCACGAAATAAGTACAAACTATAGAACATTTCACATAATCTAGAAAATTCTACCGAATTTGACACAATGAGGGTGAATACGTAAGAAAATTCATAATTGATAGATGTGGCTGTTATTACCCAAATAAAAGAGGAATTTTCGTAATTTAACTTTACATCAGAGACAGTGAAAAAAGTTTGTAACAATTGCATTGAAGATGTATTAAATGGAGAAATAAGTTTATTGGTGCAACTATGAGGAATAACTAAAAGATAATTAAAGTGAAATTAGGTGGTGATGTGTCACACACTATGGTGTGTGGTGTGTGGTGTGTGATAAGTAGTTTCCTTTTTTATTTCTTGGGTGGGTCGCATGTGTTGGAAGAACAATTTATCTCATTTAGCAGGACCATTAAATAAATAGTTAAAAGGGTAAAAACAAAATAAAATAAAAAATAAAAAAATAAAAAAAAATAGAATAAAAGTGGTTCAAAAAGGCATAAAATTTCCGTGTGGGACCTTACTATTATTGACCCAATTACATTTCAGATCCGTACACCCGGAATTAGTTATCGACCTAAGTCGTGTCAACGTTACCGTAGACGCATTTGTCTTCCCTCTTTTTAATTAATAATTAATTGATTAATTATTAATTAATTAATTAATTAATCTAATCCCATATTAGAGAACCCAATTAATTTGTTAGAATACATAATTTATTCTAACAAACTGATTATGAATAATTTAAAGGATAGTAGTATTTATTAGCTTTTGAATTAATAATTAACTATATCGGAATATTAGTTTAATCATTTGCGTTTGATATATTTTATCTCATTGCAATTGAAAAAAAAAAACAGAGAGAAAACAAAGAAAGGGGGGAATTACAACGTTGGTGTAATGTACCTTTCTTAATAAATTTACAGATAATACCACATTAATTGAAGGGCCCAATTGCAATAAAAACAAAAACAGTCATTGGTGCAAAATAATTGATTATAAATTTGAAAACATAGAAAAGATCGAATAATTGCAGACCGTGGCCGGCCGGTTTAATGAATTTGCTGTTTCGGTAACAAGAACAGTATATATATATTCATTTTCGGCCTAGTTTCTCTTTGCTGTTTCGTGGACCTCACGCGCTTATTAAAGTCATTGTAAATTTATGAATTATGAGAAAATATAGTATTTAATTTCATTTATTAAAATTGGGACCTATTTAATTTAATTAAAAGTCGTATCCACTTGATTATTTCCCACTTCCCAACAACTTTAGCTCCACCGACTGCATATTAGTGTGTGTGTGACCATACGAATGACACTTGTGGTTTTGTTTTGTTAGACCAATGACACCTATTTTCTTAATAATTTTTGTATGCACACAATTAAAAAAAATTATTTAAGAATTTTTATTAAATTAAAAGAAAGAAAAAAATAAAATTAGAATGAGGCCCAAGTTCATAAAATGGGCCTAAGGAATTTAAGTATTATTGGACTGGATCCTAACATTTTTGCAGCTGGACTTAGTTAAGGCCCAAATCGGATGGATAAGGTTTTCTTCCTCATCAAATAATATTATAATAATACTTGTCTGAATCAGCATGCCTTCATCTTATCTACTTCATTCTTCATTGCATAATTTTTTTGGTAATTTACGGCCACACCCTAAGGTAAGGTCATATTATAAAAATATCTCTCATGTTTGAATAACTACAAAAACCTCCCTTAACTATGAATCGTTTACACGTCCACCCTTGCACTGTCATATGTAGTGGAATATTCTTCAGTTTGTACCCGTATTACACCATTCCAACTCTATATTTTGAAACACGATTATCATAAGATGTTTCTTTTGAGTTGTAAATATCAAATTGTGGTGCATCAAAAACTGCATTTTTTGCACAAAACGAGTACATACTAGATAATATTCCACTTAATGTAGAAAATATTGTTGGATTTCACACTACGAGAGTAAACGTGTAAAAAGATCAAAAATTAAGAATGTGATTGTAACTTGTAATTATCCAAACAAAACAGTTATTTTTCTCTTCATAATTTAACGTTACCTCGGCTCACGATTGACCATAATTTACCATAATTAAAACTTTAACATTTCATATTGATACCATACCATGAATAATAAATCTTTATACAATATATATAAAGTGGAAAATATTCATATTTTCCGTTGCTGACACATTTCTTTGTGCAAACGAAAAAAAAAAAAAAAAGAAAAAATATCTTATCTTTATAAATTGGTCTTCTGTTTCTGTCAACAGAAACAAAGAAAGAAAAGAAGAGATATTATAGACATGTCAATACTATTACCAAATCCACACATTTTGTACAGAGAAATCTACCAAAAGGAGCCCCAGCAGCAACAGCAGACCCGGAGATCATACGGGTCGGGTTCAATCCTAGCCCCCAGACAAAACGGGTACGGGTTTGATGATCGGAGCAGAAAGGAGTTGTTGTTGTTGAGAAGAAAGAGAGATATAATAAGGGCATCTGCATTCTGGTCATCATCAGAAATATCGAAGCCATCTTCAATGGAGATGGAGAATATTCTAGATTCCCAACAACTTGATCAGATTCTTGACACTGCTAAAGACATCTCTCAACCCATCCTTATTGATTGGTCAGTCAGTATTAATTACTCATTCTTGCAAGAATTATATGATGAATTTTGGAGGCAAAATGTAGTTATGCATTATGTCTGAATAATATTGAAATTAAATAGAAACCAATAATCCAAAAATTGAAATTACTTATTCTATTTAATGTATTTGGACAGGATGGCAGCCTGGTGTAGAAAATGCATATATTTGAAGCCAAAAGTGGAGAAATTGGCTGCTGAATATGATACCAAGTAATTAATCGGCTGCTCTTTTAATTAATTAACTAGTCATCTATATATGATTCTAACTATATTGCACATTGTTCTAATTACAATATATCTATATGTTGGTTATAATTTAATATTTACTTATACATACATACATACATCTATATATAGGCTGAAATTTTATTGCGTGGATGTGAATAGTGTGCCGCAAGCATTAGTAAAGCGTGGAAACATCTCGGTATGTGTATATAAGTTTGATTTTCATAAATCGTTTCAAATTCGTTTATCGGCAGTTAGTTTAACTACATAAGTTACTAACGAGGATCGATTTTTGTTGTTGTTGTGCCGACCCTTTGTGCAGAAAATGCCGACGATTCAGGTTAGAGACTCATTTTTGCCATTATGGAATTATTAAATAAAGTACATGATAATGTTTTTTTTTTGTTTTTAATGAGATGTATATATATATATATATATATATATATATATATATATATATATATATATATATATATATATATATTGGCAATATGATGCAGATATGGAAAGATGGAGAAATGAAAGCAGAAGTGATTGGAGGGCACAAAGCATGGCTTGTTATTGAAGAAATCAGAGAAATGATCCAGCAATTCTTGTAATTAATTATTCACTTCAAAAAACAAAAAAAGAAAAAGAAAAGACAAGCTTTTTCCATTGTATGATTTTTCCCTTTGTATTATATGGCATTTGCCTGCAAAATTATGAAAAGTTATATGTATAATGTGTAAATGTAGGACAGAGGCTTGTAAATACATACAAGTTCGATTTGGTAATATTGCAACCTGTCTACAATCTACAAGTAGAAACATTCACAGTTTTTGTGTCATATCGATTATTTATGGTACGAACAAAATGGTATTCAAACAGTCGCTTTGGCCGAGTGGTTAAGGCGTGTGCCTGCTAAGTACATGGGGTTTCCCCGCGAGAGTTCGAATCTCTCAGGCGACGATCATTTTTTTTTTCAGTTTTTCTTTTTTTTTTTTCTTCTTAATCTTGTCCATTCTTACATACTGGTCATAGTTTGAATAGAACCAATTCTGCACATATCAAAACCTTTTCTTTTGCAATTCTATCTGGGAATTGTACATCGATGATAGTTATCTCCTGTATCATTCAAAATCGAGATTTATAGCTGGCATTAAAGAAGCTGGTAATCTCAAATTAACATACGTATAGAGTAGCAAGTTGTTAGCAAGTCGAACAACTAGTACAAAGACGAGAGCACCACCATTCAATCAAATTCACAAAACACAATCAAACCTTAATCGGTAAAATCGAAAACCAAACATATAACAAAAATAAAATTTCCAATCCTCATCGAATATAATGTTCAAACATAAAGATGAATGAATGACGAGCGAGTTTTGCTGAAGTTTCATCAGTCTTTAAATCGACTCAACAGCACCCACATAACTAGGGGCTTGGTGACCGACCAAATACTTCAAATTATATCCCATGATACTTGCAGTAGAATGAAACATAACAAAGTTCTACAAATTAGATTAAAAACGAGTAATTAATTCATATTCCAAAACCGAAAACTCCGCGAATTCTGTGGAATATAAGATCTCTCCATCCCCTCTCCGTGTTTTCCACCACTGTCGCATTCCCGTATCTGCATCATTGTCACACACAATCACATTTCATTTCACTGCCTAAAACTTACATTAGTTACATATGGACAAGAAAAAATTAAAATACGGTATTGATGAAGAGAAACGAACCTGTCTTCCTCAGGTACATCAGTGTGTGTAAGCTTGACAACTGTCGTCCCGGAATTGGGCTCCTCGAAAGTTAGCCGAACCTACATTATTATCATATTGATATTTCCCATGAACAAATTGCTTCTAGAACAACTTACAGAATCAAATAAACTATTCCACCAAAGATTATAACAGATTCACAAATTGCAACCAACTTTTTCATTAACCAACGATTTCCCACACGCACTACCATTCGTAGAACTAATTCGAACACCCAATTCCCCATTTAGGTTAGCTAAATCTTCGTTCTTCCTTTCTTTTATTATTTTTATTATCTTTTATTGATTTCCAGCTATAATTCCAAACACATTAAATGATTTCAAGAACCTTGAATTAGAACTAAACCAGCAAATTACGTTCCACGGCAATGTCCCGTATGCACTAACATCTACACTGAAAAATCAGCCGTATATTAGTCCGCATTGCAACGACAACTTACATCCAAATTCTTCTAGAAAAGCACAATCCAATCACATTTTCAATATCTAACCACAAGAAATATCGACAATATAAAGGTTATATCCAAACATAATCAAACGCATCCGATTTGTTAGGCCTAATATGCAAATTTGTACCCATCCAACTGAACTACATCAACAAATCAAACACATATGCATATAATAAATCACATGTATTCACATCCCTAAAGCAATACACAAACCATGTTTAATCATAAATCGATTGATTAAAAAAATTATCGTACCGTGGACACAATGCCGTCGGGCCAGCTTCCGAATCTCCATTGCTGAACAATCAACTTCCCCTCCTGCAACTCCATGTTCTTCCCTGTCACAGAGCCGTCGAAAATACTGAACTCGCCGCCAACCTCCTTAACTATCTTCGCATTGCTCTGAGTGAAACCCTTCCACCGATTTTCATCGAGCAGAATCTCGTACAGATCTTTTGCCCTACAGCTAAACTTCTCCGTCATTGTTATAGTCTTGAACCCTTCCTTTTTCTTCTCTTTCTTCTTACCCTCCTTCTCACTCGAACCTCCAGCCTTAGGCGGCGGCGCCGCCGCCGCCGCAGCGGCGGCAGATCCAGAAACTGGTTTCTTCACGGAGACTTTCTTGACTTCCAAATCGTCCTTAGCAGGCCCACCTTTCGACATTACATCGACGTATTCCCTAATTTTTTCGAACACAAAAGGCTTCCCCTTGGCGATAAACGCATCCTTCAACCTCTTCCCCACCGGCCCATCGTCTTTGATAGTGATTCTAATCTCGGGATCCTCGCCGGCGTTCTCGTCGGAGATGTAGGGCACTTCGACAGAACCCTCGGTGGTCAAAAGAACGGATTTTCCGTCGGAATCTTTGGCCTCCGCCTCGTACGATAGAACCAAATTCAACTCGTACCCGGGTATGATTTTCCCCTTGCGAACGTTAACGTAAGCCTCGCCCTCAAGCTTGTCGAGCTTTTTGGTCTTGATGAAGAGATTCCCTTCGCCGGAGAGAAGGGTTTTGTTGCCCAGAAGGTTACTGAGGAAATTCCTAGACCAATCGAGACAATCGGTCTCCGACCAGTGCCAGTTGTGGACGTTGGTCCCATCGGGACGATCTTCCACGATCCAACGTTTATCTCCTTCGCCAAGTTTCGCCATTGTTGATTCTCGAGCTGTTCGTTGTGTGTGTGTGTGTGTGTGTGGAGGCAGAAGAATAATAAGAGTATTTAAGGTGTGGAGGGTTCGAAGAAGAGAAGGGTCTAGATTTATTATATATAATATTTGGAGTTGCCTTTTCTTTTGGAAGAGTCTAGAAGACTGAGTTGACCCGGTCCGGGAACCCAATTCAGTTCCCTAATTAACCTAAGAATCTTGTTGCCAAGTTTTAAGAACATATAAACAACCCGCCAGAAACCTCTGCCCAAAGGGTCAACCATATATATGTATATATGCTTGCACCAAAGATCAAAACTTTGATCCCCAAATTCTGTTCATTTTCTTCACCTGTCAAACAAATGAACAAGAAGAAGAAAATCCAACATCCCGGCAAAGCAGCAATCAAAATCACGAAATCCCCGACAAAAACCTTAAAAAGATGTACAACCTCGGCAGCCATTGTAGTAGACCAGCAAAAACCAAAGTCAAGAGCAAAACCCAACTCCCATTTTCAAGAAAACCACGAATTAGTGCTCGAATCATCAATATCTTTGAATTTCCTCGAAAAATATCCAATCTTGGGTCCTGATTTCTACCAAATTGATGCCCTTGATCTTGCCCCACGTTTGCTGGGAAAGCATCTCAGGAAAGATGATGTCATTCTCCGAATTACTGAGGTAATCGTCTCGCCTTCATTGTTTTCGTATAATCAAGCTAGCACAAGACTGCACTGTTGTGATCTTCTTTGTTTGTCTGTGTTTTGAATACAAAAAAAAAAAGGTCGAAGCTTATAGACCGGATGACTCAGCTTGCCACGGTCGATTCGGTATTACTGCAAGGACTGCCCCTGTTGTAAGATATATTATCGACTTCCCCAATTACATATGACATCTATACTTTATATTTCCTGTCTTTTATTGGGGAATGAGCTTATTTAGATACATCTGGTCGACAAAAATACTAAACGTCCTGTCAATATTTGGCTCAACAGTTTGGCCCCGGGGGGCATGCTTATGTGTATCTTTGTTATGGTCTCCATAACATGCTCAATGTGGTGGCGGATAAGGAAGGAAACGGAGCAGCTGTTCTCATTCGTGCCTGTGCTCCTGTTGCTGGTAAGTTTGCTCGATGAAGACAATGTTGTAGCTATAAAATTTTTGAGAAGCATTGAAAATTTTGATCTTTGTTTTTTCATAGAATGTTCAGTGTTCATTTCCGTTTTATCATCTCTATTACACGGTTACGGATTTATTTAATGTTATTTGAAGGATTGGACACCATTCAGCAGCGCCGGGGTTTAACGTCTGAGAAGCCGGTTCTTCTTGCAGGACCTGGAAAGGTTACTGTTTTTTTTTCTTTTCTCGAATCATCGAGGAAAGCTAGGGCGAAATTTATACAAACATTTGGAAAATCAATGATTTTTACTTACATTTATCTTGTTTAACTAGGTTGGTCAAGCATTGGGGATTTCGACAGAGTGGTCAAACCATCCTCTTTTCACTCCTGGTATGCTATATATTAACTGTCTAAAGAAGTCGAAAAAAACAGTTAACGTACAAATCATGGCTCACATTACATATCATGGATGCAGGTGGTTTGGAACTTTTAGATGGACCCGAACCAGAAAAGATACTCGTTGGTCCAAGAATTGGTATCGACTATGCTTTGCCTGAGCATGTTAATGCACTATGGAGATTTGCAGTAGCTGATTCTCCATGGATAAGTGCACCTAAAAATACTCTCAGGCCACCGTAATTTGTATACAAACGACAAAGGTTTGAATCGAACCGGATTATTTTTTTAGTACGTGTAATATATAAAGGCAGATGAGAAACTGATATAATAATATAAATAAATCATTCATCACTTATAAGTCAATACAAGAATCGGTTGGATCGTTTCTTACTAGAATAAATGAGAAATCAACAGAGCAAACACCTACTATAACTTCTCTTAGGACCGCTATAAAACATAAGCAAAACAAGCATCAAGACAAACACAATAAAATACACACTAACTAAAATACGGCACAATAACTTGGCAATAGGATCATACCTTCAGCTCCCTCGTTTTTAAAACTCAAGCAGAGTGCGTTTTCAAAATAAAAGCCTTCCTGATAAAGAAAGAAAGAAACGATACAGGTCAAAAAATCATCGACATAAAATGCGAAAAACCGTAAATATGAAGCTATATATATTACCCACCTGAAAAAGAAAAAGAAAAAAACACTATACAAGAAAGGCCAATGCAAGCTAGCACAAGACACATTATTGGTTCACACGCGTGCACCATAGACAGACTGAAACATCTTCTACAAGAAAAGCTTCCCACCAGTGCTGGGTCTCAATTGGGTGTAGAACTCGGTGAAATCCAGTCGAAACATTAGGAACTTCAAATCAACATGCTGCTGTATGGGGAGTTGCGAAATAAAACCCTCGAAAATAGAGGAATATTCCTTTCCAATTGCTTCTATATCTTGTCCCATATTTCGAAGAAATTCCCCTGCGCGTCTTGTTAGGTCTTTTCTGCCTTCACCAAGCCACGACCCGGATTCTGATGATGTCTTACTTGGCCTCTGCACTCTGGCTTTATCTCGAGAAGAAGAGTCCGTAGTTCTGCAATTTATTACAAATACACTACACATGAATAAGAGTTTTTTTTTTGTTTTTTTTAATAAAATTGGTGTTGTGGTAAAAACTCATACCTCGATTGCAACTCATATATGCCTTCATATAGTCGATCTGCATGACTTCGAAAGCGCAATATGACATCGAATAAAGTAAAGAGTGTCTTATTGAGATTTTGGGACCGCTCCCCAAGGAGAGACTTTTCAAGAATTGAATGTAGGTACTTCTCGTGTGCTCCTAGTAGGTCATCAAGATCTTTAGCTGCTTCCAATTCCTTGGATAAATTAGACCACGACACCTCCAAGACTTCAAACATGATATAGTACTGCAGATTCGAAACAAAATGATTCATCTCATCCCAAAGAACTTGACATTTCCTTGATGTCAATATCAACTGCAATTTCACAGCTTGCGGCAACTTAGCGAAAAAACGAGAAGTGACACAGTTCGGTTTCATGGTTTTCCAAACACCAATTAGTCCGTGCTCCACCCTTCTAAGCTTCCACAAAAAATTAAAGATTCTCAAATACCTAGACATAACAGATTCAGTAAAAACAGTATTTAGTGGAACTCTAGCATCGTAATCCAAGGAAAACACATCCCACCCTCTATCCCCTGTATTATGTGGCATCATTTTCACCCTCAGCCTATCAAGTATATCAGGATCATCGTACTGTGCGTTCGATGATCTAATTGCACTTTCCAATAAACCAGCAAGCTTGAATGTGCTTATAGTGTTGGCAGCTTCGGACAGCTCCGGGCCCACAATATCCATTAAGTATTGAACGAAATCACCCTGCCCGAGTAGTAAATATCTCTTGATTGCAAGGCAATGCTCCTTAAACTTGTACTGTTTGTAAACTACTTCCAGTAAATGCTTATCTATCCTTTTTGCGGCTTCTGCAACTAAAGATTCAAGCGCGTCAGTCTCACCATATCCGAGACCACCTCTCCCAGTACTGGTCCCAGCTGCAGCAGCTGCTTCTGTTGCAGCATCTGCCCAACCTCGATCCTCGCAACAAACACGAAGGAAATTAATTGACTTCCCAGTCCTTAAAATGCGTTGAGCCAGAGATTGAGAGATGAAAGAGGGAAGCATCGCTGAATGGAGCCGATAGCCTTCTCTCCAAAGAGACTCTGCTTTCACAGGTTGACTCAATACAAAGAACTCCGAAAATAAATCATCGAGCTCACCTTCCAAAACCCAACTCCTCACCATTTCGAAAAGCGGGGAACAAACTCTACGAAGTAGCTTATTCATAAAATCGTGCACGAGGGGGTCACCATGTTGTGCGTGCATGTGAATTGCCCCCGCCATGGCCCCACCTTTCAAGACCTTACAGCTGTCAACCAAGACAGCCATAAGCCTCATCTTCACCATAGGTTCGGAAAACCAAACGGACAGTCGCCTTAATGACAAATAATTACTCGAGCTTGCGTGTTCCGAAACTAAAGGAATTGGATTCATGGCTTGGGCTTCGAGCACAGCTAGTAGCTTGTAATAATCCGAAAATTCGTCTTGTAATGCAGCACAAAATGCCTGCCCAACAGTCCCTACATCCTCAGCTGATAACTGATCCATACTTTCGGTTATATAACCCTTCACTTTCCTAAACAGCCAGCCAAGCTCGCAGAGCTTACGGATCATAATCTTAGTAGCTCTTGGCACCTTAGTCAATTCGGGAAGCGCATACGCATCTGCCATTACATCGAACTTGACATACTTGCCATCAATCCCTTGACAGGCATACAGCACATCTCTCACCAAAACCACCTCCGAAACCTCGTTTTCTTCTTTTATCAAGTCTGCAAATTCCCTATATGCGATATCACGAATATTTTCAGGGTCCTTTGATACCATCAATATGCCTCCGTTGTAACGATTCTCGACATGCTCCCTTGCCCTCAAGCTTCTTGAACTGTCCCCTAAACCCTTCAATTTCTTCATATTTTCACTCAAACTATCTGAACCACTGACTAAATTCCAGTCGCCTCGATTTTTCTCTAATTTCTCCAAATTACTAAAACCCCTTGAATTCCCCACATCTTCAGATTTAAAACCTCCAACATTGGAATTCCTACTAGAATTCCCAAAACCCCCGTTAATCCCATCACTCTCAAACAGTGTGGGCAACCCTCCAGACAAAGCAGAATCCAGAAACCCATTAGAGATAACATTGGGCGACTGATTTTTCCTTACTTTCCGATCCTCGGATATAGTCTTCAGCAAATAAAGCACAGCCCACTTGTTTTTCACGCTTCCGGGTCCATCTTTAAGCGAGAATTTAGCGTAGAGATCCGCAAAAGTTAGGGCTTCGGAGGACTTACCAGCGGTGGCGAGACGCCGTTTGATAGACTCCGCCATAGCAGAGTCATCCGCCGCAATTGATGGCGTCATGCGGCTGGATAATATCCGGAGGGAGTATTTGAGGGATTGATTGTACTCTTGCTGGGTGAAGGAGGAGGCGCTAGGGTTTTGAGGGTTGGGGTGTGGGGAGGTGTACAGTAAGCGATGCACTAGCTCTTTGACTAGATCTACCACTCTCTGGTCATCGTCTTCCATGGTGGTGACTGAGGCGGCGACGGCGGCGCGTTAGTGCGGCGGTCCGGCGGAATCGCGGCGGCGATGGTCGTGTTAGTTTTTGAGTTTTAATATTGGGCGGGGAAATGAAAATGTTTTTATGGAAGTATATGCAAATGATAATAGTCTTATTTGTATTTTAATTTTTTTATATTTTAATGTATTTTCAGCAATTAAATTAATCGAAAATAAGTTGACTAATTAATAATATGTCTCTTTTGAATGTTAACCAAACCAAGCTTTTATATAAACAAATATTTAATTTTCAATCTGTAGTTTTGTTTTTCAAATATTAAGCTCTCGATATTTTATTCATGTGGAGGTGGTTGTCGAAAAAAAAAAAAAAAGAATCCTCGAGACATAGTGTAAGTATCTTCGAGGGTGGAAGTAGAAGTGAATCTCGAAAGGCGGTAAATAAATTTTCGTAAGGCGATGATCCAAGCTATACCAATCTATGCCATATACTGCTTTAAACTTCATAAGTATTTTACGAAAGATATTCAAACCATTCGTAGACGCGGTGTAGCATTTGAAGTGCGATTGAGCTAGTGGCAAAGGTACTCAATCGAGAACTTAAATACTAACTGCACTGAGCTTATATTTAGAATTTGCTTGGGATTATCAGTTCAATTTTTTCTCCTCTAGAAAGCGATTTAAGTATCATTGTTACATCTATGGAAGAAGAACGAAGCTCCCTCCGAAAATGCTGAGTCGAGAACATCATTGCTGATGGTAAACAATTTCACTATCAATTATGAAACTTTTAATGTTGACCATGTACAGTAGAACCTCGATAATTAATACACGATAAATTAATAACCTCGTTTAAATAATAAATTTTTCCGGTCTCGACTCAGGGACAACATGCTTAATCTATAAGATAATACATATTCGAAAATAAGAAGCCCCATATAATATATAAATTAATAATGCATAAAAATAATTCTTAAATTACATGGTACAATATATATCTTATAGATCTATGAAGGCTTAATACAATATAATTTAATTGTCGTTTGTTTCTTGTTGAAGCTCACACTACCATCATTCTCTTCCCTGACTTTTCTTGACATGGTTAGAACTTTCGATATAGTTTTCTCATAACTCAATAGAAAATTGTTTTATACAATTGCTTCTTTAAGAGCTTCTGTTTAGAACTTTCGATATAGTTTTCTCATAACTCAATAGAAAATTATTTTATACAATTGCTTCTTTAAGAGCTTCTGTTCGTGAAACGGGCTCCATAGTGCATTGAACTAATGGTACAATGAATAATATACACGTAAAAAACTTTAAAAAATATGTATTTATTGAAAATAATAATAAAAATAATTTCATAAATTAATAAATTATTAATTAATGTATAAATTAATAATTATTAATTTATTGATAAGTTAATATTTCGCTAAATTAATGGAATTTTGATGGTCCCAACTATATTAATTTATAGAGGTTTAAGTGTATTACGAGAAGGTAATCGGTCAATTCATGAAATGGCAAAGTTATCGAGCTGTTGTACAACTAGCTCCGGAATTCTCAATCAACTTTTCAATTCGAGCATCTAAAAAACCACATTTTAAGTGACACTACATTTTTTTTAATTTTTTTTTAAAGTAAGGTATATTACAACTATTGTTTTGGAAATATTGTATATTGGTGCGCTGTAGATGTTGGATAAATTAATAATCTCGACTAAATAATAGTTTTTCTCAGTCCCGATTCGGTGATAACGTGTAAATTATTAACTCGATAATTTAATAATTCGCTAAATTAATAGAATGTCCGTAATCCCGACTGTATTAATTTATAAAGGTTTAAATCGTTTGAGAAGTAATTATTGCACGTGAATTGGACACAAATGGATAATGTAAATCCAGGCTGTATTATCTGTACGAGGCCCAAAATTATAGCCCAATCATAATTTGAGTTACAGGGCCCATCTACAACCCATATCCATTCAATTTGATCAAGTACCAGGTCATTTCATTTTGTTTGTCATATGATTGCCATGTGATTTGTTTTTACTTCTCTCCTTTTAAAAAAAAAAAAAAGAAAAAGGAAAAAAAAAAAAAAAGAGTCTTGAAAATGATTAAAATTGATTTAACAGTGTTGCAAATTTGCAATTGTCTTAATCTGAGAAATTGGTTCTGACACAGCTTATGTCTATTCTCAGCTTATAAAAACTTTTTCTTTTCTCTTGAATGGGAGATGTCTGTTCCAAATATACACAAAATCAGCATTAAATTAAATATAGTATTAAAAAAATAGAAAAAAATAGAAAAATAGAAAGCCAATACAGTGAAATGTGGACTATACTTCAACTGTTCAACTGACAATACTGACCCAAAATTAAAATTCAAAAAACAGTGAAACGGTGCAAGTTAGCAACAATTAAAATTTCACAACTACATTCCCTTCTCCCCATACCCAAATCCAATAACAAAATCAAAACTTTTTTCTTTCTCTTGTTCTTTTGTACTAAAAGGAAAAGACAAGAACAGTGTAAAAGGGTAATTTTTTAGAAGACAAAGTATAAGACAGACACAATTGCTTATTTGCTGCATGGCCATTTCAATCTCTTTGAGCCCAGGTAAAGAACGTAGATTCTTGCAACAAATAAAAAAACTTGTCTTTTTTTTGTTTTGTATAAAGCTCCCATCTTGAGGGTTTCTTGATTTTCAGCATAAAGGTTTGACCTTTATTGTTTTTTTAATAAATAAGACACTGTTTGTTTAAGATCTCGAGCTTGTCTGTTTGTTTTGTTCTTGACTAGGATGTAAAGATTCAAACTTTTTTTTGATCTTTTTCCCCTTTTCTCTGTTTCTTGGCCTTGTAATTTTTTTCTTTTTCTTTTGCAGCATTTTTGGGATTGTGAGATGGGCTTGTTTTTATTGTTGTTGGTTTTCTCTCTTCTTAGGTTTTCATTGCTTGAACTGTTGCTATACATGTTTTTTATTTTTCTTTTGAATTTTGAATTTTTGTCTCAGTTAACTTCCTGTAGGATATCTTTTTGAGATTAAGGATATTTGGTTGCTTATGACCAAGTACTTTTGTTCTTTTCTATTCGTAGTTAGTTCATAGGTTTGTGTCTTTGTGACAATGTATAGTGAAGAGGTTTGATTTTCAGTTTTAATATTTCTTGTTAGAGATTCCTTTGTCACTTTATTAATATTGGATGGTGATCAACAACCAATCATTTCCATTTGAAATATGCAATTCCTCAATCTTTAAATTATCGGAGAACATAGAATATTCGGTTGGGATGGATGGTGTAGGAATAGTCCTGAAAATGGTTGTTCAGCTATCACTTCTTTCGTATTCGGTTACTAGTAGCTCGATTTTTCGAGTTGGTTGCTCTGATTATTCTTCTCTTTGTGCCGATGCTTAGTGTCGTTTCTAACTTTTTTTCGTGTTTATTGAAAATTCTAGCAGTTCGTATATTTATATTTTTTCTTAAAAATCCTTAGTGAAGAAAAAGAAAGTCGAAATTCATCGTAATAACTTCGAGCATCGCTTTCGTTACATACATGTCATGAAAGCAACAAATCTATATTCCTGAAAAGGAAAGCTTTATCGTTTTTTCCTGATTTTGTATTGAGGGTTGGTGGCGGAATCTTATCTGATTTAAATTAGTTTTATCATCTACCAAACAGAAATACAGATGTGCCTTAAGTTTTGGTCAGGGGCTGTTTAAATTAATAGCATACTTAGACTTCCAATCGTAGTTTTTGTCCGTTTCGTCAAAAGCTTACCAATAAAACAATTTAGCTAATAAAACCGAATTCGTCGATTACTTTATTCTTAATAATATACTTATATAGTTTCATTTTGTATCCTTGTTCGACAGGCTCTAAATACTGTGGAGTAGAATACACATTGGATCTCTAGTTCAATAATGGCTCAAGGGGGTGGTGGTTCTTGCAAAGTGGCCGTTAAATCACATTCGAAATACGCAAATTATGATACATCAACTATGAAGGCAGAAATCGGTAGTGCTCCTATAGTAAAACGAGCGGAAAAACACAGCATAGATGATGTTCACGAGCTTCTTCGGTGCCCTACTTGTGCAGATTCAATGTTTCCTCCCATTCACCAGGTTTATATATACTCTCAACTCTTACACTGAAATAGATATCGAGTATTCCGTACGATGTCTACTCGTGAAAGTTCTTTAGATTTTATTGCATTTAATACCCTTGTGTTGTACTAAAAAATCCCCGTGTTATAAATATTAGCAAGAAAACCCCCTATGCTGCATTTTTTAGCATTCAATGTAACCCCCAAATACAGTGAGTTTTTAGGGGTAGTTTATTTAAAAAAATTGCATTGTAGGGGTTTTTTTGCTAATATTTATAATACGGTGAGCTTTTTAGCAATTAGAGTAAAAACAGGGGTGCTGAATGCAATAAACCTAACTTCTTTGCCGATCCTACAGTGGATAGTAGATGTGATATTGCGAAAGTTGTTTCTTTTCGTGTATAGTTCCTTTATATTTAGATTAAGGTCAAAAAAATGTAATCTAGTTAAAATCGCGTATTTACTAAACTGTTAATTCTTTTCATGCAGTGTCCGAATGGACACACGATGTGTACAAACTGCAGAAGAGTGCACAACTGCTGCCCGACTTGTCGAATTGAACTCGGGAATATTAGGTGTTTAGCTTTGGAAAAAGTCGCGGAATCTTTGGAGCTACCCTGCAGATACCAAAATCTTGGATGTAATGAATTGCTTCCTTATTACAGCAAGATCAAGCACGAGAAGCAGTGTTCATCTCGGCCGTACACCTGTCCGTATGCCAGCTCAGAGTGCTGTGTGACCGGTGATATCCCGTTTCTCATGGCCCACCTCAAGGAGGAGCACTCTGTCGATATGCACGATGGATGCACTTTCAACCACAGATACGTTAAATCGAATCCGCATGAAGTCGAAAACGCCACGTGGATGCTAACCGTGAGTCGGTTTAATTTAATAATTTGCTTATATATCTCTATATATAAAATACGAAGATTTTTAGATATATATAGTGGGCCCCGCATCCAAATTAAATTGTACGAAAACTTTATTTCGATGCAGGTATTCAATTGTTTCGGGAGACAGTTTTGTTTGCACTTTGAAGCATACTTACTAGGAGCATCGTCCCCCGTCTACATGGCGTTCGTGCGATTCATGGGTGAGGAAAAAGATGCCAAGAAATTCGGCTACACATTGGAAGTGGGGTCGTTTGGGCGTAAGTTGATGTGGCAAGGGGTCCCGCGAAGTATACGTGACTGTCACAAGAAGGTTCGTGACAGTCAAGACGGACTTATCATTCCCAGGAGCTTGGCTCTCTACTTCTCTGCTGGCGACAATCGAGAGCTTAAGCTGAGAGTTACTGGACGGATATGGAAGGTGTAGTAACTTTGTTACGCGATCGGAATTTGTACAGCTTGTCGAAAGCCGTAGGTTTAATGTTATTACCATATGCTTGATTTTGTTGCATTATTAATTAAATGGTACTTTTTGAAAAAGGTTCACAATGTATTATTAAATTGATATTTCTAATTTCCTTTTGGATGGCAAAGAAACGTCGAGCTCGACAAACTCGAGTTCGAGCTTTAAGACCCGGCTCATCGAGTTAACGAGTCTGCTAATCTAGTTACCACCCATATTCTTAACTGACCTTGAAATCCGTTTTCGATCTGTATATTTCACCATATGTAACATATAGGAGACGGCCTTCAAAATTTTTCTTGGTCCGAATCCAACGATTGCGGCCAATCGGGATCCGCATACTTTGGGGTGAAAAGAAAAAAATCACAAATTCTACATAAAATAGTTGTCAATTTGACCAGTTAAAGATGCCAAATGAATTAAGTGTCTACCTAGACCAATCATATATGTAACAAGTCATATGCTAACAAAAAATAAAAAATAAAAAAATAAATAAAAAAGTTACAACGTTATATCATATATGCATGTTGACATAAGACATCGTGTCATAGACAATAGTGAATTATGGGCCGTCCATGAAGAGATTATATATAGTAATATAATAAGTTATTACAAATTTGTTTTTGTTCAATGATTACTAAATCAGACGTGCAAGATTAAGGCAGGCACGTATGTTATAATTTTGTTTTAGCGGTTTAAAAGGGTTGCATGCGACTTTCCCGCTAATCAAAACAAACACAATTTTTCTTTTGCTTTTGCTTTTTTCCCCCAAACAATTAATTACCAGAAAAATTCCTCCTCCCACATTTTTTCCGCTCATCTTACAGGTATATTGTTTGTTTTTTCAGTTTTCGTTTTGTCTTGTTCGATCGATGATTCGTGGGATTTTGGGTTTAATGTTCATGCTATATATGTTTTATCTATTTAATCTTGTTTTTTGAATGTTCATGGATTTTCGAGATGATTTATTTGTCTATTACATAATTGACGTACATTTTTTAATTCTCTTACGTACGCATATTTGATGATATTACATATAGGAATCGGAATCGCGGAATCGGGATCGCTTCTTAAACAAACTGCAAATGTGACCGTTTCTCGTATGAAGTTTTCCCTTTGAGATTAGATTTTTACCTTCAGAAAAAAAAAAATCGAACAATGATGTGTTGTGGAGGTGCAGAAGAGGAGCCCTATAGTGGTCCTCCGGCCAATAATTATAACTCCGCCCCGCCGAAAACTGGCAACAATTACGGCGGCGCCGGTGGAGGTAATTACTTATTGTTCTTTAAATCATTCCAACATTAATTTGTGCTTGTTGATGAATGATGATCAATGATCATAATTCAAGATTCTGTCTTGATTTTTTATTTTTTTTTGTGATTTTGTTGCAATGGATATTTGAGTTGACAGGTGACAGAGGAGAGCCAAGAAGTGGTGCTGCAAGAAATGGACAAGCTCAGAAAGTTCTGCCTATTGAACTCCCATCACTTCCACTTAGTGAGCTAAATCGACTTACAAGTAATTTCGGCACTAAAGCTCTTATTGGAGAGGGCTCTTACGGTCGAGTTTTCTACGCCAAATTATCGGATGGTCAACCCGCAGCTATCAAGAAGCTCGATTCTAGTTCTTCCCCCGAACCAGATAACGATTTTACAGCCCAGGTGATTCTTCTTGTTTTTTTTTTTTTTTTTAATGTACTTATTTCTAATGTAAGATGATCATTTGTTGTAATAAAGATTGGTTTTTTATACTATTTGTACAGTTATCCACAGTTTCGAGGCTTAAGAATGAGCATTTCGTGGGGTTGCTAGGGTACTGTCTTGAATCAGACAACCGAATTTTGGTCTACGAATTCGCCACCATGGGTTCTTTACACGATGTTTTACATGGTACGAGAAAAGGGTATTTTTTTTTATTTTTTATATTGAAATTCAAGATTGTAGTTGAGGTGAAGATAATGTGAATGTATGTTGTTGTTTGTTCTTAGGTAGAAAAGGGGTGCAAGGGGCAGAACCAGGTCCGGTTCTTACGTGGGGTCAAAGGGTGAAGGTTGCTTTAGGAGCTGCAAAAGGGCTCGAATTTCTTCACGAGAAATGTCAGCCGTCGATCGTACATCGAGATGTAAGATCAAGCAATGTGCTTCTCTTCGATGATTTTGTGGCCAAGATTGCAGATTTTAGTTTGACCAATCAGTCTTCTGATACTGCGGCTCGTCTTCATTCCACCAGAGTACTCGGAACATTCGGCTACCACGCACCAGAGTCAGTTGATAATTTCCCCTTCACATATATTTTTTTTCCTTTTTCGATTGCGAAACATTATATTCCGTATTTTTTTTTTAGGTACGCGATGACAGGGCAGATAACTCAGAAGAGTGATGTTTACAGTTTCGGAGTTGTTCTTTTAGAGCTTCTTACAGGGAGAAAGCCAGTAGATCACACTATGCCTAAAGGACAACAGAGTTTAGTCACATGGGTAATTTTTTTTTTTAATTATTTTTTCAAATAGTTCATATGTTGTCTTGTTTAATTTATTAATCATAATTCATAATACTACGATTATTTCAAATTTATTCAGGCAACTCCAAGATTGAGTGAAGATAAAGTGAAGCAATGTGTGGATCCCAAGCTAAATGATGATTATCCACCAAAGGCTATTGCAAAGGTCTAAAAACGAAAAAAACCTTAATAATCGCAAATGTTATTCGTTTTTTATCCGTCATTGCAAGAAAAGTACGATTGAGATTTTGAATCTTTTTTTGCTGCTTAAATATTGCAGATGGCTGCTGTAGCAGCACTTTGTGTACAATACGAAGCGGATTTTCGACCGAACATGACAATAGTGGTGAAGGCTTTGCAGCCATTACTGAACTCAACAAAACCAGCTGGACCTGATTCTAATGCATAATAAATATTACTTACTGTATATGTTCAAAAATGTTATGCTAATCTTCTTGAAAGAAAACCTATGCAATTTAGGAATACCTCAAGTTGTTGTCTGAACAATGGTATAATGGTGATTTTCACAAAGCTCAGCAACCAAATTTTTGGAAGCTTAGAATATAATTTTATTTTCTTTTTCATTTTACTTGATTTTTGTTTGGCTAGTTGTGATCCATTTATTCATTTTCTTTTATTTTATTTTATTCCCCTTTCTCTCAAAATCACTTCTATATAACTGGAATTAATTGTATACTACAACAGATGTTACTCTCCTCGTATTTCTAATTCAGCTAATCGTAAAGGAGGAAAAACAAATAATGCATTTAGTTTTTCTGATTTACGATTATGATCGTATGTCCTGTTGCCACTTTCTTTGAGATTCTTCTTCAACGCAAACATACCTGCACAGAACAAAGTTACGTAAAACTTAAAGCCGACTAACAGCATAATAATGATAATTTTTTAAATTAAATTTATCCCGGTGCAGATATTTACAGCTGATCAATAGTCTTGGTAAGAAAAACATTTCCATCGAGACATACCTATAGTTAACGTCTAGTTTTTCGTTATCAAACGGAATTCAGCTGCAAGTGCTATATGATCTGATGACCATTCGACACAAGGGAGAGCAGTATTTCTTCGCAGGATCCTCTCATCCAATAGCTCCAACAGAGACTCCACCATTAACGAGTCAGCTACATATATATATATTGAGAGAGAGAGAGAAGGCGTGAGCACTGATAACTGATGTGAATAAGAAGATTATTACAAGCTAATGGATAGTGGTGCAATAAAAAAATTATAGAGAATGTACCTGAATAGAATATGTAATCACAAGTACCGACAAATTCTTCAGTGTAACTTGTAACACGGGGTTCATTTGTTACAGGATGTATTCTCCTTCTATGCTCTAAACCGAGAACAGCTCTTCCAAAGGATGTGTAAGCACTAACCTAGGAATTAAATGCCAGAATTTATTAAAATTAAGACTTACATATATACACGAGTTTCAGACAAAACCTTCCAAAGAGATTAACTGTTTTATACCAATGGCAAATCATGATTTAATTTGGAAGTGGGCTGAAGGATTCCGAGCGGGTCTACAGCTAAATCTGGATGTCCTGGATCAACTTTCCCGTAAGCAAGGAGGCTATGAAGAGCACTGTATTTATAAAATTAAAAAATAATTTGTTTTTAAGGAGAACGGAAACTATTAAGAGAAAATTTGAAACCACATATATATATTAATAAGAGAAAAGCCAAATCACCTTCCAGGAATTGAATTGAAATCGCCGCATACCAACATTGGGATTTTGACAAATGCTTTAAGGACTGCCAACAGTTTGTGGACCTGATATGGCAAATCAAAAATAACAATTAGTAATTAGTAACTTTAACAAATGGACTTCAAATAGAGCAAACAAGTTAAGAATGAATAAATAGATAAATAACCTGAAAGAGCTTCACATCCGTCAAGTCTTGATGCACGTTTATATGTGTGTTTGTCTGTGTCATAGAAACATACAGATACGGAAACCTTAATAGAGAATAACATAAAAGTTGCAGTTGTCAATCTCTTGTGAAATCTTACCACACAAACTGACAGTTGTTTCCCAGAGTTACCGATGCCCTGGTTACTGAACTTTGCTGCTAGAACTACAATTTGCGCAATATTATCCTGTGTATGCATTAATAAGATATTAATGAGTCTACCAGATAAAAGTGACGAAATAATAAAAATTTACAAATACCTTAACTAATCGGTTGAAGGCATTGTTCTTCTGTGCACTGGAAACCAGAGGCTCTATCAGAGAATGTGCAGGTTCATTAAACTCAAACCCGAAATCTCGCACATGTTCAAATTTATCACGACGAAAGAAAGTAGCACAACCATCAATGGTTTTCATGTTCCCACCAAAAGCCTTCATTGTTTTCTTTTTAAAAATTGCTTGATAGCCATGTTTTTCCATCTCAGGTGAAAAAAAATCATCAAAATGATCAGATTGAACCTGATCAAAAAAGAAAAACAATAAAATATGCTGAAATAACATCGGAACTCGAACGGGCTTCCACAAATCATTGCTAACAATTAAAGAAGAGCGGATTCTCGAATGTTTAAAAGACATAAAGTTAGGTTGTGTACCTCTTGAAGACAAACAATGTCTGCATGATAGCCAACTATTTCTCGTAAAAGGTTTAAAAGACATAAAGTTAGGTTGTGTACCTCTTGAAGACAAACAATGTCTGCATGATAGCCAACTATTTCTCGTAAAAGGTTTTGCTTACGGTAGGCCCACGAAAGAGCCCAAGAGGGGCAATAACCGTAAATTTCGGCCTTAGCATATGCATCCGATAAAATATTGTACGAGAGCACACTAAAAGTCACTCCAGAAGAAATCCGACTTTCCAAACCAGTTCCGCTCACAGAAATCATTCGTCGTGGAGTAGGCGATGGAGCTGGAACAACGGAGGAAGTTGATGAAGTATAGATTTTCCCGACATAGGATCTTGTTTCAAGATCCACCACAACACACTCGCATGTTAGGACATGGCCGATATCATTTGGTGTCGGTGTATATGTCTTGGATCGGCCAACCTCAAACCATGTTTCGCCGTCTCTCTTCCGAGTTGTTCCATCGGGAATATTTGTACTGCCGCCACTAGTATTGAATTTCTTGGCACAGTCGTGCAGAGCACGGTGGTGCCGCCATTCTTTAGCGAAACACTTTGCAGAGCAATGGTAACTCTTGGCAACAGGTAATCTGTGTTCGACGCAACGGACGCATTGTATTGTAGCTTGTTCGTCTTGGTGAAAACTACAAACAGTATCCTTATCACTTTCTATACGAAACCTGCAAAGAAAACCAACTAACTATTAACAGATGCAAAGCTAACAACTATCTTCTAGCCATTAGCACCGAAGAAAGGGAAAAAACGAGAAAATGAGATTTTCAGAAATTAGTGAACAATTTCTTATTACATCATACCCTGAATTCAATTCAATTCAATTCAATTCAATTCAATTCAATTCAAAGGCTGTATTTCATGAACCCATCCAAAAAACCGCATCATGTATTCCCCCAATCCATTGCTTAAAACCAATCAACATTCAAAGGAAACAAAACACATTCAAAGCAAAGAAAACACCAAGAAAAATCAAAATTCAAATTCAAGAAGCTCACCAATTATATCTTATGAAACGACCAGAAACAGGCCTCGACTCAGTAATATCACCACCGTTGATAATAGGTCCACCAGAGAGCATCACATACACGGACAGCTTCAACTCGAACCCTACAAGCGGTATCTCAGATGATAGGCGCACTTTTGTAATAATCAGCATTTTAATATAATTTTTTATTCCTCTATCGTTTCAGCCGCGGAGGAAATCTGTCGGCGGACTTGTGGCGGTTCCACCACCACCGGCTTCACGCGCCAATCGCCAGCTCTCAATTACAGAAATCTAAGATCAATTCTTAATTACGAAAATCCAGGATCGATTATACAAACTTATGATTGAGATTTTTGAAATGCGATTTTCAAAATGAGATTTCTACAGAAAATCGGTTGAAGTTTTAGGGTTTTAAGAAAGTGGAAGAAGAGAGTGGGAGAGGGAATGGTCGTTTCTGAAATTCAAAAGAGCGCAGCTTCTATATACTTTTATTTAGGATAAATTACAATCGTCTCCCTGACGTAAAGTCTATGTACGAAAAAACCCCTCGTTTTTCAATAATTACATCCATGCCCAGAAACTTGTAGATTTATTACATTTACACCCTTTTGTAAGGGCGCGGATGTAAGACATTTACAAACTGCAGGTGTCTATGTAATTCCTCAACAATAAGGGGCATTTTTATAACTATACTTTACCTTAGGGATGTGGTTGTAATTTATATAAAATGTTTCTTTAATGTTATTTCCCAAATTTAACACTAGGATTTCCATGTTATGTAGTTTCTAGTAAAACTGAAAATTATATATATATATATATATATATATATATATATATATATATATATATATAAAAATTTGTACTCCTTGGTATATATGGGAAGCTTATTGATTATTGAGAGATTTTCATTCATGCCTTTTGTTATACACATGATTATTCTTAGATTTATAAACATATATTTCATATAAATGTGGTAAATATAAACCTAAACTATTAAATATTTATCCAAATCTAGCTATAGGTATCACAAATGAATTTGCTAAATTCTACTTTATAACTAGTATAAATTGTAGGGGTATCCCAGCCAATTTTATAATCAGCACTGTTAAATAATAATAAAATAAATAAATTAAAAAAAAAAAGCCAAAAATGAAGATGGCAAAATTGTTTTTAATTCTAGGGGTTGTTATTCTCATGTTATCAGATAGATTATTGTTTTTAACTTTCATTCATCCTTAATAATTAATTAATGAGAAATAATATTTTATAACAAAGTCATATATTTTTTTAAATTTATTTATTTATTTGTTGGTTCAGATTGTAAATTGGGAGATGCACAGGGGAAAGATTGCTCTCAGGCAATAATTCCGAATGGTTGCAAAGGAGACTGCAGTGAACAATGTAAGAAGATATATAACTGTGGCTGTATATATAACTGCCATTGATCATCATTTTTTTTTTCTAAATAAGATGGAGATTATATACGATTATAGTTTGAAAAATTAAAAGACTAAAATCTCCAAAATCGAGATATAATTCTGTAAAAATACATTTATTGATGGATTACAATTTTTTTTTTCGAGTTTTACGTATATATTTTGGGGTTTTTGTTACTATATATACAGACAATCAGTGCTTAAATTTATATAGATTTTATCACATATATGTGGTGAATATTATCCAAAAGTAATTAATTTTTTATCCAAATCTTGTATAGGGATCATAATAGAATTTGCTTGATTGGATTTTATAACAACTATAAATTGAATTGCAGCACAGTTTATGACACACAAATGAAGATGGCAAGGTTGTTTTCAGTTCTATGGGTTGTTATTCTCTTGTTGTCAGGTACATTCTTTTTTTAATTTCGATTTTTTGAATCGTGATCGAGTAGCTTAATAATATACGAGAAATAATATTTTATAACAAAATTATTTTTATTTGTTGGTTCAGCTGGTAAAGTGGCAGATTCAGATGGGGAAGATTGCACTCAGACGATAATTCCGAATGGTTGCGGCAAACGGAACTGTAACCAACAATGTCAAAAGTTGTTTGGCGGGGTTGGAATATGCGTGCCTCGGCGACCCAGCTCATCCAACTGTGTCTGCTCATATGACTGCCATTGATTTTTCGTACGAACTTTACCAATAAAATTTTATACAATCTTTTAGAATAAAATCGATTATTATTATTGTTGGCTGCTTTGTTTCTACTTATCATATGTGATTAAAGTTTATACTGAAAACGACGAATTACAGATGCTGCAATTGAACCAGAAATCGACAATTACAAACACGTAGCATTGCTTTCAGATAACCAATCATTAAATAATTATTACAACACCAATAATGAAAGAATACGAGCCTTTTCGAGTGGTACGAAACAAACATAAAAAAAATCAATCCATTCATCAATAAACCAAACAAAATATCGTAGCAAATCATTACAAGGTTTCTTCTATCATGTAAGAAAACCAGGTGAATTGTACTAAGTAAATATATATCATTTTAAAAACAAAAATGGTCTCGAGTTATCAATCAATTGCCAAAATACGATCACACAAGCAACGAAGAAGAAAACAAGACAAGTCTAATTAGACCAACTAGAAAACACTCCGGTACACTCGGTTTGTTTGTAGTGAAGACTTAATAACCACCCTTGAGATCGTTGACCACATCGTACGGTATGGGAGTGACGGTTTCTAGTGTTGCACCTCCGACCAAAAAGCCAGGCTTGGGTCCCGCTGGCTGCCTCTTGGTGCTGATGATCTTACCTTGTGCCTTTGCTTCTGCCTTCAACTGGTCGTTCTTTATTATTCTGTGACGAATCTCTTCGTGACACCTGGAGGGCTGAACGTGTTCGATTCTGACGTGAATCCTCTTCCTTATGATTCTGTTACTAACCTGAATTTAACAAAAACCAAGAACATGCATTCGTCAAACTGTTTTTTCGAGGATCAAATACAACCGCAAGTTAAATAATTAACCTGCATAAAAGCAATACTAGTTCTATTAACATAAATCAAAATTTCGATCGTAGACACTAATTAAGTCTCATTAGGCATTCTAATTTTCTTTTTTCGTTTTCTTTTCTAGGGTTTAACAGTGGAGGACATCTCGATTAACAAGTAAAGATCAAGACACCATGTTCGATTTGGACAAACCTTAATTCAACAGAACTAAGCACCGTGTATTAGTCAAACTGTCTCTTCGAGTATCAAATACATCCACAAATTCAAGAATTAACCGACATAAAAACAGTACTAGGTACTACTAAATCTTATCAAGACAAAATTGTGAAATGTCAACACAAGCGTGTAGTGTATATGTATTTCACGGTCATTTACATGTCGATTTTCATACATACACGTAAAATTACAATCCGCCCAATCCCTAATTCTACCATCAATCCAACATTTTAAGATGTAGAAAATACTAACATATTTGAATTATACAAATGTGATTTCTAGAGTGATAATAACAGAATTGCCATTTATAACAGATTAATTTCATTTTTCAATTCCACGTACAACTACATTCAGTAATCCAAGCTACAGTAATGCATCAGGAAAAAAAAAACACAAGTACCATAAAAATTGAATAGAAAAAAATGAAATTGAAGAAATGTAGGGGGAACAAGTGTTGTACCTGCTTGTTCACCTCAACGCCGATGGCGCGTTTGGTAACATTCCAGACCCGACCCGTGCGGCCATGGTAGAACTTGTGGGGCATGCCTTTGTGGATTGACCCGTTAACCTTGACATCGACATAATCCCCAGTTTTGTAGGTCCGAAGATAGGTTGATAGATGGGTCGGGCCCTTCTTCCTGAAAGCCCGAGCGAAGAGATCCCTGGTGCGCGACCTCAGACCGTGACCCGCCGGCATTTTCTAGGGTTTTTCAGCTGCTGAACTGTGTTAACTGTGTGGGGAAGAAAAATGTTGCGATCGGAGAAGAGAAACAGTGTATGTATATATATGTTTGGAGATAATAGGGTTTTTCTGATTACCCATTGGGCCCGAAACATATTTTTAAATGGGCCGAAATAGTATATGCATGATTATTTATCCAAAAATATATAATAAAATTGCATGGTTGAAAAATTAAAACCTGATTTATAAATCACAGCCCAATAATTTTTTTTTTTTTTTTTGCTTAAAATTCGTTTGCATGAAAATTGAGAGCAATTCCCGAAATTAATTGAAGAAGAAGAAAAAAAAAAGTAAATCTGGAAAAATGGGGACTCGAGAAGTGTACGAAGAGAAGCTTCGGAGAGGAAATCTGCACCATGATCCAACCATGAAACCCGGCCTCGGCACCGCCCGCTGCCCCCGATGTCTATCTCTGTTAAACCCTAACAACGTACGACTATATCTGTGTCTGTATATATATTGATGTTATGCACACCAGCTGTTTGATTTTATGTTTATGTGGTAATTATGTTTCTGTGTTGATTTTTTTGTCAAACAGGGAAATTCGGAATGGAAAGTCACCCCAGTTCTACACGATGCCACAGCTGTGGTATGTACATATATGATTTTGTGATCTTTACTTTTTATTTTTATTTTTTATTTTGAGCTGTATTGATACACATGTGAATGGCTGTCCTATTTGGCTTCTGATTGTGTGTATTGTTTTCATTGATTTTTTGTTTTTGTTTTTTGTCTATGGATTTTCTTCTGTTAAATTTTCACTTTGTGGAGTTGGTTAAACCAATCTATGTTCTGTTGTGGAAAACGAATTTTGATTAGAAAAAAAGCTTTACAATTGAATGAGATGAAGGTTTTCTCACTCACTAAGTTGCTTCATCGGCTAGCAATTACGTGTCACCTCTTGGTTTCGTCTGAACTAGTTCAAATCACAGTTCATCGACAAAGACTATATGCGGTTTCATGTTTGCTCTATGTTTGCATTGGTATGATATCTGTTTCCGAATTCGTATTCCCCTGTAAATGGTTTAGGATCAAATTTAGGAGAAAATAATGTTTCTTTCACAATCATGCTGGAACTCCGTGCTTAAACCGGGATGTCAACGAAAATGGCAATTTTGAAGCAACAGAATACAATCATCAATTACAACTCCCCCTCATTAAGGAAACCCTTTCCCTGCTAGCATTATTACTTCATTTATCCACCGATTGTCTAATTCAACTATTAGAATCTCATTACCACCATAAACATTGAAAGCTGGATTGATGCTGAAGGCATGATTCTAGTGCCGCATTAACATACTCATATAGCTTTGCTTCACCCTTTATTAATTGCCTTTTCCTTCTAAACGGCACCACCCAAATTCTATCATCTTTTCTTCTCCAACTGTCCTAAACTCGAACTTTTTTATGACTATTTTACTTTAACTTTCTTTTCTTTTGGCTTTACGTTTTTTACTTGGTGGTAAACAGTTTTTGTGATACATGTTCTACAATTACTTCTTGATATTTAGGCAGGCTCTGGAATTGGTGGGATGCTTAGTGCAGTTCATGGTTTCAACACAGGTAAAGCAACAAAGTAGTTACCTTGTTTCGTTCTTGTGGATTTATTGGTTCTTGTCTAATGTTGTTCACCTGCATGTAAATATCAGGAATTCCGTATGCCCAAAAGTACGTGAAGGGGCCAAAGTGGCTTCCTTTTGTTATTGGGGTACGACTGCGCTACAGATTTTTTCTTCTTCAGCCCTCTCAGTATCTCTGAAACTTCTAGTCCCTTCGATCTCGACTTGTTTAGACTTCATTACCATGCTTTTTTTCATTTTTGCCTTCTTAATTATGTTTCTAATCATGTTCCTATTTAACTTTGGTAGCTTCCCCCCCTGCTAATGTTTTCCGCTGCTAGTGCTGCTTTTGGAGGTATGCATCATCTGATTTGGATTTTTTTTTTTTAAATCTTAGTATCTAAAAAATATAGACATCTCCAAGATGACATGAAATCTAGAACTCAAATCTCGCGGACTATAAAATACAAATGTTTAACATACACCTGTATCGACAAATAAATTAATCAACCACTGTGAACGTATAATTACTACTATGTAGAAAGGAGCGAACGAAAGTGATGAAGAAAGGATCTAATATGGCATTTTCTTCATGAAATTTCACCTTTCATTGTTGAATCGAATTGCTCACTCATTTAGATGTGACGTTTCTTGATTTTGTTTTAGTCATCTATTAGCTATCCTGGATCCAATGTACTTCCATTTTTCTTCCCTTTTATTATTTATTTATATCTTTTGGGAAGAAAAATTGAGTAGAATTTTTATGCCTAACAACTTGAGCTATCTTGATAATATATTTATATATAAGTGAATCTATGATGGGTAATTTCCAGGTTACGCACTTCCAGAGTTCACTCAACTCACGGTGACATCATATTATGCTGCTTCGAGTGCATCTCACTATGGAATTTCGTTGCTCACTAGACATATAGAAGACGACCATATCTCTAGGGTTCATCGTAAGGAGCTATCTTAAATGATTAGCTGCAGGTGTACGGAAATATTTCACTTGGCTCGGTTTTGTAATCACAACTCTACCTGTGTATGGAACTAATATGTAAATCTAGAAAATGTGTTCCTTATTTCTTTTTTGAAAATATATATATATATATATATATATATATATATATATATATATATATATATATATATATATATATATATATATATATATATATATATATATATATATAGGGTTAATAGCATTTTCCCACCTAGACTTTGCCCGTTTTTGCACTTTCCCACCTTAACTAAAAAAAGTTGCACGGCGGCACCCAAACATTCATTTTTGAGGCACATAACCACCTGGAGGGAATATTCCGGCGAATATTCTCATTTTTCGTCTTTTTATGCGAAAGTACAAGGGCTTTTTCGTCTTTTTACTTGAAAATATTATAAGGGGTGAAATTAAAAGTACCAGGGACTCAATTGAACTTAATTTGAAACTTTCTGGATCGACTTGCACTTAATTTGAAACTCGACTATGTTCGGCTGCCCGCTCAAATGCTGCATTATGTGAACCTCCCTCTTCATATTGTCCTTATCGTTCTTGCTCGATATCTCGGTGCACGAATACGTCACGCCGAATTGGCCCCTCCCCAATTCTTTCCCCACCGTGTAATGCGACTTCACATCTTCAAAGGGTTTGCCGAGAATGTTGTTGGGCTCTAGTTTCTGGGCGGGGAGTTGGGGTTGGGGTGGGGGTGAGGGTTTCGGAGGTGGTGGCGGCGCCGCCGCCTGCGGCGGCGGTGGTGGGTTGTAGTGGTGCCTTTCGGGTTGGGTTGGAGGCTGAGGGGTGTATTGGGGTTGGGGCTTTTCGTAATTTTGTTGATTGTAAGCAGTGTTTGCTGATCTGTAGCCATTTGCATCTGGGCTTGAGTATTTGCCCTTGCTAAAACACCCACCGATGTTTTTTAATTTTAATTTTTTTTCTGAATCTTTGAATCAAGATTGCAGCTTTATGAATCGATTCGTGAAAAGGAATACAGAAAAAGTGGAATCTGGGGAGAAGATTCAAATCGAGAATTAAATCTAGAAATTGAGGGTTTTATTTTGGGGATCTGATTATTCGACCTAGTTGTGTAGACGAAGAAGGTCTGCAATGGCGACTATGGATTAAGGAGAAGAAAAAAGAATTAAAAAAAAATCATTTCACAGACTGTGTTTGTTGACTTCTCAAAGCTGTGTGTGAAGTGTTCAGCACACGTTTTTGCTTTAAGTTCAATTGAGTCCCTGGTACTTTCAATTTCACCCCTTATAATATTTTCAAGTAAAAAGACGAAAAAGCCCTTGTACTTTCGCATAAAAAGACGAAAAATGAGAATATTCGCCGGAATATTCCCTCCAGGTGGTTATGTGCCTCAAAAATGAATGTTTGGGTGCCGCCGTGCAACTTTTTTTAGTTGAGGTGGGAAAGTGCAAAAACGGGCAAAGTCTAGGTGGGAAAATGCTATTAACCCTATATATATATATATATATGCTTCCCTTTTTAAAGTTTGTTATACTAATATTGGAGGCATACATATGCTGGTGTGCAATCATCACTTTGAAATATTGGAAGTTTCACTGTGTAATTTTGACTTGTGTTGACTTTGAGTGTACGTACAAATGCTGAATCTAAATATTGTTATTTATTAAAATGTAAAATAGAGTTGCAAAGTAACTCTGTTAAGAGATGTTGTATCATATTCACTTGGCAACAAGTTGCACATAAATCTCAACTTCTACAGTGCAACAATCTTTAACGAGGATACAACTTTTTGGATCACGTAGCCAATCGAGACTAACGAATTCATACAGTGGTCGAGATCTAGTCGAAGATGTAAACCAATGAGAAACTGCAATATGAGAAAACTTTTATCAGTGCAAAAACTTTATTTTAGAACATAAAATATCATTTGAAGCATACTAACTCACTTTTTCCAGAGTCGAGGATGGCTGACGGCCAACCTTTTAGGCGAATATTAAAGTCAGCCTTTACTTTCTGATGAGGAGCAAAGCTATCGGCACTAACACATATCAAAAATATCGACACATAACGCCCGTTTACACTGGGGTGTCCATTTGGATATACCTGCACTTTCCTATAGCATAACAAATTTAATTTCGATTACTTACAACAAGAGAGATTGATAATAAATAAATAAAGGCAATTACACGATGAATTAGAGATGAAGATACCAATTGACGTCACTAACAGTGAATTCTTCTGAAAACCAAACATCGTCATCCAACTTAGAGAATCCTCGAATCTTCCAAACACGTTTTTGTGTCGTTGGTTTGAACAGAGTCAACCGCTCGGAGACCCTTTGTCTTTGTAGTACAAAAACTTCAGCTCCAACCACAAAATTATCTTCAACAAGGTAGCTACTTGATTCATCTCTCAAACTTTTCTTGGATATAAATTTGGGGAATCCCCACATTGACTTTGCTTCACTAAACCGTCGCACCCCATCTACTGAAAAACCAACTTAATTTTAGTGTCGAGAACAAGTAATCGGTTTTTTCTTATTTAGTTTTGCATTGTTTAAATTACCTCGAAAGCATAGATAATTGTCTAAAATCTGATTATACAAAAAGATGGTAAAAATGACATTTAACTCCCAGTCCTCGGGCAAATAATTAGTTTCAGACATCGCCAGGTATACCGAAACATGATTGCCTTTTTTTTCTTTACTTGGGTGTCCATTGGGATAGATAACAAGTCTCCTGTCGAAAAAGCAAGAGTAAAAAAGTGAAACAAACATTACAAACATTAGTTGATTGAATTTTATTATTATGTGTTTAGTAGACCATGATATTGCGGAATGAAATCTGAACTAGCAAGACTCATACAAAAAAAAAAAAAAAATCAAAACTAGCAACAAGTCAACAACAAAATGAAAAATTATATATATACCAATTGTAACCTCCGGCTTCAAAGTCCCTGCATTCATAACTTTCAATCCCACTGTTGGAAAATAAGGAGAAAGATTCGATCTTGGTAAAAAAGTGTGCAGGTGAAACGTCTCTTATTTCCACAATCGATTCTAAAAAACAAGTCAAACACACAAGAATTATTTGCTTAAACGATTCTTGCAAACTAAATAAAGAAGAACAAAAAAATGCAGAAATAATGGTCACAAACCCTCTTCGCCCGCGGCAAGCACCGGCGTTGTTCCTGTAACGGAGTTTTGTGAATGACAGTTGAGTATCTTAGTACAAAACCATCCTATCACCATTCCCAGCAATAACATCATTTTTGCACGCGAGCAAATAAGCAATCCCCATAATACAAGCACAAAATATATATCAAGAAATAAGATAAGTTCGATATTTATTTTTATTTTATTTTTGGTATAATATCTAAAACGAATATGCAATTGCTTATCTTAATGATGGTATTTTATAGAGAATGAATACCCTATGTAAGTAAATAGTATTTGTTTTCTTTTTTTTTTCCTTGATATCTTTGGTACAAAATCTTCAATTATTATCTTGAAAATAGAGGAAAAAGTTAGGACCATGGCATCAATCCAAATGAGTATGAGTTAGGCTGTGTTTGATACAATTTCATAATCTCTTACTGATTATTTTGCTCATTCATTAAATATATTGGTCGTTAATTAAGTGCGTTTGATCGCAATATTTGTTAATAAATTCAGCAATTTATTCCAGACTTGCGTGTTTATTCAATAGGGGGTTAATTGTTATTTACCCAATAATTGTTATTTGTTAATATATGAGAAACTAATAAAACTTGAGAAAAATAATGTTCATATATGAAGGTAAAAAAAATATAAAAAAAAAATAATTTTAAATAAATAATTTTAATATTAAAATATATTAAGTCCTTTTTTTAATTCAAATTAAAATAAGGAAAACTTCAATATTAGATTTGTATTTAAAATTTTCTTGGAATTCATAATATATATATATAGATGTTCTACAATAATTAAGGGTAAAAATATAAGCACTTAATATATTTTAATATTAAAATATATTAAGTCCTTTTTGGAATTCATAATATATAAGCACATGATCCCTTTTACTATTTCATTTGACAAATAATTATGTTTATTAGAGAAAAATATTTTTTTTGAAAGTACAAGGATGTCATGTGTTTATATTGAAAGTACAAGGGTCCTTATGCAAAAAGATCAAACAATAGGGGGTTAATTGTTATTTACCCAATAATTAAGTGGAAAATAATCAAATATAACAAATGTGTTGTGAAATAATTTCCATTAGCTCGTTTATTAAATATTTTATTACAAATACTAATGGTGTGAATATTATTAATTAATCAATATTAACTAGTTTTTAATATGTAACTAATATATATATATATATATGTGTATATATGGTTATGTATATATGTATATATACTAATTAATATAATATAATATCATTCACAATATAATATAATATAAATGTGTGAGTGGGAAAGATAGAGAGAGTATGTTAGGAGAGAGAGAGAGTAGAGAGAGAGAAAGATGCTAGCAAAATTGTATTTTTCTCTTATTCATTTCAACACAAAATACAAGTATTTATAGGCATGAGAATGCCTTAGTCACCATTACACATGTCATTACTTGGTAACTTCTATAGTCTAAATTGTGACACCTATCTAGGACACTTGCCATACTATAAATTTAGTGCTATAGTCCATAACATTATAACACTCCCCCTTGGACGTAGCACTATTGTATCGGCTGAATTAATGCCTCATTAAAAACCTTAAGCCGGAAAACCCAGTGGGAAAAACCGATCAGAAGGGAAAAAGAGTGCATGACTCAAATCCAAGTCGTGTGCATAAGCTGCCTCGTTAAAACACTTAGCTGGAAAACCCAATGGGATGAAAACCTGTCGTAAGGAAAAAAAGAGTGCAGTGCACTATTGCTCCCCCTGAAATGAGCAATATAAGCCCCCAATATGGGCTATTAATCAATTTGTAGGTTATCTCATTAAAAACCTTGAGCTGGAAAACCCTATGGAAAAAACCAGTCAAAAGGAAAAAATAGTACAACACATCATAGCATTATATGCTCCCCCTGAAACAAATAATATAGGCATCTAAAATAGGCTATTCAAAGATTTATAAGTTGCCTCGTTAAAAACCTTATGTCGGAAAAACCACATGGGAAAAAGACCAAACAAAAGGGAAAAAGAGTGCAACATATTATCACTTCGTCTTTGCTTTACGCATTTTAAATCTACAGGAGTTTAAATATCAAAATTCAGTGAACCATAAAGATAACATTAGAATTTTTGTTGACGTATGTCCATTCCCTCACGAACAACCCTAGGAAACGAAAAATGATTGTATTCATTACGTGTGAACACATCTAATCATAATTAATCCCATATCATCAGGGGAATCCTTGAGTAATAACGCCGACATTGTATCGTACAATTTTGTTGATATTGTTCATCTAACGAGCAAAATCCCATTTATATCCAGGGAATTTTACATTGTCCGGAATTTGTACAACTAACCTATATTTATTTCGTTTCTCTAGGAAAGCCAATTCCGATTTAATCGCTTTCTTGGGTTTAGGCCAAACTCGGCTCTGTCGACATTCTATTGTTTTGAAGGTGGTTCACTGGCATAATCATCCTGAAAAATTATAATTTCCCGTTTTGAGAGATTAAGCTCTACAGAATTATCTGGAGCATGTTTATTATGACCTGTTTATTTAGTGGATTCAATTCATCCATATGAGTGTGAACGTGTGCTACAAGGTACTGATATTTATCGCAAGTACTGCACAGTCTCATCAAAATTATTTTAATCAAGTTTCTTCGGCACTATCCATTCTCATATGCACGGGGTATAGTAACTTGTGCAAAAAACGTGCAAAATAATATTGCACGTATATAATAAACACAGATGAGACCATCTATAAGATCCGTCGCACAAAATCATAAATATTTAAGATATTGCACTTGAAAGGTTGTATTGGTCCATAAATATTATCAACTCTTTTGCACTAAAGGTTATACGACGAAACTTCTATAAATTACAGAAATTCTCTTCGGACATAAGGATCCTTATACCGTACGACTGTCCGTAGTATATTCTTTAATTCAAGTCACCGTAATATTTTGTGGGCGTCCCCATATTAACATGCCAAAACCTGAATATTTCAGGATTAATCAGTTTATATGACATGTTGGTGTAGTAATTGAAAACTCGAATTAGGACACAATACAATATACAAAAGCTAATGCTTTTAATATCATAAGCAGAACAATTGTTTATTCCCGGAGCCATAATCTCTACGGAAAGTAATAAAATTTTAGTTCGTGCTTTGCACTATATCACACTCAATAAATTTTAGAATATATTAAATTGTCAATTAGACTAATACATCATCCGGGGAGATATTTAAACTCAACCTCGGGAATATATATATTTCAGGGGAGATATGCAAACTCTACTTCAGGAATATTTCATTTGAAGGAGAACTTTTAAAATTCGACCTCATGAATATGTCATTCGAGGTAGATATGTAGCTTATCTTAATTTTGGAAATCAGTCCGAGAAAGATATATAACTCAATTTCAAAGTTCGAAATTATAATATATAGACAATAGTCTATTATATTTATGTTTCACATGTACATCCATATTAAATAATATGTCCATAAAATACTAACTCAATCTTGGGTATTTAACATCCAGGAGAGAGATATAATCTCAACCTTGAGAACTTCTCATTCGAGGGAGTTTTGCAAACTTGATCCCGGGAATTTAACATCCGAGAGAGATATGTACATGTTACACAATTAGTAGACATATCGAATTAACCTTGAAATATTACCAATATCATCAGGGGTGTATAAGCTCGACCTTGAGAATATTTCTTCCAAGTTAGTAATATTAAATCAAACTTGGGAATAAATTATCCAAGAGAAATGTGATCTTATATTTCATCGATGGATATTTATAAGCTCGACATCGAGACTTTAGGGGATTTATTTGAGCTCAACCTTAGGAATGTATCGTCTGAGGGAGATTTTATAAAATCGATCTCGGGTATATGCCGTCCGAGAGAGATATAAATTTTATCTTAGGAATTAGCTCAATCTCGAGAATAAAATCATCCGACATAAGTATTTAAATTTGACGTCATTTATATTTATCTCGAGAAAATATTATACGCTCAACCTCGGGTATATCATCCGAGGGAGGTACGTTCATAAATAAATAAATTCGATCTCGAAAACCGTTACATCGAGAGAGTTATATCGTAATCATTAAGAATATTATCATGCATGATCTCAAATATATAACCTTTACTCATAGGCAAAAATATATTTTGTAGGCAATAAACTCGTGAGTTTTAATTTATTTTGACCAAATGATTATCTGAGCGAAAATATTTGCATCCACCTTGGTCAATTTAAGAACATCTTGACGAGGACTATCTTTCACATTGTCGTTGTAGGTCTAACCACATATTTAATTTTATAATGGCCTTTCAATTCAAAAATGTCCATCGTTTATATTGGTACTGCACCCAATTAATTTTATTTTAATAGCCTCATTGGCCTTTGATGGCACAACTTTTAGTGACTCTACGGGCATCACACCCGGGGTTATATTTACGGCTTCTATATCGGCAATTATTGGGGACTACAACGTTCACATGTCTACGAACAATATGTTCGGAGTAATTTTCATAGCCGAGGCGAGAGATAATAATTTCTTTTTTTTTTTCTCATAAATCAACATGCACATAATTATAGATATATATATCCTTCATTTCCTCCGAAAGTTGGTGGCGTATAAAATACCTTAGTATTCGCTTCACCATTTGATATCGATAATCTGGATTTTTATAAAATAAAATAAAATAACATAAATAAACTTACATAACCTACCTTTTTCGAGCAGAACCTCGTGCTGATAACGTGTTGTGAAATAATTTCCATTAGCTCGTTTATTAAATATTTTATTACAAATACTAATGGTGTGAATATTATTAATTAATCAATATTAACTAGTTTTTAATATGTAACTAATATATATATATATATATGTGTATATATGGTTATGTATATATGTATATATACTAATTAATATAATATAATATCATTCACAATATAATATAATATAAATGTGTGAGTGGGAAAGATAGAGAGAGTATGTTAGGAGAGAGAGAGAGTAGAGAGAGAGAAAGATGCTAGCAAAATTGTATTTTTCTCTTATTCATTTCAACACAAAATACAAGTATTTATAGGCATGAGAATGCCTTAGTCACCATTACACATGTCATTACTTGGTAACTTCTATAGTCTAAATTGTGACACCTATCTAGGACACTTGCCATACTATAAATTTAGTGCTATAGTCCATAACATTATAACAAAATGCGTTCATTTTTCATATCCGAAATTGTAAATCTGATCGATCAGCTTCCCGCTTAAAATTTTGCAGAATTCAAATCCCATGGATATCGGGGTGAAATTTCTCGGAGGAGTCGGAAATATGCTTGGAAAGTTTGCTGTGAATACGACCTCGAAATTGGTGGAGGTCGAGAAGAGAAATGGCGGAAATGCTAGGAATCAAACTATTCCGATGGTGCTCCTAGGGGTTTCCATCAGTCTCTCAGCCGTCAATACCGTCTGGAATTTTGTATTAAGTCGTCGCCAAGTGCCGCCGGAGGAAACTCGTAACGTGAATATTCAGATCACTCTAACTCTTCCGCCGCCGCCGCCGCCGAAGAAGCTACAAATCAGAGAGATAGGAGGAGCGAATGCAGATGATGAGATCTACCAGACCATAGCGATCACAGATCCAGAGCTCTTACGTGCGTTCATGGCGAAGGTGATGGCCGTTGTGAACACCTCTCAGGATGCGGCTTCCGGTGAAATTACCGTCGCAGATGAGGTAATCGATGCTAGTATGATTCGAATTTTGAATGAATTCCTGACGATTCTTCAAAATGGAGGAGACGATGCCTAGGGCTAGGGTTCCGAATTCCGATTACTGATTTTGGTATGATTTTGGGATTAAATGTTGAGAGAGATCTATCTAGGATGCTAATAAGTAAATAATAAGTAAATGTTGTTCTGTTACTATGAGTTTGCTGCAGTTATGAATATTGACAAGTACATTGAGATCTAGGGATAATCGATAGGTACTACTAGTAATCCGATTGTATAAATGTTTTCTTCTCGCAATAGTTTGCTACGTTGAGATTTAGTGATCTGATTGACGAAATTTGTTCGGTTTGTATCTAGATTGAAAATCGAGCAATGTATCTTCACGCTTCTGTTAATACAATTTCTATAAGATTTGCTGTTTGATTTTTAGCAGTATATACATATATCGGCCTTTCTCGAAAGGATACATACAACCTGAAAGTTACAGAAATGTGTGGAAACAATATTTGCTGAAAATTCCCTTACAGAGATTGGACTTGGGGCTTCATTTGGTCGGTTTTGCTTGGTTTCCGTTTTTCGTTGGTTGTAAACATTGTGTTACGAGATCAAAGAATGGTTTTGAGATGTTCAACAAGGATCAAATTTCTGCGAGGGGAAAAGGCAAATAATTATGTCGAGCATTGAGTTTCCTCTTCGGTTGTGTTCGTTCCTTTTCTTTATGTTAGTCCTGGTTTATTTTGCTTTAATCTTTAATTTGTAGGAGCTTCTTTGGTTAATCTCTCAGTGTGTAACATAGGATGGAGCCAACAATTGAGATTCATTCTGCGTAGAAACGTTATTTTGCAATGGTGATAGTAGTGACAATTTGTTAGCCTGTAGAGCCCTCGTTATAATAGAAATCACAATCTAGTATAGTTTAAGGCAGAGCTTATTCACGACCTCTACTAGAAGTTATTTACTCGTATTGACATTACATTGCATGAACCGTCTTATAACTTGTAACTATATATATATATATATATATATATATATATATATATATATATATATATATACATATATAGGTGTAGTCTGATAGATCTATTTTTTGACTGTCGAAAGGAAGAAAAATGAGACGAAGATAAACCTAGTTACATCGTAGTTTGACTTCAATTTGCACCCTTCTTTGCATACAGAATCAGTGTCTAGAATATATGCAGCTATTTTACGATTTTTAATCCATTATTCAATATGATTACCTTGATTATTGCTGGTATATGAATTTCAAGTGTATGTACGTTTCATACTCCACTCAAATGACGTAAGAATTAATGAACAAGTTCATCTGATTAGTCACTCTTAATCTCAAACTCTGTTTTAAAGACTATCGAATTTTCGAGGAATGTGTGACGTGCACGTGCAGTATTGTAAGCTTTCCGTATAAGCTTTTGATTAGTCTTATCACTTTTTCTTCATGTCGAACTTAGTTTATTATTTCTAATCTTGCTGCGTAAGCATTATAAGCTTTTTGAAGGTTGATAGGCCATGCAATAACGAAACTATGTTGAGCTTTTGGTATTATCAGAAATCTTTTTAATTCTTACATTTCTATTGAATTATTTTCCCCATGTCTTATTCTGCGCTTCTTCGGCATCAATTTAGTCGTCTTTGGGTAGAAAGTTAGGTTGACTATTAATTTCGATTATTGATGTGCAATACAAGTAGTTTTTGGCTTTGCTTAAAGCCGTGAACACTACTTTACATTTGTGATACCTGTTCTACTATTACTATTTCGATATATATATTTAGGCCATCGGCTATGGAATTGGTGGGATTCTTAGTGCAGTTAATTTCATGGTTTCAGTACAGGTATTTATTTATATATCAGTTGTTCGATATTCAAATGAATTCCATGCTTTTATGTATAGAAGCCTAATAGATCACACTCGTAAATACATACACAACGCATTCATTATTTCAAAAGCACGTGAGTTTATTTTCAACTATATATGAAGCATAGGTAGGGGACCCCTAAGACTATTAGAACATGAAATATCAATACAAGCAAGTGGACTTCGTGGTCGTCGTCTGTATGAAATTTAATTGTTGAGAAAACTACTCCTTTATAAATCGCAGTTTTTTAATTTATGATTTTTTTTTTTTTAGTTCCGATAGATATTAATGGTATTCAATACTAAAATCCATGGAGATAAAAAAAATCTAGTATTGCTATGTTTAAAGGTGATGATGACCCCACGCAGAGGAAAATGTGAAGAGTGTTCATTAAAGATCGATAAGCTTTTAAATTACCTGCAACCACCACGTACAGAAATCGAAAATTCTTAAACTGTAATTTCATACCGATTGCAGATTAACCATAATTGCTGCTTCATTCTTTTATGTACGTATAGCTGCATAACATACATATATAGAGCACCTAGAATCTTGAAGCTATTAATGTTTACGCGAGTCTACATATATATAAATATATATAGATACATAAAATAACTGAAGCAATTACTCATAGTTGAAATATGATTAAGTGGAGATATGAGGTAAAATTGGAAGTGGACTAATAAATTCATGTTACATATACTATAGCAAAGTGTTTATTCCTCAAATTATCTCATTTAGCAAATAAAGTACTAATAACTAGCGTATACATATAAAATACTCGAGTTTCGAGAATAAATTAATGTTACCGAATGATTGATTTAATGAATCAAAGATGTAAATCCAAACTCACATGATGATGGTCTTGCATGCTAGGGTTTGGCTGGTTGTGCCCAATCAACTGGCTCTGAGTATTAATGGCAATACTTCCTACTGCTGACAATGGCTTCTTCATCATCATCATCATCAAGTTATCATTGTCCTTCTTGGAATTAATTAAAAATGGATTAATCTGAGCCGCAGACGAATTATGAGTTGTTGGGGTTCGCCACATAGACAAGGGGCTCCCGTTGATTGGTTGTTGCTGTTGGTACGAATAATTAGTTGAGCTGTATTTGCTCCAAGAATGATAGTTTGCAAACCGACTGTAGTTAGTAGTGGGGCCATCGGCTGACTGAAAGTGGGCCTGCTTAGCGTGCTGGCGTTCTCTCTTGTGTGCGTTTTGATGGCCGCCCAGTGCTTGAGAGGTTGGGAAGTTTCTGCAGCAGTAATGGCATTCGAATTTCCTGTTGCTATTATTATTGATGTTATCGAGACTTGTGATCGTAATATCCTTATTCGCCTCTCCTTGAGTGTGATTAGTAGTATTGACGCCGAATTCTTTGCCGAAAAGTCTAATGGCACCGCCTCCGCCTCCGCCGCCCTTTTCTTTGAGTGGAGGCGGTGGAGGTGGGCGGATGAACGGGAGCTGAGAGAAAGACTCTACGCTCATGAAGTCTCGAGTCTGTCTATCGAGATTGTTCATGGAAGAAGAATTATATTATTAATAGCTAGCTGTCTTTCTTGCTATATGATATTGAAGAAGAAAAAATGGGAGATTTTATTTTTTTTATTTTTTTTATTTTTTTTATTTTATGATGAAGAGAGAAAGGAGAATATATATATATATATATTGTATTTAGAAGGAGGTGAGAAAATGTGAAAGAAAGGAGAGGAATTTTATATGGGGGTGTTGGAACAAGGGTTGTGGTGGGGGGCCTGTAAATATGGGAATTTTCTTGATTAATGGTTTAATTACATGCTTATATTTAGTTTAATTATACATTTATAAGCTTATAATTTAGTTTGTAATTAATTTGATAAAGACTGGAGCATATATACAAAGACTTGATCAACAGTACTTCTGCCCACTTGTTGTACGTCTCTGGGCATATTTATATATATGGATTGATGATCATTGATATAAATTTGGATTTAATTAATCATGAGTTAATGGATTAATGTGTGTGTGTGTGTGAGAGAGAGAGAGAGAGATAAAATGGGGATAGTTGTAATTTACCCTTATTTATATATATATCATTCTCTATTTAGAAAGTGATGAATAATGATATGCATATATTCCTGGATTTTTTCCTGTTTAAGTGACACTCTTTTTTAGGGCTACATGCATTAGTTCTTACTTCTTACACACACATATATATATGTATATAGCTGTCCTAATTATTACTGTATAAATGCGACAGTGTGATCTAATCCATAATTTCCTTATAGGTCTCTTGTCAATCAGAAGAATTATTTCTCTAGCTAACTAATTAGTTATATATATACATTATACACACATAATTATAAATGTTTGGAGTGAATATTGAAAAACACAAAAACAGAAAAAAAATAAAAAAATTGTTTTAGTGGTTTGCCAATATAATGTTGGATAGTCCATATGCAGACAAACAGTGATCTTTTGAATTCATGCAGCAGCATTGACCGATTCCAATTAACTAGTGCGTGCAATTATTCTCCTTAAATTACAACTGCACACCTTAAAATTAATTATATTGCATTGCATGCATTTGTTAATAAATTCTAATTATATTCCTACCTATTTCTTTTCCTATTCCCAGGACATGTCTCTGTCTTATATTTACTTTCTTTCCTCTTTTCATGCCATCATTAATTATATATATTTTCCATGCATATATATATATATATATAGTTTCTACCATCATTTCTATATATCAAAGTGGAACCCTAATTCTCTTTAATTAAGTATGGCCGGTCAAAAGGGGAGTTTTGACTTTGGTTTTACTACTTCACAAACCCACATATACATATGCATATAATTTAACTAATTATACACACACACAAACATATGTTAATTTGGACCACTTCATCAATCAACAATATAAATATATATGCATGCAAGTAAATGTTGATCAGTACTGAATCGAAGGAAGGAGAAAGACAACACACACACACACACACACAAAACATATATATATATATATATATATATATATAGGAGCCCCCCACCATATATATAATATAATATATTGCATGCCAAGAAAACATGACGACCATTTAATTTGAACTCTCATTTAAAAGCTTGATATCCACTGATCTAACAGTATTCTTTGTCTGAACTGACTTATTTTTGGACCACCTGACCAAGGCCCAGATGTTACTTATCTTGCTAATTAATTAACTGTGATTAGAATATCATTTAATTTGTATTATAACATTAATTATCAGTTAGATCGAATCCAGTACACGTGGCTTGAAATCGACCATATACATGCATGGCAATGAAGAATTAATGACACTGCAAGTACATATATATATATAATTCATTGGATGCTATATAAGCTATAGCGAATTGAAGATGCGGGTGAAATATCATTGTCGTCCATATATATATATAGATCTTCAAAGGATCTTGATATTGACTCTCGAACATTTTACATATATACTTCCGTCACATATATATACAACAATCTATATATTCATAAACAACCACATAACTGTCATTGTTTTCGTTTAATTTATTACTTACTTCATCACACAAACTCCAAACTCATCCATAATTAAAGAACCTTTTTTGGAACCCTAATTTAATTTGCAATAACTTGAAAGTTTTTACGATTTTTACTGCATTATATATAATGTCTCGTATCATTCAATCTGTCTGATTTAATATAGTTACTCCAAAAGAAGAATGAAATTTCTAACCGATCACTTCTTCTACTCAAGATTTTTACTGCTTATATATATATTCATGTTAATTAATTTGAAGAGGGTTTTGGTAGTTGAAGGGCACGCAATGGATGGGGTTCACATGCATGAGTAATTACTACATATATAAACTAGGTACAAATTAAAGAAATTAAATGGTCCACACATTCTTGGTTTCAGATTTGACTCCACATTGCAGCTAGCAGATCCAGTACAACTTAGTTGTTGTAAATATTAATTGTTTTAATTTTACCCATCAGCTTGTACACATTAATTAATTGTAATGTAATTAAACATACAATTGTATCCGGCAACACCCCGGGAATATCGGGATCGGGGCAAATTACCATCCCTAGCTAATAGATCGATTTTGATTCTACACACGTTAGTTACCTTTTTTACTACCCCAAGTGGCATGGAAGCCAGGCCTTTTTTTTTCTGCAATCATTTCTGCCCACTCCTTATAATCAGATATACAGTGACTAACATTTCCAACATGTTTTGCAGATTGCAATTACTAAACTCTGTTGGTTTTGAGCAAAATAATTAATATGATGCACTTATATTAATTGGTACTATTATTTTAAGTGGTCCTATTCTTACTTCCTCCGATCCACAAAAAATACTCCATATATAACTTTATTTTTATTGTTTATTTATATATTATGTATAGGGGTACTGTAATGAAAAATGGCAATTGCAAACACTGGATTATGTAATATAACCAAAGTACATATATTAGAGACAAGTATTGACTAATGATGGTAATGTAGGAACACATATTATGTACGAGAAGTTTTTAGGGAGAATTACACTTTTTGTCCCTGATGTTTGGCCCGATTCGACTTTTGGTCCCTGTTGTTCGGAAGTGAACAAAATTCACATCAAAAGTTCAATTTCTAACACTTTTCATTTGTAATACTTTTTGGATCCAAATGGATATTATTTTAAATATTGTATTATATGTATTATTAGAAAGGGCTAATTTAGTTAGAGAAGAAGCCCAATTCAGTATTAGCGGAGTATAACAGAAGCCTTTATTACAGTCTCACAAGTGGCTCGGGCCCATGTAGCCCGGCCCATATACTATTCTCCCTGAAACCATGCAATACGGCGTCGTTTCAGATGGTTAGGTGAATTGGTGAAGTTTAACAAATCAATTCACACCTGAAAAACCCCAATAGTTATTTACACACCATCACGGATTCTGACTTTCTATGTTGAGCTGAGAAGACCGCATTTTCCTTGTCGGATGATCAGAATTACAACGTATGTTGTTGCTTCTTTGTTTTAATTTTTGTTTTTTTCGATCGATCGTTGCGTTGGATTATTGGTATTATTTTATTGTTGTTTAGGTGTTCGAATTTGGAGTGATGAAGGATAAGAGTTCTGCTACCACGTCTTTCCTCAAGCGAATTCTAGTCAATTGTTCAGCTCAGGTTTTTTTTTTTTGGTTTACTTTTCTGTATTCACCGGTTATCAAATATTTTTTTTCTGGGTTCAATTCAGAAGAGAAAATAGAGATGTGGACTGAGATTCCTGTAGTGGTCTATTGAAAATTTCTAATTTGCTATGTTTGAATGAGGAAAAAAAAATCAGATAATATGTTTTGAACAACTGTTATAGAAACCTGGTTTCGTATAAAAGTCAAAAGGAATACAGATCAAACTAAATATTAAGCATATCACATATTTCGTACCCGCCTGCATTTTCGTCTGTTTTTATTAATTCAATGTCCCTATGGAAATGATCACTATACCTGGAAATCAAGCATTTTGTATTAGAGTCTGAATTTTATCCTTCGATTTTAATTCGGTGATAATGCAGTAGTTAAAGAAATCTCTAAATTTGTTTGATTGGATTTCAATTCATAAAAAATCTTTCCTGCCCAGCAATACAATTGCATGTTTGATCTAGTTTAGGGAGCTGATCATATGGTAATAGCTATTAAGGATTCACTAAATCGAAAGTCTTCAGAGTTTAGACAAATTTATTTATTTACTTCGGAGAGTAACATAAGAAAAGGTAATTTTGGAACAAATAAGTAATCCTTGCGTTATTGAGAGAATATGTTCTTGCATAATCTAGTAAGTTTTTAATATGAAAATGTTTCAGAGTTTCAAATGTTTCTTAATGTGAAAATAATGTTAACTGCTATTGTAATTCTCATTCTCGGGTTTACTTAACAAATAACAATTAAGACTAATGTACTATCAAGTGTAGGACTGAGTAGATGGAGTGCCAACCACTTGCTTGGCAAACTTTTCCTATTAAAAAGAAGCAATTAGTGCTATTATGAAAACTAATTCTTACCAGCTTCCATATATCGTGCATGTTCTGTATTTCGCCACAAAAGTTATATTCGACTCAATTTATCTGGGATTAGACTAAATATATGATATTCTCTTTATGTTACTTATATTCTCTCAGTTTCTCTCCTACATGCAACATATTTCTGAAGATATTGATGTATATGATTGTTTTTTGAAGGCCAAACAATATGGTACATGTGTTTCCTCAAGGGTCCCAGAAGTTGAAAAAGACATGTGTTTAAAAGAATTCCTTGTGTTAAAAAGTTGCATGCAGAATGTGGTACGGCACATTTAAACTGTGTGATGGAAATTGTATCTAAATTTCCTATTCTCTTGTCCTTTTATCTTTGAACCTTAAACTGTATCGCACTTTTCTTGTATGACTTATGGTAATCAATTCTTTTTGCTATCCAGCTACGAAGAAAGTTCTGAGTTAAAGAAAATACAACTGAGCAGTAAATACTTCAATTGCCTTGGTAAAGCTTAGTTCCATCTGGAAATCATTTTATTACTGTATTTGCAAAAATATGAGAATGAAGACCTTATCTCAATTGATATTCATGTTTTTTTTCTCTTTCAGTCTGACTCATCGATCTCTCTCAGCTTTATTTATTACCGCTTATCTAGGTTACAACCTGCCGACTGTATAGTTTCGTAATCAAGGAAGAGAAAACGATAACATGATTGGAGAGACATCTTCTTCGAGTCATTCTGGCTTCAGTGGATCTAATGCACTGTCACATGTTTATATTCAATACCCACCTCTAAGATGCAATGTTCCTGAATCAAGGAAATTATTTTATGACGATGGGAATAAAATTATTCTTTCAGTGACATCTAATCAGGTAATTATTTATATTTCACAGAACCGGCTTACCGAATACATATTAGAAAAACTGTGTTCAACTAATTATTATGCATTTTATAGGTTTTTTCATGGAAAACTGCTCCATACAACCCTTATGTTACTCCTTCATCTGATCCAATAAGCGAAGGACCTGTACTTTCTATTCGATATTCATTAGATCTCAAGCTTTTTGGTGTCCAGCGATCTAGTCATGAGATCCAGATCTTTAACAAACAGACTGGAGATACATTTAGCCAAAAGTGCAGGACTGAGTCAGAAAGCATTCTGGGATTCTTTTGGACGGACTGTCCGAACTATGATATTGTGTTTGTGAAAACCAGGTAACCATTTATAATTCCGAGTTGAAAATTCTGTACAACTGCAAGTGTATTCTGGATTTCTGCCATATTATAGAGCATATATCATGACTCATATGCATTTAAATATTCCCTTGTGTCTTGCTGAACGATGCAAGTGGTGCTACTTTGATCTTCCCAGCAGCTCAATGCAATATTGCTGTTATAACTTATAACTTAACACCTTGAGACTTCACTAGGTCAATATTACGTTGACCTCGCCTACTTGGATGATTCCATTTTAATTCAGTTCTGTTGGTTATACCCCTCCCGAAAAAAAAAAGAAAAAAACTCATAACCAATGCAAAGATTATCACTAGGTGTCTGATCCATCACAAAATGTCTATGCTTTCTAATTTCTTTTATTGGAGTATACTCATAATAACGCTCTATATTATTGCAGCGGGCTGGAGTTTTACTCATACAATACCGAGTCCAAGTTTCTCCATTTAGTGGAGACAAAGAAAACGAACATTAGCTGGTATATCTACACTCATGAAAGCAGACTGGTGCTTCTTGCTTCAGGAATGCAGTGCAAGAGTTTTACAGGTTATCAGGTAGGACATGCTCACTTATTTCTGGATCCAAAACTTGCATGCCTTCCTTTCATGGCTATCGTTCATCATATTATAGAGTGAATAGTATGCAGAGTCATGTTAATGATGATGGTCTCAGTGATGTAATTGATAATATAATCTATGCATTTATCCTGATATCACTTTCCGTGCTGGAATTGTTCTTTAGCTGATCACAAAATTAATAATATGCACACAAAAAAGAATGTCACATCTCTAGTTGATTTCCTAATATTCGCTGGCTCACATAAAAGCTATTTCAAATTTTATAGCCTCATTTTTGTTTTGACTTACTTGGTATTGACTGGACTAATCTTGGTTACGACGAATCTGCAATTTGTCCTTTTAGCTGTCATCTGCTGGCATAATTAAGCTGCCTAGGTTTGAGATGGCAATGGTGAAAACAGAGGCAAATAATAAGCCCATTCTTGCTGCTGAAGATGTCCATATTATCACTGTGTATGCTTTTTCCCCTTTTGATTTGATTTTAACTCGTGGACGGTGTTCAAGTTGTTTCTATATTGTCTTAATATGCTTCAACCATTTACAGGTATGGCAGGATTTATTGTCTACAGTTTGATAGAATTGGGATGCTACTTCACTCATATAGGTTTTATCGAGATGCTGTAGTACAGCAGGCAAGTTTTCTGCTGATACCGTGTTATTTAAATAATCTATGACTATTCTCTTACAACGTAACTGAAGAAAGGCAGGACTTTGGTTTTGCATCAAGTACTTGTCTCCCCTTGCAAATATGATTTTCTGTAGGAAAGCAAATTATGCAAAAAACAGTTTCCTTTGCATTTATCGTTTTTTTTCAAAGAAACAAAGAGACTCCACGTAAATTTGTTAGTTGGCAATGATTCTGTTGAATACTTAAGTGCAATTACGTCTTTTATTCCCTTAAATCAAACATAGGATATAGTTTTTTTCCCCTTTTAATAAAATATGACATAAATTAACTGAAGATTTCTGTTCAATTTGTTGCTCTATTTGAAGTGTATATCTACATTGTTCTTCTCAACTTTTTAATCCACCAGAGTGTTTTGTTTGATTGGGACTCGTAACATTGGAAAACATATGGAGAATCAAACTCAATCCTTAAGTTGAAAATCTTTCAATATGAATCTTGTTATTCTTTTGGCATCTACATGTTGATATTGATACATCTGAATGCATGTTCAGGCTTGCAATTTTCCTCAACCCACTGCTATATTCTTGACGTTTTTGCTATACGGTTCTTTATTCTTTTTGGTATTTCAGGGTTCTCTGCCAGTTTACTCCAATCGAATTGCTGTGAGTGTGGTTGACAATGTTTTGCTAGTTCATCAAGTGGAAGCAAAGGTTGTCATTATATATGATTTGTTCGCAGATTCACAGTCACCTATTTCTGCTCCACTTCCTCTATTCGTGAGAGGATTCTCTAGAGCTACTGCATCCTCTCAAACTGCTTTTACAGCCTCTGGACCTTCAGAGTCAAAGAATCTGGGTGATACCGAACTAACAATCTATGGAGATCAATGGAATTTTTTTGTCCCTGATCTCGTGTGTGATTTTGCTAATGGATTTTTGTGGAAAATTAACGTGGATTTGGAGGCAAGTTTTGACAGCTGAGAGAATCGTTTAAATTGATAATTTGTGGTACTTTGTCTTATTTCAGCCATTTTTTGCAGGCAATTTCAGCCAGTAGCTCAGAAGTTCAACTAATCCTTGAATTCTTGCAAAGAAGGAAATTGGAAGCAGACAAGGTAAGAGTCTTTGTGGTTGAAGGAGATGAAGTCGACTAACACCATATTCATTTCCTTGTTAAGTATAGAACTCAGTAACTAAAATGTGATTATTTATTTTGTTTTTAGTCGATCTAACAACATTCTTCTGGTTATTAGTATTATTGTGATTTCCGTTGTAATATAAACATCTGCATCCTGGTTGTTTCAGGCTAAACAGCTCTGCTTGGCAATTGTTCGCACTAATATTTTGGAAAGAAAGCCCATCCCTGTAGTTTCCAGGGCTGTAGACGTTTTACTCACAGCATATTCGCAGGCGATCAAAACAGGCAGTTACTATAAGAAAATCACAGTAGAAGAAGCTTCACCATCTGGACCTGCCAATCTAAGTAAGCCAATTGTATTTGTCAATGAGTCCATGATTATAACAGATACATTTAGAAAGTTGATCGAGGAAGAACCTGCAATTGGCTGTGAAAATGGATCTTGTAATAGATTTAATTTAATATTACCAACTTCAGTCTTAAATCAAACTCCCATAACCTCGACCGGTTAATTGGTGAAACAGATATGGGGAGCTTGTTGGAACCTGGTACATCAGGTGGTGAAGTTCCTCCAGACGACCAATCACAAATTGTTAGGCCTGGTAATGATCAGTTAAATTCTAATGGTTCTGAGAGGCACCAGTCCGAAGTTACTTCTTCAGCTGCAACTTCACCGGAGGATTTGTACAGCTATGTGTTTGCTCCAATTGAGGAAGAGATGGCAGGAGATGTATCTTACTTTATGGCCATCATTGTTGAGTTTCTACGGAGGTATTCTTCACAAACACTACCCCCTCTGATCATTTAAATTCTAAGCTAGTGTAACATAGTTTTGCACTTTTTTAAAGACAACGGACTGAGTCAAATTACAGAAATGACTTTTTTTAAAAGTCATTTATTAAACCGATTCTTGTCAGTTTGCAGACTAAATCTTCTTTTGAAACTCTTTCTTTTAGTTACTCTTCCGGATGTTGGCTCAACCAGTTGAGCCTTCTTGTCTTCCATTTGATAGCCAACGATGGTGGTTTTTTCTGCTCTAGTCTAATAAATATGTCTTTTACCGCATTTGCAGTACTAGCTTGGAAAAATTAAAGGTGCATCCTAATACCTACATCTTGATGGTACAAGTACTTGCCAGGGATGAGCGTTTTACCGAACTTGAATTATTTATCATGAATAAGGTTACGTTTTTCCTACTTTGTTTATTTAAGAAGAGACTAAACCTTACTAATCGTACAAACGAATTTTGACTAAGGCACATAACAAAACTGAGCTATACGATGCAGATTATTGAGCCTTCAAAAGAAGTAGCTATGCAACTACTGGAATCTGGCCGTCGGAACCTTCAAATAAGGAAGTTGGGCCTGGATATGTTAAGACAGCTCTCCTTGAATCATGACTATGTTTTGCTGCTTGTACAAGATGGATACTATCTTGAAGCTCTACGCTATGCACGGAAGACTAAGGTAATATTTTGTTGCCTCAATCATTTTTACATCAGAACTTACCCTCAGTAATTTCCATCAGCACGTTCACGTGCTCATGAAATACGTAATTTTTTTGGTTAACCTGTTTGTTCCACCAGGAATTTTCTTCCTGTTATATTTTTTTAATCTTCTTCGATCCTTAATTATTTCTAAATTTGTTGTTTTACTTTTAGATATATTCATTCGTTTTAACATATAAAATCTCATGTATTTAGACTTTCTTCTTTATATAACCTTTATCATATTCGAATCTTTTTTTGTTTTTTGGAAAAAAGGAAATCAACTTTTAATCGACACGTAGATAGAAATTTCTGGTTTCTCCACACAACTTGCCTTGATACATAAATTTGGGGTTGATTTCAGGTGAACACAGTCCGGCCCTCGTTGTTTCTAGAAGCAGCTTACGCTTCTAAGGATCCACAGCACCTTGCTTCGGTTTTAAGATTCTTTTCTGATTTCATACCTGGCTTTAAGAACACCTCCGATCACCAAACGTACCACCGCATTGTTTCTGAGATGCATTCATAAATTGAGGGGCTGTTTTTGTCGAATACGTGAAAGTTTTTGGTTCCTTGTTCTAAATTTGATTGTTTTTTCCTGTTCCTTCATTTTCACCTCTGTTTTTCAGTGACAAAGCATCTGCGGTAGTAAAAGAGACAGCTTCGTCTGCTTTCCGTTTATTATTGTCTACTATTTCATATCTAGATTTTTGGATTTTGGTAAGAAAATATTTATTTTGTTATGTTGCTATATATTTTCAGTTTCTTGCACAATTCCCAGTTATATTACAAAGTTGTTGAATTTTTGCAAGTGGACAGTAAATGTTGCTTGGCATCTAACTACAGTTGTGGATAACGTGCCTATGGTCCTATCCTATACTTCCGATTTGTCCTTGGAACGTAACGAACATCGAACTTGAACTCGTTTGGGATGAAAAGGTTAGTAATAACCGCAATAATATATTATGTAGTTACGAATTCCCTATCGAACGAGACCTCAATTAAATTTATCAGTTGGACACTGAAGAAATTAAAAATTAATCAAACAAATATTGAATTAGAAATATAGTAGGTCCACCAGCCATATTGGAAAATCTATTAACCCTTCAGTTTTGCAGGTGTGTGAGTGTGCAAATAAATTATTCTTTGGGACAAAAAGAAATTATTATTGTGAATATAGAATCTTAGTCAATATTTTATACATACAGAATCTTTGTTTGTTGAATAAAATTTGGCACATTATATTAGATAATTCAATTATTAACTTTGTCACATTTGCGTACAAAATAAAATAAAAAAAAATGTTTATTAATCTTTGTAATGAATCTATTAATTTATAATTTATGTCTTAATCATTACATATTATTTTCAGTTCACGGGGTTGGTTGGTACTAATTTTAGTGGTTGCTCAAAAAGCAACTCGACTTGTCAATTATATATCAATATTTTGTACTACTTGTTGCTTCAGGATAACATTCTATACATAAAAACATCGTTAGTTTGTTGTCTCATATTTTGCAGTATGCTAATTTTATTTTATCACATAACAATAAATAAATAAATAAAAAATTTCAATTAACCATTTAATTGTACTTGTTCCAATATGGCACAATTTCACTAGCTGTATTGCATATTTGCACAAGTATAGTGTCATTTCAACAAACTTCATTTGATGCATAGCTGATAAGCAGAATTAAAATGTGAGTACGTACCTGATAATATTTTTGGCATATTAGATCATTGATTGAGATAGACTTTGTACATATTGACAAAGATAGTTAGGTGATCATACCCCACTATACACACACTTATACACATATGTGTGTGTGTGTGTAATTTTTTGAGTGCATGCCTATGTGTATGTATTATTATGCCAGGTTGTGATTTGCAGTTGTTCAATCATTTTCTTGCTTTGTTTTTTTATTTTTTATTTTAGAGTTAGTAAAATGAACCCATTGGTAGTTAAGCCATCTAATTCTTATTATTATTATTATGATTTTCTCGTACCTTACTAACTAATTTATTAATAATTTTATACATATATATATATATAATCAAAATCATGATGGGCCAAAATCCAATTGGCAAGGCCTAGGTTCAGTCAGGCCCAATTAACCAAATCAAAACACGGGCATTGTACACGTGTGCAATTCTTATTGGCTGAGGCCTTTTTTCCTTTTTTTCGCCCATGGGGCATGCGGCACGAGATTCTTGTGATCCTGAATGTAGAAGATTACGTACACTACAGATTATGCATAAATAAATATTATTATATTACAGACATGCCCAGTTGACCATGCAACTTTTTTTAATTTTATCTTTTGGTCCCAAATCACTTTCTCCTTTTCTTTTCTTCTCCCTTTACTTTTTTTTCCCTTTCCATACATACTCCACAATTTTTTTAATGGAAAATTTGGATTTTAATTCTCATGCTCATAAATTAATTAGTATAACCGTTGGTATTTTCTCTGTAAATAAATGGTACATTTATACACATAATAAATACGAATACAAATACATCGGCAGTTTTAGTCACGCACTAGTGGTGTCCACTTTCTGTCCCCTCTTTTTCCGGTAAAAATAAATATATTCTTTTTTCTCTCTCTCTAAATTTCATTTTCATTTTTATGCACACAACACACATCTCTCTTTCTTCTGCCAACTTCATTTTTCTTTAATTCTTCTTTAATTTAATTTTCTGTAGTAAAAGAATTGACCAATGGGAGTGAATAGAGGTTCAACTGCTTCAGCACTAGATGCCTGCCTTTCATAAAAGGGCATCGCTTCCAAGGCAAGCAATTAATCAAAATCCCCATTAATTCATTTATTTATCTCACCTTTTTGTTTTTTTCCCTTTCCTCACACACGGAGGAGGAGAGAGAGAGAGAGAGAGAGAGAGAGAGAGAGAGAGAGAGAGAGAGAGAGATAAAAATGTGAATATTCATCATTGAGTATAATTGCAATGATGATGTTTTCGCAGCAACTCAATCGATCTTTTTCGAAGATCTGGATATTTTTATTTTAATCGATTTTTTAAAATGAATTGACACTTGTTTTTGTTTTGGGGGTTTTCTGTGTATGAATGTTTGGTAGTGTGTACTGAGCTGAAGCGAAGTCCTTAAATTGAGGTATTTTCCATTTTTGTAATATTCAGGTGAAATGTGTGTACTTCTGTAGGTGTGTGTGATTATTGTTTTCGCTTCTGTGTACTAATTTTTAGCAGCTGCATTGTTTTTTTTTTTTTTCTGCCATGGATAATCTTCTTTCTCAAATATTCAGAGGGATTTTCGTCGCTATCCTTTGGTTTTAATTTTCTCTGGTCTGGAATAATTTTGTGGTTTTTAATTTTTTTTGTTTGTGTTAAAGCTAAATTAATGGCTTCTAGACAAGGATTACAGCCGAAAAAACCTAGTTCAACAAGAGCAGCAGCGAGTAACAATTCGCCGGCGTCGTCTACAACGTCATCATCTCGTCAATTTCTAGGGCCTTCTATAGACGGCCAGAGTTCCCCAGCTTCGTCATCTGCTCGAAGTAAACCTCAGTATTTTCACTCAGAAAGTGTATCTTTGGATGTTGAGAGATCTACGGAAAATGTTACAGTCACAGCTCGGTTTCGTCCACTCAGGTAAATCATAAACAAAATTGTAATGTCCGCCCCTCTTCTGCTTCTTCTTCCTTTTTTTTTTTCACTCCTAACTTCTATTGTGATTTCTTGCTATTTCGTGTGCAGTCCAAGGGAAATTCGGCGAGGAGAGGAAATTGCGTGGTATGCGGATGGGGATACTATTGTGAGGAATGAGCATAATCCGTCAATTGCTTACGCCTATGGTATAGTTCTAGAAGTCGATTATTGAATCATTATTTGATGCTATATTTTGTACTAATCGGAACAGAGTATACGTAAGGAAAAAAAGTACATGGATGGAGGATAGAATGATAGTGTGTGTAGAGATTTTCCTCCATTATTTTGAAAAATCTCTCTCGTTTCATACCTGCTGATGCTTCCATTGCGTGCTTTGTTCTGTGAATGAATATCTATTATTTGTGGATGTTAAGTCACTCAGATTGGACATGTTTGCTTTATTAAACACTTTATTCTATAGATTCTACAATCCTGGTGCAAACCAAACAATGGCGCTTGCTGCTTATCTTTAGTATGTCTGGCTTACAAATTAGATCGTTTCAATGATACTTATATATGCATAACATTTTCCAGATCGAGTATTTGGCCCTACAACCACAACAAGGCATGTCTATGACGTTGCTGCACAGCACGTAGTCGGTGGGGCAATGGATGGAGTCAATGGTACGTAGTTGTCTGTTGAAAGATGTGTGTATATTATATTACATCATAAGATTTAAATATACTTGTATAAGCTACTAGTTTATTACCAGTGAGCTAACATTTGTATAAAAGAACGGCCGTGAAACCTAGAACAGTACAAGATAACAAAGTTGTAACCGTTAGTTGATAGTTTGACTAAAGTACTGCAACTATACATATTGATAGCTTTATTGTGCTTCCAACCAATAAATGAACATAGTGTAAGTTTCAAAACTGGAGCTAGTGTAGTTTTCCATTATTTATCGAACATAGTTCAGGATTTGTTATATAAGATAGCGGAGAGTTGAAATTTAAAATTAGTTTTTTATGCGTTACATGGTCTCTACAAAGGTATTGTAATGCTGAGTTTCATTTTTTTAAATAAGAAATTTATTTCCATCGAATAAGCTAATTAAATTTTGAATGCCTAAGCTTTATTAACTAGGCCTGTTGATGTTTGTCCGTGTTGTTTTGTTATTCTCTTGAATGCCAATAAACTATCATCCATTATTTTCAAATATATAGCCAATTTGTTTTGGTTATGCCTATTTATGGATGTGCCACAGGTGAAAATTTTGTATCAAAGCTCTTAGGAACAGACCTTGAACTGTGCCATATAATCTCATTGCATGCCACAACATTGAAAAAACTTTAATGCTTAATACTATGCTTTAGTTTAGTCTTCCCTTTACAAAATCGGAGAGTGATGATACTTATGCTTAAAACTCCATTCATCTAACTGCTTCCGTAAAACTTTACTCCATGCTAAATAAAATAATGTTTTGCATGAAGAAATAATGAATCACATCCTCTGATTCTTCCTTTTTTTTTGTTCTGGTCTTCTTAGAGTAGCATATTAATTTTATTTTGGCCATTTTCATTTTTCCCTTTTACAGGTACAATTTTTGCATATGGAGTTACTAGCAGTGGGAAGACTCATACCATGCATGTAAGGGAACTATCTTCTTGTTCTTCCTTTTTGTATTTCAACATATGTGATATGTGATTAAGCTTGAAAGTTTTGTACCATTTTCATTGTTTTGTCCCAATAACAAGATCAATATTCATAACCTTTTAACCTCTCGAGTTGATAATCTTGCATATCTGTTTTATGTGTTCAGAACAAAGCAAAAACAAAGAAAAGGGCACAAAATTAACTTGATATATTTAACATAGTATTTCATGACAAGCCAAATGTCGCATATATTGGTCTTTGAATAGTAGCTAACTTGAGTACCCAAAAAGGATTCAAAACAGGTCTAATTATTTGAGAAGGGATTTTTAGCCTTGTGACTATTGTGTTAGACATTAATGGCTTATGCTAACCCATGTGTTTTAGAGTACATCACATGCATCTCATGCGCTTATTTGTTTAAGGTGCTCTCATGTTAGAATTCCACAATATATCTTGCTCATTATTATTTGCAGAAACCAAGGAATGTAATACGGTTTCCTTTTTTAACCATAGGGTGATCAGAGGTCTCCTGGTATCATTCCATTAGCTGTAAAAGATGCTTTCAGTATTATTCAAGAGGTACTTGAAATGACTTGGCTGCTATCTATCTCTTAAGTACTATATCCTAAAATCTAAATGGTTGTTCTATGTCTTATGACTGCTTTAGACTCCAAGTCGCGAATTTCTCCTGCGTGTCTCTTATTTGGAAATCTACAATGAGGTCAGACTCTACCCATATCTCCATCTCTTTTGAATTTCGATTGATAAATATGATTTTTGTGCTCAGTTTTTTGCTATCATACACGAATGTTTGTTAAGAAGCATATCTTAGTTAAATAGATTTTACTCATAGCAGATAAGAATGTTTCTGAAGTGGCTGAGTGCAAAGCCACCCATCTTAATTGCTCTTAACACTTATATCTGCTTTCAGGTTGTCAATGATTTGCTCAATCCAGCTGGACAAAATTTGAGAATTAGAGAAGACAGTCAGGTAAAAGTTTCATTGATCTCAACAAGTTGTCTTTAAAGGGCCCAATTGCAAATACTAGCCGTAAAAATATTCTTATGCTTATAAGAGTTTCTATATTTTCAAAGCTCATTGCTTGTTGAACTTCAAAATATATATAAATATCATATTGTATTGTTGACATATATTTTGTTAGCACCGGTATTATTCATTTCGGTTTATCTGAATGGTTGCAGGGAACTTTTGTTGAAGGAGTCAAGGAGGAAGTCGTATTATCCCCAGCCCATGCACTCTCCCTTATTGCAGCAGGAGAAGGTAAAACTTGGTCATCTTTGATGTTGTGCTGCAAATACTGTATTTAACCAAAAACCCTTCATCAAATTATTTTCATTTGTGCCCAAATGATAATTCTGCTCTTTTTGAACTGTTAAAAAATCTATGCATTGAAAGATTAAATCCGTACTTTTTGGTACTGAATGCAAGATTGTGAAACTGACCTCTGTTATCATATAGTTATCTTTGGTTACTACTGCTGTAGTCGTTCACTATTATTATCATAATTTTTACTGCTGATATTAAAAGAATTATGCATGTCTTGGACAAATTAAAAGGTAATTATTTTTAACATCCACTATTTCTTGTGCCCAAGTATTTATGGTCTACTTTGTATACTGCAGAGCACAGACATGTGGGTTCAACCAACTTCAATTTACAGAGCAGTAGAAGTCATACGATCTTCACACTGGTAGTGTATATATGATGAGTTAAAAATTGTCAAATGCAAATTTTAGTGGTAAAAATTCACTGACAGCGTTTAAAATATGCTTCCTCTGCAGATCATAGAGAGTAGCCCTTGTGGTGATTACTGCGAAGGCCAAGCAGTTACCTTGTCGCAACTGGTATTTATTTTATCCTCATATATATGCTCTTTAATTAAGCATGACTGTAATTCACGATTTTAGAATATTTGATCTTTGACCGGATTATGTTGATTGCTTCGATAAATCTTAACTTTCATATTTTGAATCATACTTGCAGAACCTAATTGACTTGGCAGGATCTGAGAGCTCAAAGGCTGAAACAACTGGCTTGCGCAGAAAAGAGGGTTCCTATATCAATAAGAGCTTGTTAACTCTTGGAACTGTAGGGCCCAAATCATTGTGACCGCGTTTTAAGTTTGATAGTTATACTGAACAAACTTTCTGTGAAGTGGACAATCTTCCCCTTCCCAGCCCCAATATAACACACACGCACGCACACGGCCCACACACACACACACACACACACACACACAAAGATATGGGGGCAAACACATGTATGCTCAATCACTAGTCTGCACTTGCACAAGCAGTGTGTAAAGAGTTGTACGAATGTTTCATACTTGTTTTAATTGTTCTGGAACTCGATGTTGCTAGAATACGTAGAATATGTCAGATTTGGGTCTTTTGTGTTCTAGGAGAATGTGATCTGGAAGAATGTGTATATGGTCGGGTGGATGTGTGTGTGTGTGTGTATTGGGGGGATTGCATTGCTCTCAACATTTTTCGTTCTAGTGATTATTCATGTGGGTTTTTCTTCTTAATGGGATTATATATGTGGTTTATTGATCAGTCTACACCATCTCAGGATTTATCGTCTCCAACATTTCCTTGTCTGTAATCAATCTAGTGTTTGCTAATAATCATTGTAATTTGTGGTATTAATAGGTTATTTCAAAATTAACGGACGGGAAATCCACTCACGTACCATTTAGAGACTCCAAATTGACGAGGCTTCTCCAGCCCTCACTTGGTGGCAATGGACGCGTATCTGTAAGAGTTCAATTCTTAATTTTTGTTGTAATATGGATGTGTCTATTATCCATTTTTGTATTTATGTACTCGGACATTTTCTGAACATTATATGAAGTTATACATGCCTGTTTGAATCAGCTGATTTGCACTGTTACACCCTCATCAAGCAATTCTGAGGAGACCCACAACACTTTGAAATTTGCCCATCGAGCAAAACATATTGAAATTCAAGCAGCACAAAATAAGGTTTGGTCAGATGAGATGTCGATATTGAAAAGCCGTCTTTTGATCATTGTATTTAAGCAATCCTGTTAACATGCAGATAATTGACGAGAAATCAATAATAAAAAAGTACCAAAATGAAATTCGATGTTTGAAGGAAGAATTGGAACAAGTTAGAAGAGGCATGCTTACAGTTACACCATTGAAAGACAGTGGAGCTGGTGATATTCTGCTTCTAAAGCAAAAGGTGATTTTTTTACCTTCAAAGTATTAATTTTAATTGAATATCTTTTATGACAAGTTTAAAATGGTTTGCATCTTATCACTACATTGCTTGTTAAAAAGGATATGCTTGTTGTTGTTGTTGTTGTTGTAATTGTAGGCTTTTGTATTCTACCTTCTTTGTACAAGTCTTGGATCAATAGTTAAAACCCCACAATCTATGTTGTAGCCTGTGCCAGGATATATTTTATGGACTTGAGAAGGAACTAAGTATCTTCTTTGCATTGATAAAAAAAGTATGATTTAGTTTCCGAGGGAAAAGAAACTATCAACATCATTTTCTTCTCTCCCTTCCGTTTTCTCATCATCAAGTCATCTATTCCACTCACAATTCATGCATTTAATACATTATACTATTTAACAGTTTAACTATTATTTTACCTGACTAACCATAATGAAACTTCATATATTAACTTAGTGACAAGGATCTAATAGGTAGCACAAAAAAATGTGTAGCTTATTTCATTTTGGTAATTTTAGAAACTATGGCTTTGTAGGGGTTCCTCCTCTAGGTGAGAATTACATTATCATCTCAGTTCACTGACATTTTGGTCTAAACTTTAATTCCTTTTACTTCTCTCGTATTTGAAGAAAATATTCTCATGCTTGGCCCTCTTCAGTATAATCTATCCTTAGTAATTATCATTTATGAAACAAGTCACAGAAATATATGTGCCCTCATGTCCTAATAAAAATGTTATTATGTATAAACTTGTTATAACACTGTGGTGATCTGACTCCTAAAGCTAGAAGATGGTCAAGTACGACTACAGTCAAGATTGGAAGAAGAAGAAGAAGCCAAAGCTGCTTTAATGGGCAGAATACAGAGGCTGACAAAACTAATTCTCGTATCTACAAAAGCTTCACCAACATCACGATTTTCTCAACGGTCAGCAGTAAGGAGAAGGCATTCTTTTGGAGAAGAAGAGGTTTTGTCCCATTTCGTTCTCCTCCACACTCCCCCCCCCCCCACACACACACACGCACTAACACCACCACACCAAAAAATAAAGTTTTTAATCCTCTGTTTGACAAGGCAATCTCTAAAGGTTATAATTTTTTTCTATTTGATGTATGACAGCTTGCGTATCTTCCACATAGAAGACGTGATGTTGTCCTGGATGATGAAAACATAGAGCTGTATGTTTCTCTCGATGGCAGCGTTGGAACTATAGATGAAAAATTGAGAGAAGAAAAAAGAACAAAAAAGAATGGATTGCTGAGTTGGTTAAAGTTAAAGGTGGGTAAGATATCAGTCACTTCTAATAGTTCTAGCATTTTTAAGTTAGTGATTTCTTTGTTCTTTTCTCTTTCAATTTTCTGTTCTTGGTTAAATGTATACAGTTTGAAACTCACCTTAGTTTTTGTGGGTTGCTAGAAGCGAGATAGTGCCATAGGGACCTTCGCAAGTTCTAGTGATAAATCGAGTGGAATCAAATCAACAAGTAGTCCTTCAACTCCTCAAGCTGATGGCAATATTCACATGGAAGCAAGACATTCGCTTTCTTTACTCACAGAAAGTACTCATTCTGCCGACCGCTTATCTGATACAAAACATAATAAAGAAGTTTTCGAGCCTGAGGATAATTATTCGGGTGAAGAGACTCAACTGGTATGACATTAGAATTTCCCATGTATTTTTATGAATTCCCATGCATTTATTTGCCTTGTAATGAAGACTGCAACTCTTTTATGGTAATTATGAGAACAGCTTGCTGCTATACTTGCTACTTATATGGCTTATGAGTTTCTTCCATCTATGTAAAATTTAAAATTATTGTTGAGATTTGGTTTATTGAGGTTCGTCTCCAATGATGAGACAAAGGTAACATGGATCATTTTGTCAATAAATCAAACCTCGAGTATAAATTCTATGATTCACTTCTTTTTGTTAGAAGCTCCTCCATTTTGGTGCATAGTTGACTAACTTTATTATTTTCTTTCACAATTGTATTATTTATCAGGCTAGCATGACTACGGATGAAATTGACCTTTTAAGGGAGCAGCAAAAGATTTTGTCTGGTGAAGTTGCATTTCACATGAGTGTCTTGAAACGATTATCTGAGGAGGCTACAAGAAATCCTAATAAGCAGCATATCCATGTAACTTTTTCTATCCACTATCCAGTATTATCCATGTTTCAAATTTCTCCTAAGATGTTCTAAAGTATGTCTTTGAAACTTCCGTAGGTGGACATCAGAAATTTGAAAGAAGAAATTCACAAAAAGAACAATCAAATTGCTTCACTTGGAAAGCAAATTGCAGATTCCATCAATCCGCATGGTGAAAAGGGCAAAGTGGAGGACTCACAAGTAACTAAAGATTTATCTCTTTCAGTCAAGTGACTTCAGCATTCAGGCTCATCTATCTGTAGTAACTGTTTCACATTTCAGGTCGTAGCTGAACTAATGGAGCAGTTAAATGAGAAGTCTTTTGAACTCGAGGTAACATACCTGTACTTCTGGACCCTTAATTTTATGATACTACAAACTTTAGGGTGTTTGAAGTCATTTCACATAGTTGAAATCAGGAATCTATTATTTTCTATTTTAACTTTGGAGCCACAAGATCAAATAGTATGAATTTCTTTGTTGAGATAGTAGTGGTCTATCCTCAGTTACTCCTCACTGCCTGAGCTTTAGTCATCCTTTATCATGACGCTACATTTACTGTTATGATTTTTTTCCCTAAGCAATTTTGCATGGTTTATCATGTTTCCAGGTCAAAGCTGCAGATAATCGGATAATTCAGGAGCAGCTGAACCAAAAGGTTCCACTATTCCAGCTATATTTACTAACCACAGCATTTCATCCTTTTGATTGGACATGCATTGACAATATCTGTTATCAGATTTCGGAATGTGACGAATTGCAACAAACGATTGCCACATTAAGGCTAGAGCTCTCCGATGCTGTTGAACAGAGAGACTTCATGCCATTCAACAGTCATTTGCAAGGATTTCCTGAAACTAGGAGTGTGCACATGGAACATCAAATCGGCAAAGACAATTCAGTGTTAAAGGATTCAAATGATATGTTGCTACTACAAGCTCAGGTTTCAATTGTTGTCTCCCTTTTCCTGATATTTAGCTCTTTCTTGAAATTTATGAAGTTGCAACTTATGTGATGCACTGCTACGCTGACATGGTATTGGTACTCTGAACTAAGTAGTCTGAAAAATGAAATTATGAACCAATCGGAATAATGAAACAGATCTTTACAAACAGATTTTTGTTTTCTATTCTATTTACACTTTGTGGAGTGTAGTATTAAAAGTAAACGAACAATTTTAAGATCTTGATGCATTAGGACAGCCGATCAGCAAGCTAATATTATGTTTTTACACCTCTCAGGCAAATGATGTCGAAGAACTAAGAAAAAAATTAGATGATGTAACTGAGTCAAAAGAGGAGCTAGAGCTGCGCAACAAAAAACTCGCGGAGGAAAGTTCATACGCAAAGGGGTTAGCATCAGCTGCAGCAGTTGAACTGAAAGCTATGTCTGAAGAAGTTATGAAGCTAATGAACCACAACGAGAGATTAGCTGCTGAGCTGGAAGCACAAAAAAAATCGCCAACTCAGCGGCGCGCCTCCATTCCAAACAGGAACGGGCGGAAAGACAGTTATCCCAAAAGGCACGATCCAGCTGTCGTAGCCTCGGATATGAAGAGAGAACTGGCTATGAGTCGTGAAAGAGAGAGTTCATTTGAAGGTGTGCTGGCAGAAAAGGATCAAATCGAAGCTGAATTGCTGAGGAAAGTCGAAGAATCAAAACAAAGAGAAGCCTACCTAGAGAATGAACTTGCAAATATGTGGATACTTGTGGCTAAGCTTAAAAAGTCTCATGGAGTTGATAATGATGAATCTACAAAGGAGAATAACGACTTCTGATTTTTGGTATAATTATCCTCTTCAAATCAAAAGATTTCCAATAGGTAGTAGGAGAGTAATATTTCGGTTTGTTGGCTTAGTTCTTATGTTTGATTTTCTGGAATTATTTGTAAAAAAAAAATGAAGTTGTTCGTAACACACATTAATCATAGTTCGAAGTGTACGTTAACTGGTGACGATGTAGATATGTGTAGCGTAGCATTAGTTTTTTTTTTTCCAACTTCATCTTTTCTATGTGCTCTGTAAAAGAAGTCTTTGCTGTTATTTATATAATATGGTAGTAGTTATTTATACAAAAGGGTGCCGGTTGTCTTGAATGCTGGGCACTGGAGGTTGAGCACTGTGGTGGCGGTGGTTGGAGGGGGTTATTAGCAAGGGATCACCATGTGTGATAAACTCGATCCGGAAAATATAGACACAAAGGAATTTGAAGTCGGGTCAAATAATATCGAACTTTCTTACTCGGCCAACTAAATGATGGGTCGTATTTAATTGAGCGTTACGATGCAATAGATATGACCGTCTTTAATCCAATGGTTGGAGTTGGATCTTTAATATGGCCACGTCATGTATAGAATTTAATGCCAAAGGTGTATTGAAGGTGGGTCCCATAATGTAGTTGCTAGTTAAGTTGAGTGAGTGAGTGAGTGAGTGAGTGACGACAGCAAGTTATTACAATGCAACAATAAATCAATAATCATAAGTTCGTACGGGAAAAGTTGGTACGTACTACCAATTTTGAGGTCTCTATTTTTGGGTTTTTTTTGAAATTTGCATGCATCTATTTTTGATGATTTAATTTTCTTTCCCGATTCCATTAATTAAATTAGATCGATCTCTTATTAGGTATCATACATATAACTGTAAATTATATACAATCATATGTATACAACATATGTACACATTATGTATATATGAATGTGTCACGATAAAGTTCACTCGATGTAACATAATTAAGCAAATTCATAACGAAAATAAAGATTAATTAAACTTTTTTATTTTTCAAAAAGAAAATCTATACATTATCAATATCTTCGCGCTTAAGTTTAAACCCGTTACACTTTAACGTTCGCATTAAATACAACAATAAATATCGAAAAAGTCTACGTATGACTTAGATATTTCGATAAATGCTTCGATAATCCGATTCATAAAATCTAATACGAAATCGCCAATAACATCACGTCTTCCCCACCAACAACTCATTTATCTTTTCTAACGATTGCAATAATTATTTCGAAAGTAATTTGCTTTTTGAAAATCGACGAAATAAATTTCTTATTCATCCAATCGCGCGTGCTTGGAAAGGCGTGCATTGGGCGTCACCGTGACGCAACAATCCCGTTTTCAAACGAGCATCGGATTGGCCGTCTCACTACATAGTTATGGATGAATACCGGACTAACCGCCAACCCTATTCTACCCCCAAGCATCCGGCCATTAGCAGTTAACATTTTTCATATAAAAAATTATGAACATTTCACATATTAAATACTAAGAAATTAAACCAAGAAACTCTCATATAAATAAAAAGATGGTTTTTATTTTATTACATGAATTAAACATTATTACAACAACTAGTTTACTTCTTAAGCAAATACAATCCAATTTCTTGATAGATTTGCAAGAAAACGATACATAAAGTTTATTCAGAAATTATTAAATAACATGCAAATTGATAACTATATATTATTAAAGAAATCTAGAGCTTGAGAGTCAAATCCAGGTCATGCTCCAAATTGATTCCATATCCACCATTAATAATGTTGAACTCGCAAACGCACGCTTTCCCCTTTGCATTAACCCCAACGCTCTCCGCCAGATTCAGTTCCTTTGGTGGGAAGAAGTTCATCACCACGAAAGAAGGCGCCACGTCACTTTTCACATTCTCATGATCACCACCATTACTAACCTTCTTATTATTATTGTCATTAATTTTGTTATTAATATTGTTAACCACATGAGGAGGAGGAGGAGGAGGAAGAGGATTCTTGCTGGTGGAACCCTTGAAAAAGTGTTTCTTTCCAGCATTAAATTCTCCGAAAACACCCTCTTCAATGAGAATAGCCTTGTTTGGGAGGGATTTTGTTGGGGAGTTAACTGATGATGCAACAAACTCATTCTTCACAGCGGCCGTTTTTGGCGGTGCATGCAGATTGTTCCGGCTAGGGTTTCTTTCTCCGGCGGCTGCGGCTGCGGCTGGCTGGCCATCCTTCATGGCTCTTAGATAAGCGCGCTTGCGATAGCCAATGGGGTCCCGGACAAAGAGCCTCTTCTCCTCCAAACGCTCGCTGCGGTGGGCGTTCTGATGACCGCCCATGGCTTGAGCAGACGCGAACTTTTTGAAGCAGAAAGAGCAAGTGAATTCCCATGACTTTGCCACCTTTGTTAGCTGCATTATCTCGCTTCGGTCCACATACCGCATCGGATCCTCGTTGATGTTAGAGATCTCGAGAGCGTACCGTCTTTTCGCCATTTCGGACGGATGACTTTTTTTTTCCGATGAAATTGAAGAGGTGGTGTGTTTTTAATTTTTTTGTTTCTATTATGAAGAGCACTCTCTCTCTATATGTGTTTATTTTCACATAGAGAAGTGAGAGAGAGAAAGAGAGAAAAAACAAGAAGGTGGTTGAGAGGCAGGCAGGTGAAAAATGTTGTGGGGGGAGAGGGGGTTTTTATAGCAATTTTTGGTTTCTTCGTAGCTAATGTGTTGTGTTTCTTTAATTTCTGGTGGAAGGTTACAATAATATTATTATGTCATTGGGGGAATTTATTTTATTATTTTATTATTTTAATTTCCCCAGAAGAAAAAGCAATAAATAAAGAGATTACTTGCATTTGAGTTGCATAAATTTCCTTTAATGAATGAAATGAGATTTTGTGATATCTGCATGCAGCTTAGGGTTTCCTTCATGGGACACGTAAGTCATCAAGAGTTATTGAGCAAAGAAAAAAGTTGTACCTTTTTCTTTTTTATTTATTTATTTTTTCTTTCCCAGTGTGGAAATTCAAAATGTGGATCAAATCAACATCACTTGCTGATTGCTTACTTTTATTTCAGTTATGTGAATTAAACCCTTTTTTTTACTTTATATTTTCTTGAATTATTGTGGGGAAGTGTTGTGAATTGTGATCATAATAAATGCTGATGACTCTTCTCTATTTTGATCGTGTTAATTCGATTCAGCAAATAAAACAATATTTTTTGTTATATCTTCTAAATATATAGAATGTAATTTTATAGTATGTGATTTGTGGAATTCGTGATTAGATGAATCTTGGTCAGAAATTTTTGAAATCATTTGCTAATAATCTTGTATCAGATCTCATATATTATTACAGTGATATTTAAATATGAAAAAATCAATTTATTTCTAATTTATCGTTCTAATTTATCGCGGATTAATCGTGAGAACTGATGTACTTATGTTACTTTACTCTTTCTTGGTAATGTGTTAATTACATCCATTGTTTGCCATTTCTTTTGGTTCATACTGATGCAATTCTCAAAATTTTCAGATTAATAATCCTTTTACTTTTTCTGTGATTAATATGTTGAACTTATTTTACTGCCTAATGTTTTTGTTTCAATTTTAAATGTAACAGTACACCTTATTCTATGTGTGTGTCCTTCAATGAGATAATCACAATTTAGAATACCATTTGTTAGTTATATTCTATGAGATAATCATAATTTAGAATGCTATTTGTTGTTTCTATGTGATAATCATATCTAGTACTTAAAAACTTTAATTGTTTTTTTAGCCTAAAACAATATTAAATTTCAATTTTAGCCCCAAAATAATGTTTCCGTTAGACGCATGTAATGGAGGCAACCAAATATGTTTAAAATTGAACTTTGAGGTGTATTTTGTTCACTTTGGAACAATGGGATCAAAAGTGGATCGAGTGAAACATGATGGACGAAAAAGTGAAATTCTCCCATTATTTGTTGAATATCTATCAAAACCTTAAACTAAACATTATTTGAAGAACAACAAGGACTTACCTGACAAATTTCCAAGCAGACAATGACTAAAAAACACACACACACAAAAAAAAAAACACTACTCAAAGTTCAAATTTGAAACTAAAACTAAACTAACAATTAATTCAAATATTTTATCAAAGGAATATGAATAAGAAAATGACCGTCTAGACAATGACTTGTACACAGATATCGACTCCCAGTGTGCAACGACCATCAACAAGAAAATCCTTGGCAATATTCATGAATGAAAACCCCCATGTTGTATTCGAAGATGTATACCAGTGAGAAACTGCAATTACAAATAAAAAATTAATCGAAGATGTAAAACCAGTGAGAAACTGTAATTACGAAAAAAAAAAGAAGAAAAAGAGAGCAAAATCTGTAATTTTCAATATATTCAAGAGGCAAATGATAAGAAAAACTCGAAAGTACTACTACTTACGTTGTCCAGAGTCTGCATTCGACCTGCCTTTTAGGTGCATACAAAACTCCACCTTAACTTTTCGATGAATATCAAAGGTATCGGCACTAACACAAACCAAATATACTGGCACTATGCTGTATTTTGAACCTAAAGCTCCCTTTGGATATAGCCTTATCTTCCTGCATTTACAAATGTAAATTTGAAAACTTACCAATTGGCCTATGAGAATGAATGGAAGATAAGAAAGTAAGAAAATACCAATTGAAACCCCTTGTGTGAAATTCTTCAGAAGTCCAAACATCTTCTAACATAGTAAAGTCTAAATTCCAAATGTGCTTATACGCTGACTGTGGATTGAGCAGAGCCACAATCTCATCAACTGGTTTTTTGTGCACGACAAATACATTAGCTCCGAACACTAAATTGTCATCAACAAGATATCCATTTGATTTTTGTCTCAAACTTTTTTCAGAGATATATTTCGAAAATCCCCACTCGGACTTTGTTTTGTTAAAACAACGCGCTCGCTTTACCCGAACACAATGATACTTATCCAGCATCTGATTATAGAGGAAGATGGTGAAGATGACATTGACCTCCCAACCCACGGGCAACGAATTAGTCTCGGCCATGGCCAAGTATATGGAAACATGACCGTTGTCCTTTTCTTTACCATAAGGATAAAGTATGAGCCTCCTGTCGAGCAAATCATAAGTTTGGTACATTATAAGCTAGGAAAATAAATAGAATCGAGAAACAATTACCATTTGTAGTCTCCGGATGTAAATTCTTTGGTTTCGTATCGATCAATACCATAATAGGAAAACAAGGAGAAAGATTGAATCTTAGTAAGGAAGTGTGGTTCAAGACTTGTTTCCACAATCGTTTCTAAACAAAAAAAAAACACAAAAATAGTTAATGATATTGAATTAAAAACTAAAAATTAAAAAATAAAAAATATTGATGACAAACCCTTGTCATCATCTTCCATGGGAATCACATCCGAAATTACTCTTGGGACAGAGGTTCTTAGAACATTCCAAAATTCGTTTGGGACAGAGGTTGTTAGAACATCCCGAAATTCGTCGAATAACTTAGAACAAATCCAACTGCCTACCCCTATTCCCAGCAAAGAACTAGCAATAAGAAGCTTCATTTTTTCACACAAGATAAAAAGCCAATTGGAAACGTATTGGTGTTTTTTATTTTATCTTTTCGCTCAAGAAAAGAATTTAGTCCAACCGAGGCTTAAATATATAGAGTTATAGACACGTGAGATACCAAGTTTACTTGAGATTAGGGTAATTTTTGCAGGTAAATCAAATAAAATAATTAAAAAAAAAAAAAAAAAAAGTTGATATCAACAATAATCACACTCGTCAAGTACTAAACAGTATCTTTGGTAGTCTGATTACGTTGAATCTCAATTGGCAAACCTTCTGTCCCAAGAAATCGAAACACCTGTGAATCTCAATTGGCAAACCTTCTGTCCCAAGAAATCGAAACACCAATACGCTTATGTGCAGGGCCAGCTCTTATAGGAAACAATTTTTTTGGGCCCCGATTTCCGAAAGGGCCCAAAAAAGTTATATATATATATACTAGTCTCTGAGCACCGCGCAAGGCGCGGTGCCGGTGCCCAGTTAATTTTTTCATAAGGAATAAATTTCAATTTCTTGCGGACTATTTGATGGAGCTATACTTGATTCTTTTATTCGTATCATAAATTTATGTCGATTATTGTTATATAGTACGGAATGCAACATCAAAACCGGTAAAGTAACCGGCAAAATTTGTTATTCAAGGTGCAGAAAGATAACTTTCTACAATGAACAACGAAAAAAAATATTTTGAAGTGCCCAAAAGTTTCCATCAGTAATGAAACAAACAAATTAATAGCAGGGCCGGCCCTGGGGTGGGGCGAGCAGGGCCCACGCCCAGGGCCCAATTGGCTAGAGGGGCCCAATTTTATATATTATATATATTTTTTATATATAAAAATTTATTGTTTTATTATTAAAAAAACATATTCTTTTATTTAAAAAAATCTTCTGTTATTATTTTTAAATTTAGTATTAAAGTAGACATAAAATTTTAATATTTTATTTAGTCAAACAAAAATTTATTACATATTTCTCTAACATTTGTTTAAAAAAAAAATCGGGGCCGTTGCTCTTGAATTCCCGTATTATTAGTCATACAAATTTTATTCTCGCCCAGGGCCCCCGAATACGCCGGACCGGCCCTGATTAATAGTTAAGGTTTTCTACAACTGTTAACTATGATTTACAACTAAGTATTAAATCAGATAAAATGTATAAGACACAAGTTACATGGGGCAGACCAAAGAAATGTGACAACGTACGCACAAATAAGCAGACAGAAGCAAGCACGAGCAAGCGAACAAACAAAATACCTGTGAACTCCTAAAGAGCTAACAATTGGAAGGTAATCACTAAAAGAGGAGAAAATAAACAAACAAACAAACAAATGCCTGATGAACACATATTGAAAGAATTGTCATTTTCATAAAACATGAAGTTGACAAAAACAAGGAGCTAAAATTGCCGCACAGCAGTTCGCAACAAGAAAATTCCATCGGCATACTTAAAAAATTAACCGAAAGGGACAAGAAAGCATGAGCAGATGATGGTGCAAACATAAGAGAATAAAGAAGACTCCGGCAAGCACATTCGCAGTACTACAACATACAAATTGGAAAATTGAAAGCCAAAGAATACAATCAAATTTGAGAGAAATAATAACATCATAACATATTGTGACATAGTTTTAAAAATTCTAGCAGAGAAAAATTTGAAGAAAGTGCGCCTCAGATCTGAGATATAAGCGTTGTAAACATCTACAACGGTGAGAGCAATGACTTGGAGCAGGCGTACGGGATTCGTTCTGGCGTGGTCGCCGACAATAACCCCAATTTATCGCCATATCCCAACAAATTGATGTCCATCTACACACTAAAAATCATTTCTCTAACACAATTTGAAACGAAACATTGTAGCACAAATGCATCCACGTCCACAAATTACATAAAAAAAAAAAACCCAATACTATTTTGACAGAAAAGTTGGTAATTAACATCAAATATATATTTATCCCAATCATATTCATAGAAGCATAATCATGTAAATCAATTATAGATAACCAATGTAACTTTGATACAAATCAATGCTCTAAAACGTACCATCGATACATACAAAACAAACAATAGATGAATCAACTTCCTCAATGTAGCAGAATGAACATTACGCATACAAACAAAGTATTTTAGACAAAAAACACACAAACAGAGCAAAAATAATTAGTATCTTGCCAATGACGTGGATATTCTCGGCAGCCCTGAAAATGAGGTAGGCTAAGCAATGGGGGCGGTGAGGGGGCGAGATGTACGCGGGGTGATTTAGTCGTTTTGGTTGTCGTCGAACAGGAGGCGGCGGTTGTCGTGGGTGAAAGGGGAGGGGCGGGGTTGCCAGGGGATGGTGGTGAGGGAAAGGACGAGAATGAGGCAGAAGAGTGTGGTGACGACTGACGCCCACGGGGAGGGAGTAACGGCGAAGGTGGTGGTGGCGGAGGGAGGTGGAGGTGACGGAGGATGGTCGGTGATGGTGCATAGAAAGAAAAAGTGGCAGCGGTGGTCTGTGAGAGTCAAGAATTGTAGGCGGCGACAAAATAATGAGAGAAAAGAAATGCAAAAAGAAAATTGTCATCATGGCCCACCACAATGGACGAAAAGGTTCGAGCAGCTTCAAATTAAACGTAAAAGAAAAAAAATATGCAAACTGATTGGAGGAGTCCATCAAAACGCCGTCGTTTTGGGAATAAAAGTGCCAAAAGAAAAGGGAAAATAAAATTAAGGAGGACAAACCATGAAGTTGTACATATATATAGTTCTAAATTCTAATACTTCGATAAGTAAAAGCAAAAATTAAATTTACAAAAACAAATTCCAAACAGAAACTAGCTTATAATCTATTTTAAAAAGTTTTGCAAATGTGATGGTTTTGCAATTGTCATGAATCACAGGTAACTATCATTCAAATGCGGTGGTTGGCAATAGGCAATCACACACATCCTATTAGACGGCCTAAGCACCAAAACGCCAAAATCTTGCCTCCCAAGTTTTCGAGAGCGACAAACCATTGGCCGCCATTCGGTTCTCGACCGCTGCCTCATGTCCGCCAGGACGCCACCGCTTATTGCTTTCACACACCCGGAGTTTTTCAAACCAGACCTCCCCACGGGCGGCAACGGCGGCCCTCCGGTCTTCGACTGCAAAAAAGAAGAACTAGAGTTCAAAGGCCTGAAACAAGAATCAGCAGCTTCAATCTGCCGGTGCAAAGCCCTATCCTCCGGCGAAGATCAGAACAGATAAGAAACAGGGACACTGCTTAACGTTGTTGATTTACGGTCAAGGCTGAGTCCTCCACTGCCGGATTCCTGTTGTGGAAACGCAATTCTAGTTGCTTACACGTCGGAGAACCGCTGATGAAAATCAGCGACAAGTACGCGAGATCTGTGATAGATTTACAAGAAGAGAATGTTGTGTATTTGTCGAAGTGAAAAGTGTGCAATAAGGTGTAGTGGGGTTTCACCTGTTTTCAGAGACACGACAGCTAGCAAACTTGTGGAAATGCACTTGCGATGGTATTGGCATTGTCGAGTTTCTTGCAGGAAAACCCTTTCATATTACTGGTGGAAAGGCTTTCTACGAAAAGGTATATATTTATACATGTGCGTGTGTCGGTCCATGCATGAAGCCTAGCTTGCACTCAATCTACTGTTTGTTGTGTGAATTTCAGTTCTGATAGAGAAAATACTGCGAACAGCTCCTGATGTCAGCAATATACTTGTCTTGATCAAGGCTAAGAACAAAGAAGCTGCAGCAGAAAGATTGAAAAACGAAGTTTGATAAATTTCTCTTTTCATTTTATCTCTTATTTCTCTAGCTAATAGAACACTTTATTATTATTTTGTATGGTACCGTTTCATACACGGTAGATAATTGATGAAGAACAACTGTTCAAGGGGCTCAGACAAATCCACGGAAAATCTTATCAAGCTTTCATGCTGAACAAGTTTATTCCCGTGGTTGGGAACATGAGTGAACCCAGTCTAGGTATAGACGAAAATCTTTTATATGTGATTAAGGCGGCTATTGAAGGGGATTAGACTGTGAAAGGTTGGAACTTTCTACATTTATGTAGTGTTAAATTCTGTATATATAGATAGAAATTTGTTTGTTCACAATTTTTTAACCCCTGTTTAGGTACAGCCTATTAACAGGGGTGATATTGGTAGGATACTACTGTACGGAAAGGGGTACCTTACAGGATTTCTAGGAGATCACAGTGGAGTTCTTGATGTAGTAAATAGCTATATATAAAATATCCTCAATCTCATCGTATATATATTTACTCCAATATAGTTCAAATAATATATAAGGACTTACGAGTAATGGCTTGATTTACGTTCCAGCAGATATGGTTGTCAGTGCCACCTTGGCAGCCATTGCAAAACATGGGACATCTGCAAAACCAGAATGTAATATTTACCAGGTTGCTTCATCTTTTGCAAGCCAAGTTTGTCAGCCAACATTTCAGTTCCACACGATTTATCGACTCAAAAGGGATTCCAGTTCACGTGTCACCTCTGCAGCTCTATTTGTCCAAGGAAGATTTCTCCACTCGTTTATTGAGGCATACGAAGAGTCGAACTGGACTAGGAATTTTGTTCAATTGAAAAAAGAAATCGCATAGCATTTTCAATTTTTATTCCAACTTGTGTACTTCCCTGCAAGAACAGATAAAACGAAAAACTTCCTGTTTGTGGTTTGATGCAATAAATTAGCCGAAATATTTAACATGGTCAATATTTACGAACGGCAAATCGCATCCTTTCTATAATTGAAAAATACAAAAAGCATCACAAGCCTAGGTGAGAGAACATAGAAGGAACAAAAAATGTGGATACATCCCTATTCTATACAATAAGCATCTATAACCAGACTAGCAGCACAATCACGAGAAAAATAAGATGCTTTGATAATTGAAAAAACAAAAAGCATCACAAGCCAAGGTGAGAGAACATAGAAGGAACGAGGTCGACAACAAACCAAGCAAGGCCAGCGTACTGTATTAGCCTTATGCCACTATCAACATCGAATGAGGTCTGTTTGGACGAAAACAACAGTCTCTGTATATAACCAGATGATTGCTTTATTTCGTCCGATTTCTTGTCTGTTTAAGGGAGTTACATACAAATTACAATTTGTATGATTATCTTATGAATTCTAAAGGTACAATCTATTTTGAGTCGCAAGAAAGATTTCACTCCACTGGTGATCATTGAATGCATGAAAAAAATAACAAATTCATAAATTGAAATTAAAGAGCTTTATTAAAAATTTTAAGAATTTAACAATTAAAAGAGGCTGAATATAAATATTCTTCTTCGAAGACCATAAAGAATCATAATTTAAAAAAAAACAAAAACAAAAAAGCAACAAAGAACCCGTCAATGCCCAAATCATCCAATCCAAGTGGATAAGCACTCTCCATTCTTCAACTGGACTTGGGATCGGGCATCGGGAACAACCCAGCACCAGCAGCTCCACGTGGCGGCGAGAATCCCAAAAACTTCTGCAAATTGGTCCTAATACTAATCGAGCACAGCAAGTACAAAAACGCCATCGAACAATCCGTCATGTCATCGCCGGTCAATCCCCTGTGGCTCATCTTCTGCACCAATCTAATCGGAACGAACGGAATTTTCGCGACAGCTTTCCCCTCGAACAAACTGTTGAGCAATCCAAACACCATGAACAGAACTAGGGCAACAACGCCGCCCGATTTGAACTTGAAAATCGAGAGGTCGCGGCTCGATTCCTTCAGGGATGATTCGACCCGGTCCATCTTTTTGATTTTGGATGATTTTTTGAGGAGGTTTGAGGAGGCCGGACTGGCGTCTGTTGTTTTCATAGTCTCGAGCTTTTTGGAAGCTTTGTCGATTGTGGATTTGAGGGATTTGTAGGAGGCGGTGCGGTAGATCAGAATCCATGAGATGGCTTCGCAGACAACGGCGGTGCAGAGTGATATTCCGACGACGGTGAGTCCGTCGGAGTATTTGGATCCGGAGAGTAGGGCTGACGCCATCTGAGGGATCTGAGAATATGTTGACGGATGAGCTGGTGGTGGGTGTGGTGACTTCACTTTATTTTTATATATATAATATATATTCCCTTTTCCGTTTTTGGGTGGGAGTCAAATTATGTAGAGTCGTGTTGTCTGATTGTAACAGCGACTTTAGTTCAATTATTCTAATTTATTTTTGTTGGATTAATTGGGTTAGAAGAAATTCTAAAATTAATCGGTATCAAATAGCCCATTACTAGTGTGCAAATAGTCCATGGGCCAATTCAAATTGAGTCTACAAATTATATACAATCCAAGCCCTTTTCGAGTCAAATTAGGGGTTGATAAAAAAATATGCGCTACTAAATCTCGTGCCAACAATAACTATAGTATGCGCTGCTAGATCGAGCAATACAAAAGAATTTTAATTTTGGGTACCTAAACATTATATTTATTTAGGTCTCAAGACGTAAGACTCGTTGTCCTTACCCATTGGTTGTATATTGAGTAAATGTCGGTTATAATTGCAAGTGAGCCCTCTAACTTTTCGTCTTTTGTATTTTATACGCAATATCTGATTCGAACGTCAAACGTAATCACTGAGTTGACTCTTAAATATTACATACTTGTTATTGTGCCGTAAGGATTTAGAATCATATTATGTAATACTTGTAATATATAGTAACTGAGAATAATAATTATAGTAGATTGCTCGTAATATACTCTAATTACTCCTATTAGTTTTACGAAAAGATATACGATACACGCTATCGTTAATACAATTTTATTGATCCAAAAAGTAAAATTATGACCGTGTAATATAATTTATATGATTACAAAATCCGAACCCATTATTTTCTATTTCATCACAATATACTTACAAATTTCACTCAAAAAATGGTTGACAAAAGCTTGATTGTATTATTTTATTAAATTTGAGACCTGATATTTTTTTTGGACATTTATTGTGTTTGATAAAATATAAGGCGTATTATTATTTCACAAAGCTAGAAGTGTGCATAATGTGAGCTCATAGTTTGACAAAATGACAACACCGGAATAAATGACAACATTGTCTGCATCATTATTTTTTAAATTAATAAATATTTTAAAAAGAAATTGAATTACCACAACAAAATTCGACTCCAAATTGGGCTTGCACATACGTTGGGGCTTGGGCTAAGTAAAGCCATTGCCCATTGTCCATAGAATTCTCTAGACATATTTTTCAGTCAACCAACATTTGCATATGTGCATTTATAATATCTCTTATATTTTTATAATCAATAATTGTAATCTATAAATTATAAATTGATTTTATAATTGCCTTTTTTATTTGAATAACTAAATCTACAAAATCTCTATGATGAGATTTTTAAAAATTAATATAAAATGGATAAATATGTTCTAAGATGGATTTTTATCTAAAGATATTTACAATTAAAATTAAATTGTATAAATGTTAAATAAAAAAATACAAAATATATATATTGTGTATGTGTGTTATAACTTATACATGCGTGTGACCTGTAAATTATAAACAGTAAAATGCAATAACAGCATTACTTATATTTCTGTTTTTTACCTTTCACCGTAATGTTTTGATTTTCATCTCTGTCGCTACGCCTCATTTCTTCTCTATACGTATATATCGATATATATATATATATACACACAGTGCCAAATCTCATCAGCGAAAACCCCCATCTCCAACACGGCCCCCTCTCTAAATTCTCGATCTCTTCCAATAGAATTCATCTCCAGATTCTCAATCTCATTTCGTCCACTGAATCGACACACACACACGCTCTCGCTCACATCGATTTTTATTTATTTTTTATTTTTTTTTAATTAAAAATTGGTTAGATTAGAGATTTTCGTTAATTTGTTTCATTGATCTGGAATTCATTTGTATCCCGATCTGTGAGTTACGTTTTCGTACGTTGTGTTATGGGAATTGACTGCTAGTCGGATATTTGTGAATCGGATGGCCGGGATTGGACGGGAGATTTTTGTTTTTTGCGGATGAGGATTGAATTATAGGAAGCATAAAATTAGGGGGAAAAATGCCAGGGATTGTGCAGGGGATTAACAGTAATAGCAGTGGTGATAATAGTGATGCTAATAATAATTACCAGAATCCATTGGCAACGAATGGAACGCTGCCGTTTCGTTCCTTTAATGGTTCGTCTGTTTCTAGTAATGGGTTCTGGTCTCAGCACAACGATGATATGAGCGACAATCAGCTGCAGAAGGTATACGCTTGTCAATGTATTTTGCATTTTAATGGCAATTGCTTGTATCCCAAAGATGACAGCTGTTGAATGGGTGTGTCTTAATTGGATGGCTAGGGGTTAATTTGGATCTTACAGTTAAATGGTTCTAGAGTTGAGCTCTTGTGAATTTGCGATTGTAACTTGACTGGAAATGTTTTCTTTTTTCCATAACATCTTTCAAGAACCAAATTAGTTCATGTGGGAATTAGTTATAATTTGTATTTGTTCTAATAAAATCAATGCATATTTGCACATGTGTTATAGTACTAATTTGCTATATAGAAGGTATACGCTCGAGCAACCTGATTAAACTGGTATCTGAACATGTTTTCTGTAGCAATGTGCATATTAGGAAATTTCCTGTTGTATGCAATATCATTTCATAATCTTTCAGTTTAATCTCGTTTGGATTTTTCATTCATACAATTACATGGTTTTGTGGTAGTGAGCTAAGCATCTCCTTGACCTGGTGACAGTATTCTGATGTTATTTTCATTGATATGACAAGAGTTGTTGAACCAGAGATCTTATAGGCCTTGTTAACGCTTGATTGATGGCAAATTTGTTTTATGCTGCCAAGCTAGTTCCACTGGATTTGTTATGGAAAGTTACACTGGTTCTTGTTTTGTTGCAGTTTTGGTGTGAATTGACGCCACGAGCTCGACAGAATCTTCTTCGGATTGATAAGCAGACACTCTTTGAGCACGCTCGTAAGAACATGTATTGTTCTAGGTGCAACGGTTTGTTGCTTGAAGGGTTTTTGCAGATTGTTATGTATACAAAGTCTCCACCACAGGATGTAGCAGGGGGGATTGACAGTGTGAGAGAAACGGAAAATCTAAATCACGAACACTTGTGTAAGGACAATGGGTGCCAAAATGATGCCCAAGAACCATCCCTCCATCCATGGGGTGGATTGACCACATCAAAGGATGGAACACTCACGCTTTTGGACTGTTATATTTATTCAAAGTCTTTAGCTGGACTCCAAAATGTAAATTTCTTCTGATGTTACTGATTCTATGCGCTTCTGTTTTATCAAAGGCAGACAATTGGTTAACCTACGGTCTTAATCAGGTATTTGACAGTGCACGTTCGAGGGAAAGGGAACGTGAATTGCTCTATCCTGATGCATGTGGAGGAGGTGGGCGTGGATGGATAAGCCAAGGAATTGCGGGATACGGTAGAGGGCATGGAACAAGAGAAACATGCGCCCTTCATACTGCCAGATTGTCTGTGGAGACTTTGGTCGACTTTTGGTCTGCTCTTGGAGACGAGACTCGGCAATCTCTTCTGAGGATGAAAGAAGAAGATTTTATTGAAAGACTCATGTATAGGTGTGCCATCGTGTTCTCTGCCTTTGTTCTTTTGTATTTCGATTTGCCTATTCTCACAAATAAATAGTTAACAGTTTCAAATAGTATAAACATGCCTATTACTGTCATGTGTTTGCTAATTTGTTTGAACACAAAGAATCAAATTTACCTGCTTAGCCTTATCAAGGATTGGGGCAGTGCGTCCTTAATGTTTTAACCTTTTTTATTTATGAACTGTATAGTTAACAGCAAGGGGACATTGATTCTCTAAGGCAACGGTATTTTCGGCCACTTGAGGAAAAGTGTGTAAACATTGTTTTGTTTCCATTTCTCTGTTACAGACATTAGTAATTGAGGCTAATTTAGACTTTTCAATGTGCCAAATTCTTCATTTGTTTGGGTGAAAGACTTTAACCCCTAGATCACTAGAGAAAATATGTCCCACATTGATAATTTGGTATCCACGACTGTTTTAAGGGTTATCTTACCCTCTCTTTACAGACGAGTACGAGCTCGGTGGTATTTGAATTGATTTATTTTTTAGTCACCACTAAGACTACTTTTGTCACATAGAAGGCACATTTTATCTTTTCATTTTACTCGTAAAGGAATAAAATATTTGTATAGCTCAAGGGATATCTACCCTGTTCATGTTTTTATAGACTTCATATGTTGCCGAAGTGGTTTGTTGACATATTAATTTTAACCGATATTTGGAGTATTCTGCCATCTTTGATCATCTTGACTACACATCTCTTTGCTGTTAAGATGTAGAGCATATGATAGTGCAACATGTACTTCTGGTGATGGTTATCTTATTTTCAGGTTTGACAGCAAAAGGTTTTGTAGAGACTGCAGAAGAAATGTTATACGTGAATTTAAGGAGCTAAAAGAACTCAAGCGCATGCGAAAAGAAACTCGCTGCACAAGTTGGTTTTGTGGGGCAGACACTGCATTTCAATATGAGGTGTCTAATTTGGACTATGTTGCTATTGGGTTTTCCTTTCATAAGAGTTTCTGGTCCTATATCACGGACAAGTTATCTCAGTTATGTGATAGATCGTGCCAATGTTTCTGGAATCATGACTCATTTTTGGTCTTAATTATCAGGTTTCTCGCGATACTGTTCAGGCTGATTGGCATCATGCATTTTCAGATTCTTTTGGAACATATGATTACTTTGAATGGGGTATTGGAACTGGAGAAGGAAAATGTGATATCTTGGAGTTTGAAAATGTTGGCTTGAGTGGAAGAGTTCGCGTAAACGGTCTGGACTTAGGTGGGCTGAGTGCCTGCTACATAACTTTACGGGCTTGGAAAATGGATGGGCGATGCAGTGAGCTCTGTGTGAAAGCTCATGCTTTGCGAGGCCAACAATGCGTCCATTGCAGGCTTGTCGTTGGTGATGGATTTGTAACTATTACACGAGGAGATAATATCACAAGGTTTTTTGAACATGCAGAGGAGGCTGAGGAAGAAGAGGTGGTTAACTTGTGATTACACTGTCAGAAATCAAGAGTTTCTTTCATTTTTTAAATGATGCATCTATTTTTCTCCGGAGTCATGTTATTTATTTCTTTCCTTTATTTTTCTCATTATAATTCTGTTTCTATTTTTAGGATGATGATTCCATGGACAAGGAGGGAAATGAGATTGACGGTGAATGCTCCCGTCCACAGAAACATGCGAAGAGTCCTGAACTTGCTCGAGAATTTCTCCTAGATGCTGCAACTGTCATTTTCAAGGAACAGGCATGTGAATTTTATCTCTTTAAATCTCTAAATTTGCAGGATCAACTGTGCGTACATCCAAATGTGGTTTATTAGGCGTAGCTTTATATCTTCTTGTTTTCTTAGTGCCATGGAATGGAATCATGAGGTTTTAGTATTCATGTTTTTATCAGATATTAATTTGACAAATTTGCTTTCCATTTATGACAATAGTTTCTTTTTCCAAAATGCACGTGGCATCCAAAATTAAACCTCATATAGGAAGAGAGATGCATTTCCTTAAGTTAGAATTTAGAAAATAAATTAAATTGATGCATAACTCCTTGCTTCCTGTACATGAATGAGTAGACTGAACTGTAGATTGCAAGCATCTCGGCGGAACTAATTTTATTTGTCTCAGTACTCTAGTGAATTTTGATTGTTTTATATTAAATATAGAGTGAGGATTTTTTTCTTTCTTCATCTTGAAGAGTACTTCTGATATGCTTGTTTTCGTCAGTGCTACCGTTAGCAGTTGTTAGTTGCTAACTAGGAAGCCCTTTTCTGTTTTTAATGCAGGTTGAGAAAGCTTTTAGAGAAGGAACAGCACGGCAAAATGCGCACAGCATTTTCGTGTGTCTTGCTTTAAAGTTACTAGAAGAACGTATACACGTCGCATGCAAGGAAATTATTACTTTAGAAAAGCAGGTTGTTTATTCTGAAGTTTCCAATCGGCTATTGGTCTGCATGGATTCAACTTTTAAATACGATGCATCTTTTAATTGCCAATTCAATTTCGATTCTGCAGATGAAACTTCTCGAAGAAGAAGAAAAGGAAAAGCGTGAAGAAGAAGAACGCAAGGAGCGGAGGAAAACAAAAGAAAGGGAAAAAAAACTCAGGAGGAAGGAAAGATTGAGGGAAAAAGAAAACCGGGATAAGAAGTGTGATGAATCAAATTTGGACCCTCTTGTTGCTGATGTTTTGGAGGAGTCAACGCCCTCCGTTGATGGTGACAATACTGTCAGCAGCAGAGAGTCCGTCGCTGAAAGAGGTGACCTTACTCTATCCAGTCCGTTGTCCCCTGATATTCAAGAAGATGACCAGTTTTTGACTGAGTATACTTATTCAAACATGGAGAATCCATCTGAAGATTTTTTGGATGGCGAATTTGGCAACACGAGAGATTGGAACACCTCTTTCCCATATGATCACTTACAGTACTCTCGCAGAAAGCCGAAGTTTCGCAAAGATTTGCCAAAGGAATCGAACTTAAAATGGTCTGATAGGAGAAAAGCTGCAGCGTTATCGGAGAATGCAGTTACTGTTAGCAAATATGAATCAAGATATCATGGTGATGGTTTTGAATCTACAAGGAACATTAATGGCTTTAATAAGCAATCAAGAACTAATGCTGCAAAGTCCAACATTAGAAACGGAAGCACGTTGTGTGAAAAATGTCACTGCACCAATAATGGAATAGGTGACAGATATGATTCCCATCTTTGCAGCTGTAACTATCATATGGAGTATAGATCTAGGCCGGAGCCTCATATTACGAGAGTAGGGCGAGATCCTAAATATGTTAGTAGGTTTGAGCCTGCATCTGATTTATCAAAACCATATTATCGTGGCAAAAAGTATACTCCGGTTATCAAGGGCATTGCTGGCAACCCTCCTAATACCAAGAAAGTTTGGGAACCGTTAGATTCGCAAAAGAAGTGCGTCCGAAGCAACTCAGATCCTGATATTACATTGAGATCCGCACCCAAAGTTGTAGCTTCGGAATCCGATCAACTCCCTGAATGTTGCTCCACTAGTTCCGATGAAGTGACAGATATTTCAGTCCAGGCCAACCACGAGGACAACAATATGAGAGATTTAGCAAGGTCTAAAGCTGAGAATTGTAGAGATATTGGTAGCGGGTTGCAAACAAAGGAAACACCTGGAAACTATTCAAAGGAAGCAGTGGCAGAGGAGGGTGAGTTATGTTCAATGACAAGATCGCCCCTCGGAACATCAGATTCGTCAATGAACAGCTCGTCTAACTCCGATAACTGCTCATCCTGCCTCAGTGAGGGTGAGAACAACAATTATTCAAACCCTCAAAACCTGGAATCAACATCAACATCAGATTCAGAAGAATCCAGCCATAATTCAGAGGGAATAGAAACTTCATGCTGCGTTGAAAATGGGGTCACTGGATCTCACGGAACTGTAGAGAACCAGAGTACATCGAGAGGGCAGGATGCTAAGAGCCAGGCACCACCTACCTCTACAGGAACAAATTCGGTTGGCAGTTTGGTTAAGGAAGCAGCTCCATATTGCGAGAACACGAAAGCAAATGTCAGTATAGGTGTTCAGCCTCAAAGTGTGCTTCCTCAAATGCATAACAAAAACATAAACTTCCCCGTCTTTCAGGCTCCTACAATGGGTTATTACCATCAGAATCCAGTTTCTTGGGCGGGCCCCACAAATGGGTTGATGTCCTTCCCACACTCCAACCACTATTTATTTGCCAACACATACGGATATGGTCTGAACGGAAACGCACGGTTCATGCAGTATGGAGCCTTACAGCATATGCCCCCACAATTAATTAATCATGTCCATGTGCCTGTTTACCAACCGGTTTCTCAGGTTAATGGGGTTAACTTAAACGAGCCTGCCAAGGTTGCCCATCTGCCTGGGCTTAAAGAAGGACAACCTAGGATAAAGAAGGTGGAACATCCTGCGGAAGTACCGACAGTTTTGGATGCTGTGCAAAATGGGAAGCCTGATAAAATGGATATGGGGAATAATGGTTTCTCTTTATTCCATTTTGGAGGGCCTGTAGCTCTTTCAACGGGATTTAAAGCCGACCCTATTCCTTTAAAAGAAGGATTTATGGGCAATGCTTCTCCGAATTCGTCAATAAACTGTACTGATGGTGATCATACCTGTGATAAGAAAGATTCTATTGAGGAATACAACTTGTTCGCTGCAACGAATGGCGGCATCAAGTTTTCAATCTACTGAAGGAGTTATATAAGCAAAAAAGATTGTTTCGGTTTTTTTCTTTTTATTCCTTATTTTCATGGAGCTTTGAGGAGTTCTAAAACATTCTTAAAACTGAGTGCTGAGTGATGCAAGCTTTGAATAATCTTCGTCAGAAAAAAAAAAATAGTGTTTTTTGTGTTTGTGATTGTTTTGCTTTTGTTGATTTTTATTCTTTTCCTTGCGCAGAGAATGTCGAGAAATTTAATTATGTTTGATTTATACGAGTCGTTTGGAATTTGGCATGATATATGACTTTGTGCTTTTCTTTACACCTACAACGTGCCTTCCATTTTCCAGTACTTGTTTCATTTGATCGAAAAATGGTCGAGAGACTGAAATGCATATGAGTAATCAAAGTCCGAAGATCATTACTTCCATACGATCATGTTCTGCTTTCTTCTCTTGTAACTTTTTTGTAAAACAGGAATTTATTTTCTTTTCATACATGTTATTTTCCTTTAATTTTGTGTTAAAAAAGTACATGTAGCTTAGGTTACATTACGATATTTTTTTTTCATAATTTGTTAAAGCTATAACTTCGATGATTTGAACGATAAGATGTTTTTGCATCAAAAGAGTCTTCAGAATTACCATTCAAGAGTATATATATTACGTCTTTTTTGGCTTTTGGACCATGACTAGAAAACACAGAAATCTCTATAGTTATAGGACAACCATTTGGTAATATTGAAAGTTTTAAAACAAACCAAAAACTTCCTAAGGTGAACGAATTTGATAAACACTACTCCGTGATGCACGATACATCTATACCTAGCCGATTATCTATTGGTTCGACTCAGCTGCATTGAGTCTCAAAACAGCAAGGTAAAATCCAGGTTCGTCCATGAATTCCACCACTTCAAACGAATGGTCAGCTGCACATTTCTGTAACACCGTTTTATCTGGCAAACTGGAGACTACCATATCTGGATATTGCTGTTGTTGCTCTTCAACCACTTGCCTCCCTTGTGGATGACTGATCACTAGTCTTGCTCCTATATTACCATTACATATAATATTTTTTTCAAGACAATACATCGAAATTAACCAAGCCCAGCAAAAAAGAAAAAAGGGAATAAACAAGAATAAGTAGTATATTCTATATTACCTGGCAGACTTCGGTTAGCAAGAGCAGCAAGAACCTGATCAAGTTGATAGGGCAAAGCAGGGAGGAAATAGAGAAACACAACATCAAAATCTGTCCATTTCTCCGATACATCTAACAATTCTCCTTGCCAACATTTGACCTTATCATATTTCTCTTTGATGCACGCCAAAACCAAAAGAGAGCTGTGAACGATAAGTAGCTGCTGACAAGGCGATGACTCAACCAATCTATCGACAAATGACTCGGAGCCAATAGAAACCAGCACTTTTGATGTTTCTTCTATGTTTCCTGCAGAAATGATTCGGTCAATCTTCTGCATATGCTCTGCATTGGTATTCGTGTCCTCGTTGTCAAGAAATGACCAATCCTTCTCCACAAAATCTTCGAAGTGAAATGCCGAAGTTGTCCCTTGATCTGAGGGAGCTGTAGCACAAACCGAAAATCGTGCGTGATTGGATAGAGTAACTTGGAATTCACTCGAATGAGAGGCGCGGAGATGAATTTTAGGGTAAAAAGATGGGGGCGTTAGGAGGGAGGATGGCTTAAGTGGGATGAAAGATGAAGTTGAATGCAAAATATTCATCAGAAAATTTGTATAACGCACCGATTAGCAATCTAGGGTTTCGGTTTTTAAGGTGGTGTATCAATCCACAAGTGGAGAAATTTAGTGTTCCACAGTAAATATCAAAATTAATAGCGTTCCACCATTTAGCCCGTTTCCCTGCAAATTAATATGAGACGATGCTTGCTATCAGACAACAATAATCAGTGTATGTTAAGCAGTAATATAAGGCAAAAAAGCTCCGTGCTTAGGAAATACATCACATTGCCATTTCATGATTTTCATATTAGCTAAACAAATTAGGGATTTATTCTCCAATGCTGATTTGCAGAATTGATTTACACACACACATACACACACCAAAAACGAAATCCACCAATATTACTGTGATAGAAAGAGTTGGAAGCTGAGTAAAATATGCCCAAACATCAGAACTTGTACACACAAGAAAGCAAGAGATATATATATATTTCGAATTGCGCATTCAAAAAATTGGAGTTAATCTTAAACTGGGAGATTAATTCAGTAACAAAATATAGTAAATAATAAACGAGGAAATGAAGAATGGAGATTACCTCTGCACGAGAAAAACACAACCTAGCTAGTTATCCTCAGGTAGGTTTTAGGGAAGAAGAAGAAGGAGAAATGGTGGGGTATTAACATTACATTAAGGTAAATATCAATTGACGCCTCAATCTATAGTATATAACATTTTGCACCCCTCAACTATTTATTATCTCAATTAGCTCCGTCAAGTATTGGAAATTTAATAATCAGCTATTTCTAGCAAAACGTGTATGCTATAGTACATGCATGATTTTTTGTGATTTTACTCCATTGTTTAAGAAATCAGTGGAACAATTTGTAGATTAACTAATTCTTGACTGCATATAGATAAACATCTTATATACTAAAGATTTGAGTATTAAAAAACGAAAAAAAAAAAAATAATTTGAAAATTTCAGCTATTTTGAGCAAAAAGGGCGTGATATTCGATTTTTTGTAATTTTGCTCGACCGTTTACAAATCAATGAAACGATATTTATATAAATAGCTATAGTACAAGTAAGTAAACTCATAATATATATATATATTTCCCAAAACTTATACAAAGACTACCCAAGTCATTTTCCAAATTTCAGACATCTACATGCATGATGTCATTAATTAAGTTTGTTCAACTCCAATTACATGCTATTAACCTCTTTCAAATTTCTGAATCATAACATTAATAATAAGTTATCATCATAATTTGCAGTACAAGTAAACTTATTTAGTTAGGGGTCACTATTTGGAAGTTTATTGAGGACCGTATGTTCGGGCTTGTGATCACACTCGTAATCAAGATGAACAAATGCCCTTTCAACTTCCGGAAGTTCTTCAATCTTTATCTGCAGTGATTCTCCGATTGCATGCGCTTCTATCAACCGCAAATCTTCCGGGAGCTCTATATCAACCTACATCGATTAATCCAAAGCTAAATTTATATATCAGCGAAGCCACATATTGAATAAGAAAGTTGATCGAGGTGTGATTTTTTATGATGCAAATACACGTTAAACGAGGTTAATTACCTCAACGAAGTAAAGAACACCAAAGGTGTAAGCACGAACTGTATCAACGCGCTTGATCTTCGAGTCGTGCCTCAGAACAAGATATGTAAGTTTCTGCAGTACTTCTGGTGGAGCCGATTGTCCAACTAGTGAAACTACAAAAACGAATAATAATTAGGGAACTAACTAAACTAAACTAAATAATAATACATGCATGCTACACAAATCTTAGCTACTTACTTTCTTCATTTTTAATTAATAGATCTAAGAGTAAGAAGATGAAGTAAACCTGCATTCTCAAGCACTGTTCCGGACCAATTAGTGATAGTGTAGACAGCTAAGGCAATAGCGCCAACTGGATCGATCCACCAGTAAAATCTATCACCGAGAACAGCAGCGACCAATCCGACGACATTTGTCACCACATCGAAATAATGGTCCTATTATATGATTAGATCATAATGTGTAATTCACTACGTGTTTATAAAAAACTTGAAATCGTTAAATTCTTGAAATGGGATTTTACCTTAGCATAGGCACGGACAATCTTGTTGCCGGAGCTTCTGCAATAAATCCAAAGAACAAGTTTCACCCCAGTTGCAGTGAGCATGATGATGTACAACCACATCAATTGACTGGAATTCATCTTTTCCGAAGGGTCGTCTTTAATCAGTTGTTCTACAGCTTGTACCAGCACTTGAAACCCTAAAAAATAACTCCATTTATATATATTCATCTTTTGAAAAGCCACTTTTCTTTTATCAGTTAATAATTGAATATTGCAAATAAAACTCACCAAGAGTGGCCATTATTGCAGCGAAGATGATGATGCCTACCGGTTGAACACGCAGTTTACCAATAGGATATTTGTAAATATTTATGCTTTTCATCGATAAATGAGTAAACCATAGTATCCCACCCGCCATGAGATCGAGCAAAGAGTCGAGAGTAGACGCTGCAATGGCCAATGAGCCACTTTGGACTGTGGCATAAATCTGAAGTTTGTTGAAGTTGGATCAATTCAGTGACAGATAATAATCATATCTCAATTAAAAGATTAGTGAATGTTAATCAAACCTTAAACGCGAGGAGGAAGACATTAGCCCAATTGGAAATGTTCATTGCTCTTTCATTTTGTGATAGTTCTTGACGATCAAGTTCTTCGTCAATTACATTGGACGAAACAAGCGAGTCGACTTCCTCAAACGACTTCAATGTGGCAAATTGTCTTTCGTAGTAATCTTTCTCACCTAAAACATGATAATTAAAGACAATATCAATAATATTTATAAAAAAAAAATAAAAAATCGAGGAAACTCAAATGAAGTTGTTACCTTGAGTTAAGGTACTAGTGGTTTTAGAAAAATCAAGAAGAAAAGGGGACTCGGGATCAAGCGCGGTCTTAATCTTGGGAGGCAACTTAGACAAGAAATCATTTTTAAGAGTGTTGACAGAATACGAATTTATTTGGTTTATGGGATTTGGTTTTTCACTTGTACTTAACAACAATGGCGACTCTGCATCCATTGATTATATTCTTACTAATTAGCTATTCATCTTCACACCTCATTTCTTTTTATACACAAAGACTTGCCTCCAAGATTTGCATGTAGGAGAAACGTGCTTTAAATATAGCAACTAAATCACACTCTAATAGGAAACCTTTTAAATCGGAAAATTGACAAACATATATCTGATATATTTGTTTTAAATGAACACAATCTGAAAGATAATTCAATATCTATAATTTCTAGATCTACATCTCAGACAATCAGACAGATGACTGAAAAATCGAAAAATAAATACAAATTAGTGAATAAAATAAGGTTGAAAGTCAACGTTTTAGTTAAATAAATTGAAGACAAAATCTCATGGCCACTTTCTTAAAATGTATTTTAACCATTGTTTTTTCTTGTGTGCTTAATTATTAATTAGTAATAATTAAGCATATAATAATATGTGACAGTAGACCTGGTGGTAGCTGCTGTTGAAGAATCGACATGTTCGACTATTTATAGATAATGAATAATTTAATTTAATCTTCCAACTAAAGCTTGTTCTTGTTCATCATCTCTACTATATATATAAAAATAAGTGCATGCATCAGTGATGTCGTCATCTTCAATTATTTTGTGTTCTTATTAATTGGTTAATGCAGGCGATGCAGTCTCCAACCCACACCAACCCATCTACACACACACAGATATATATATATATATATATATATATATATATATATATATATATATAATTAGTCAAGTTTTATCCAGGGACGTCATGATTTTCAAGACCTTTTTGTAGTTTACTTAGCTGGATATAAATAAAGAAAATAAAAAAAATATCCTGGTAAATTTTGATTTTCATGAAGTAGGTTAAGTTGCACAGTTGCAACTGTATATATATATATATATATATATATATATATAGATACAACATAGCAGAAAGTTAAAGTCTCCAGCTTTATTCACAGTGTTGAATTGATGATAAAGTTGACGATTCAAATTGGTTATCTATGCATTATGATGATGAAGTGGGCACGTATATATATATATATATATATATATATATATATATATATATATATATATATATATATATATTTCTGAAACAAGTTTCAATATTTTTAAAGGCAAGCATTTTATAACCATTAATTCCAGAAACTAGATCTAACTAGCTAGCTGTGAGAGAGAGAGAGAGAGAGAGAGAGAGAGAGAGAGAGAGAGATAGATGACCTTGATTAATGAACCCTTTAGCAGCGGAAAGATCAAGATTGATAAGATTTTCAGGATCAATAATCCCACATGATTTAACTTTGTCAGGCAACCTTTGAATGAAATCTGCTCTCATTCTGCTCATCCAGTTCATATTATAATCTGTACTCCCTCCATTTTTCAACTGATCTCCTCCTTCATTCAAGGGTTTCATCAAATCTTTCTCAGACTCCATTCTTTCTCTCAAATCACTACTCTTTTTAATTCTAGCCGATATATAGAGAGCTATCTAATTAGGAGAAAAGTCCCCAGCTTTTTATATATATATATATATATATATATATATATATATATATATATATATATATATATATATATATATATACAAAATAAGGAGCTAAATATTTTACAATTGGAAACATCTTCTACCTTGTATATATATTATATAGGTAAGTTGTATCTACACGTATAGATAGATATATACAAATTAATATAGTATCTTATAATTAAACAAGAATTAGGTCCAAGGAACCAATACAACGTGACATAGTTGGTGGAGTAAAATTGAGGTAATTTGTAACAACTCGATGCACATAGATATATTGTTGGGGGTTTCTATGTGAGGAAAAGAAATAATAAATAATTGGTTGAACAGCATTTATAATTATTTTATGGAATCTGAGAAGCTTAGCTGGTGTAGCAGCCTTACATTTAATGAAAAATTGACTACACCAGAATCACCAAAAGCCAAACGGACAATTTATTTTATTATTATGCTAATTAATTAATTATGTGTTGGCCAACTCAAATTGACATTCTTGTAGAATATTTTTTGGTTAAATTTTCAGTCTTATTATAATTAAACTAGTTGTTACAAAAAAAAAACATATAATTGACAGATTAAACGTCTTGATTTTATTTTTGCTAATACTAGCATTTTTTCCCCGTGCAATGCACGAGATATTATTTTAAAAGTGAAAAAATTTAATCAATTTAATACATAATAAGAAAATATAGTATACTAACATAGTAAAATTTAATAACGTAGTATTATTCACATTTTATATAATGTTAGTTTTTTTTAAATCGGACATATTAAGATTTATAATCTAAATATATAGATTAAGATTTAACGAATCGAATTTCTATCTTTATCTCTTAAGATTTGAGATATATTGATGAAAAATAGAGATTGATAATTGTTGAAAATTATAGTTAAAAAATTAGTATACAAAAGATATTAAAAATAAATAATTAAAAAAGTACCATTAGATAGGATTCTTCAAGATTTAGTTTCAATTTTAATAATTGTTAAAAATTATAGTTAGAAATTAGTAGAGTAAAAATATTATAAATATTTAATTACAGAAATATCATTAGAGTTTTTTAGGATTGCCCAACATTTCTTTCTTTTATATATAAGATATATAATATGTGTGTTGGTTGGGGGTTGGTTTATAAGGGGCCCCTTGGACGTACTGTAGAGACAATGAATCTTTACATAACAATGAATCCAAGAGAATCCTAATAAGTGCATACCTTTTGACAAAAAAATTGATTTAAGGCAAACAGTTCCTAATAATAACTTGAAAGAAAATTTATACATATTCTGCAAAATAAAAAAAGATAACTTAGAAACTCTAATCCCAAGCGCTGCTAAACTCAGGGCCATTTCCTCCACTATAACTTCCATAGCCACCACCACCACCACCACCGCCGGCGGCGGCGGTCCTGCTACCTCCTCCATTGGTATTGGTATTTCCGGTCCTATTATTATTATAAGAGGAATCTCTTCTAAAATCACGACCACCAAAACGGCCCTTACTCTTACCTCCATATGAAGAAGCTCGACTTGCAAACCGAGTCAACCAGTCAGGAACCTCTTGATTTGCTTCCTTCATCAACTCAGCTAGTGGCTTTGCCATAGACATGTTATTCTCATTAAAAAACGCTGTAGCCAATCCCGTCTTGCCAGCACGCCCTGTACGCCCTATCCGGTGAACATAGTCATCAATGTCGTTCGGAAGGTCAAAGTTGATTACGTGTGCGACATGTGGAATATCGAGACCACGAGCTGCCACATCTGTTGCCACTAGCATAGGCGTTCTTCCACTCTTGAATGATTTCAATGCATACTCTCTTTCCTGGAATTATATATGAATCGAAATCAATTGAGTTATAAATCATATTGATATAGAATACGCACACACAAAAAAAAATAAAAAAGAAAAAATAGAAAAACGTATCGACAAAGGCATTATTATCTCATATTACCTGTTGAGTTCTATCACCATGAATAGTAGTTGCAGGAAAGTCATTAAGACACAACCAGTGTTCCAATGCGTCGGCTCCCTTCTTCGTTTCCACAAACACTAATGTAAGAGCTTGCTGCCCAAATCATAATACAAACAAAATAAAAAATATTAGAAATTACATTTTGGAAAGAAAAAAATATTTAGAAAAAAAAATTTTTTAGTCACAAGACATTGAATTAATTACCTTTCCGTGAACTCCATTTGCTCTCTGTGCATGAATAAGATCCATCAAATGGCTTCTTTTGTCACACTCCTGAACAAATTCAACTCTCTGAACGATTAAGTCTGTACTAGAACCAACTCTCCCAACTGCCAAGAAAATGTAATTTGAAAGAAAATCCGACGCCAGTCTCTGCATGTCGAAAAAATAGAATTTCAGCAGATTCAGTTGCAAACAATGTATCTATCTTCACAGCACAGCAGAATAAGCTCCAATTCTAATTTAGTAACAGGCCACATAAAATCTGAAGCAAAATGACGAAACAATTCATATTCAACGACATAACATCTTGCATAAAAATCCATTTGTCCATCAAATTATGTTCTAAAAGTTACTTACTATACATCCTAAATTACCATCAAACAGTAGCTCATAATTATTATCCAAGAATGGCTGTCACTAAGCACTAAATAATAAATTAGAAAAAGCTTCAAGTTAAAAACAAGTGAAGATGAAGAAAACGGGAAAAGATGTAGAGTGATGACCTGGATCTCTTTTGGAAAGGTGGCGCTAAATAGCAAAGTCTGTCTTATACCACGAGGAGGCATATCCATTTGTTCGACAATCTTTCTGATTTGAGGCTCAAAACCCATATCAAGCATTCGATCTGCCTCGTCAAGAGCCAAATATCTTATCATTTGTAATGAAACTTTGGCTCTCTCAAGCAAATCAACCAATCTTCCAGGAGTCGCCACCAGAATATCAACCCCTTTATCAAGTTCACGCAGCTGCACAAATATTCAAATCAAGAAATAAGCATGATTCTCCTGACATTACTACTAAGACAAATAACACTAGCATGGGTTTCAATAAGATCTTATAGCAGCAAGTTTATAAATTCATTAAAAACCTAATCATGTACTGAACAATATAAGAAATAAATATACTAGTTTGAGCGTGTCGACATTCTGCAAATTGTGCTAGTTTACTTGTTCATACTCCAAATGATCTAATTTATGAATTGAACTACACATTTTCACGGTCAAATAGATGTCGTTCATACACGACAAAAAAAAATGCCGCTCAGATAGGTCAAGTTGTTGATAATTACGTCAAGAAACCATCAAAACATAATGTATCAAAAAATAAATAAAGGATTAACCTGGCCATGTATCGGTGCCCCTCCATATGCAACAACAACTCTGACACCAGTTTGGAAGGCAAACTTTGCAGCTTCCCCCTGTATCTGCAGTTCAAAAGCAACACACGCGTCAGAAGTTACAGTTCTCAAAAGCATAAGTATTTAATTTTCACTACAGCAAGCTCACCTGTACTGTGAGTTCTCTCGTCGGTGAGAGAATAAGAGCAAGTGGAAAAACGGTGCGAGTTCCACGTTGCTTATTCGGAGGATGATTTCCATTGATAATTCCACTAATAATAGGGAAGCAAAAGGCGGCAGTCTTTCCGGAACCTGTCTGAGCACAAGCCATCAAATCTCTCCCTGCTAGAGAAATAGGTATCGCATGCCGCTGAACAGGAGTCGGTTTCACATACTTACACCTCTTAATATTCATATTAATTGCATCACCCCATTCTATATCTGCAAACGTGTTTACTGGTGGCGGAACATTATCACCACTCGTCTCTACAGGGATATCCTCGTACGCATCAAAGTTGATACCCGTATTGTCCTGTTGTTCAGTAGTCAGAGGCCCCGTGTCAGCATCTACATCGTCTTTTCCAAAAGGGTTGGCCTCTCTCACCCTACCCCTATATGCCTGGCGTCCATAACCGGGCCTAGGACCAGCCCATTCCGGGCCATTTGTGGGTCCACTGTGCCTAAATCTATCATTACTTGACGGTGGGCCGTTAAGTGACGAAGCAGGTGGCTCAGATGCAGGTGGTGGTCTGTTTCTGAGGTGTGGTGGAACATATGATAACTTGGTGGGAGCCGACTTGCGTTCATTCCCACCGTTAGTTGGGATAATATCAGTAGATCCATTCTCAACAGCATCAGCCCATGAAGAACTCATATTCGTAACAAAAACAGTTATTAAAACCTCCTCCTACAACGGGTGTACCGGTTCACTAATGTGAATGTAGTTCGATTCAAGTCTATCACAAATCAACAGTCTGCAACAAATCAAAGAGTAGACAATTAAATTTTGTTAATTTATAAACCTATGCCTAACAATCAGAATTAAAAACACAAAATCACGGCAGCAGGCAGGCAATGTAAGCAAAAGAACAAACAGAAATACATGGTCTTCAAATAGATAGATAAATATCAAAACACCAATAAATAAAAATAAAAGACACCAATAAAATAAAATATTAAACACCGGCAAAAAGGCAAAAGCGATAAATATCAAAACCTGAGTATTCAATTGCGTCTTCACAATGTCTGACGGTGCGTTTTCAAGTATGTTTGATGTTCTTCAAAAAAAAGGTGATTTTTTTTTAACCCTAATCGAAGAGAAGAAGAAGAAGAAGAAATATAGGCGTATTTTAAGTGATTCTTAGATTTTATTGTTTGGATACTTTCAATCTCTTTCAAATTTTGTTTACTATTTATTTAAGAAAAAAAAAAACACCTTTTCGAATTTGAGTAGAACTCTATAACTTCAAATACTAGAGTGGAAAACGTTCTCTAACTCTAGTCAATGTGTGCTTCTACAATCCGATTATAACTCAATCCTAAGAAATAAGAATTAGGTCTTATATTAATAACTTAACTTATGTGCAATAGTATTATTTTCTTATTTTCATGTGTTTCTTGTTTATAAATATTTTTGGAATTTTTCAGTTTTCAGTGGTATTTTTTATTTTGTTATCAACAATTCAATATATTAAAAAAAAAAAAAAAAAAAAAAAAAAAAAGAGGAGGGCCATACATACCATAATCATTAGCTGTCTTGTTAGCTGAATGACCTCCGAAGCTTCTATGGCATGTCCTGAGTCCACAAGAACATTCAATATTATTATTAGCACCCTAATCTTGAATTAAGAAATTTGAAAAACAAACTTTTAGGCACTTGTGAGTTTTGTGACACCCACCTTTGAAAAGTTCATTGATTTCTCTCATTCTTCTTTTTCATCCTCTCTCTCCTTTTCCCCTTGTTTTGCTTTTTTTTTTTCCAGGAGGGAGGGAGAGGGGGTGAATAATATTCTAGAGAGAGAAAATAAATAAATGGAAAGCATAATCGGTTGGCAAGTAATTTTTCTATGTGGAATAGGATTGTGGATTCTGATTTCTTCCTTTTTTAATGTTACTCGAAATCTCAGATCTCTCACACAGCCATGGGTATCGCGACGCGTGATTTCTGGCATCCCCATTATTCTCAAGATCCAGGTTTCTTATCCCAGATTTATAAAATTAAGTTTAAAGATTGGATTTTTAATTTTTTTTTTGGGGTTGTTTTGCAGAAGTACCAGCATAGATATTTGGATGCCTTGTTTTCTGGGTTGTCATGTATTGTTTCTGTGCCTTTCTACACTGCTTTTCTTCCATTGCTTTTCTGGGTATGTTTCTGCAACACACCCTTTCATTTGGTTAAATGCACTTAAATGGCAATTTATTTATAAAAAAAATTCCTCTTTTACTTAATTTATATGTTTTGGGTTTTGTGTGTTAAGACTGGGCATTGCAAATTGGCTAGACAAATGACCCTCTTGATGGCCTTTTGTGACTATATTGGAAACTGTATAAAGGTAACTTCTTTATTCATTGTTCTACAAATTATGTCAATCTTTGTAAATACAGATGCTCAATCTCAATCAGTCAGTTTTGTTGATCCTGTTAATGATTATGTCTCGTAGGATGTGGTGTCAGCACCTAGACCTAGCTCTCCACCCGTGAGAAGAGTAACAGCCACTAAAGACGAGGAGGAAAATGCAATGGAATACGGATTACCGTCTTCACACACTCTTAATACTGTTTGCTTGTCCGGGTATGAAAATCTTCTCGCTTCAATTTGATTCACATCTTTTTTATTTGCTCACTTCAATTTTTCCCTGAGATGACTCAGAAGCACAGACTTCATATTTTTTTTATCTATTTGCACCAGTGTTAGTGAAAATATATTCCGTATTTCTTTTTTTTTGTAATAAAGTAGTGTTTTTTCGGCAACTTCAGGTATTTGTTGCACTACATTCTTGCCTATAATGGAAGCAGTGACGCCTTTACACAAATATTTGGTTTCACAATGGTTTGTTTGGTTGTGGGTCTCACTGGATTCGGTAAGTTTCAGTTTGTTACATAGTATTCCTAGTTGCATGCTATTAGTTCTCTTACTGTGGTAATAATTTTGTTTTATTTTTAGGGAGGATATACCTTGGAATGCACAGCCTGATCGACATTATTGCGGGTCTCGCTTTTGGATTGGGTATATTGGCAATATGGCTCTTCGTTTCCGAAGACATTGATAATTTCATAGTTTCTGGTCAAAACGGTACTATACTAATCCCTATCAGCAATTTTGTAATTTCCAACAACATTTATCTTTAATTAATATGTTCGCCGTTGTTGGTTAAAATCTTGAAAGTTAGAGATTTTCTTTTGTCCTGTACTGCAGTTGTGTCATTCTGGTCTGCCCTTGGCTTCTTGTTACTCTTTGCTTATCCAACACCTGAATTTCCAACGCCAAGCTTCGAGTTTCACACAGCTTTTGATGGTGTTGCCCTGGGAATTGTAAGTTCCGTTTTTTTCCTACTAAAAGTTCATATTTCTCTGTCAAGATTTTCATTACGAATAATCATATTATCCAGGTGATCGGGGTCCACCAAACATATCACCAGTTCCACCACGAAAACGTAGCACGTGTATTTTCTCCTCAACTCACAATATCTGCATTGGCTGGCAGATTACTACTTGGAATTCCAACGATTCTCATTGTGAAATTTTGTAGCAAAGCTCTAGCCAAATGGATTCTTCCCATTCTTGCAAATGCATTGGGAATCCCAGTACGATCAACGACCTACGTACCTGCCTTAAACAGCATTGCTTCAGACAAGAAATCGGACGAAATAAAGCAATCTGGTTATATACAGAAACTGTTATTTTCATCCGAACAGACGTCATTCGATGTTGATAGTGGCATAAGGCTAATTCAGTACGCTGGCCTTGCTTGGTCCGTTGTTGACCTTGTTCCTTCTATGTTCTCTCACCTAGCCTTGTGATGCTTTTTATTTTTTCAATTATCGAAGCATCTTATTTTTCTCGTGATTGTGCTGCTAGTCTGGTTATAGATGCCTATTGTATAGAATAGGGATGTATCTACATTTTTTGTGACATATATATATATATATGAGATTAGAATGGATGCGATTTGCCATTCGTAAATATTGATCTTGTTAAATATTTTGGCTAATTTATTGCATCGAACCACAAACAGGAAGTTTTTCGTTTTATCTGTTCTTGCAGGGAAGTACTCAAGTTGGAATAAAAAAATTGAAAATGCTATGCGATTTCTTTCTTCAGTTGAGACCTCTTCCTTTCATTACATGCCTCCTCAGACCTGGAATGTGAATATTCGTGATGTAATCTTTCCAATTGATACTCTCAACATCAAATCCGAACGTTTGTATTTCTTCCTCCGACATGCATTCCATTAACCTCTTGGTGTTGCTGTTGTCGAACCTGTTATTATTATTACACATTAATTGTTGGAAAATTTACGAAAAGCATATATCATAGATACTTATTACCTTCCACCGTAGAAAGTGTAGGGTCCATATACATCTGCTAAATAATTTGCCTGCTCGACTAATTTTTTGCAGATGATATTGAGCTTACGAGACAACTTCTCGTCAGTTTTGGACAAATTTCCTAGTCCAGTTCGATTCTTTGTATGCCTCAAAAGGTAAGTGGAGAAATCTTCCTTGGACATGTGGAGCTGTAGAGGTGGCACACGAACTGGAATCCCTTTTGAGTCGATAAACGGTGATGAAGTAAAATGTTGGTAGACAAATTGGACCAACTCCTTTAAAAACAAGGGGTTTGCAACAGATGAAGCAACCTGGTAAATATTACATCCTGGTTTTGCAGATGTCCCGTGTTTCGCCATGGCTGCCAAGGTTGCATTGACAACCATATCCGCTGGAACCTAATTCAAAGACATTATTTGTAAGTCTTTATTTATAGGTTGGATGATATTGGAATAGTTATATACTCTGAAATTGAGGATATATAGTATAGCTACATACTACATCAAGAACTCCATCGTCATCTCCTAGAAATCCCGTTAGGTGCCCCTTTCCATAAAATAGTATCAATGGATCCATCACCCTGAAAATATTGCAAAATAAATAAATAAATGAAGGTACCGCGATAATATGTATATATATATATATATATATATATATATATATATATATATATATATATATATATATGGATTTAAATTACTTGTTTCCTTCGATCCATCCAGGGAAAGGTTCTGTGTAAGTGCTCTCGATAATACTTGGTCTAATTATGACGACTGGTATATCGCCTCTTAGACTATCTATCATCATTTCCCCCATAGCCTTTGTGAATACGTATGTATCTTGCCAACCGAATGAGTTTGCCCTGAGTTAGAATAAATATTATAGTACTTGGATTTAATTCTGCAAAATCGATACTTTTATCAGTACATGGAAACTAGCGATATTGAATACTTCACCTATGTTTCCCCAGCTCTTTCATTTTTTGAGATTCATTTGATTGTGAGACTAGCTTTATTTCATCTTCAATACTCAATTTGGGAAGTGATGATGTGTGTATGCTTTGACCGAAGCAGAAAGGCTTTTCCATGATTTTTCCTTGTCTTTGTCCATTCACATAAGCTGATGCAAATAGAACTCTGATTAAACATCTTCTGCTAAGCATTTTACATATACATACATATATGCATGCATGCATACTTGCCTGTTGATACTTGTAGGAAGAGCTTTAGTTTGTCGCATTTTTTGGCGAAACCTATTGTACGCTTAGGTCCAAGAGTGTTTATATCAAGAGCTGTATCATACCTGATAAATTTAATTTCGATATTTTACTGAGAGATTCAAATGAAATTGCGTATCTTTTAATTAAATATAAAATGCCCGTTTATATATATGACCTTTCGTCAAAAGTGGTATTAGCTGCAGAATTGATGATTACATCAACCTCTTTGGCTATGAAATTTGCTTCATCTTCATCTACACACACGTTTCCGACCACGGGAACCAACTTGCTCAGCATGAAAGCTTGATAAGATTTTCCATGGATTTGCCTGAGCCCCTTGAATAGTTCTTCTTCATCAATTATCTACCGTATACGAAACACCATACAAAATCATAAGAAACTGTTTTATTAGCTTGAGAAATAAGAGATAAAATGAAAATGAGAAATTTATCAAACTTCATTTTTCAATCTTTGTGCTGCAGCTTCTTTGCTCTTAGCCTTGATCAAGACAAATATCTTGCTGACGTCAGGAGCTGTTCGTAGTATTTTCTCTATCAGAACTGAAATTCACACAACAAACAGTAGATTGAGTGCAAGCTAGGCTTCATGCATGCATGCACATGTGTATGCATACCTTTTCCTAGAAAGCCTGTTCCACCAGTAATAAGAAAGGATTTTCCTGTAAGAAACTGGACAATGCCGATACCATCACGAGTGCACATTTCCACACCTTGGCTAGCGATCGTGTCTTGGAAAACAGGTGAAATCCCACTACACTTAATTACAGGATTTCTGCTTCGACAAATATACAGCATTCTCTTTTCAGGGCTCGCAATATGTTTGCTATAGTTTGAGTACAACTTGACAATAGTTTTTGATGCAAGGAGTGAGGTGGATGAACTCAGATTAAAGAAAGCCGACATTATTGTATTGGCAAAAGCAAAGTTATTAGGAAAAGACAGAAGATGGTTTCCTTAAATAGCAGTTTTGAAGTGGAGGAAAAAATTAATGGAAGAAGGTATTTTTTCTAGCCAGCACCTCAACACACTTACCTAACAGTAGTTAGTGCTACAAAATTGAAATTAGCCCACCCTACCCTAAGTATGCATATAATTTACAACATTTGAATTTCGACGAAGATTAGCATGTAGGAATCAGTCTATCATAGGTAAGTTACACCAACTATCGTTAGGAGATAATTAATTCTGCTACTAGCTAGGTAAGGTACGTAATTAGTTGTAAACCTTAACTTCCGGCCACCAGTACTCTGTATAAGTTAATTATAGACGGAGGAAACAAAGGAGAGAATTTTACGTTAATTAGTATGTGTAACTAAGATTTTTTAGATTTGGGGCAACAAAAGGAAGAACTTTACACATTCTTCTATCATGTTTTAACATTCTCCTTTGTTCAAAATTGGCTTCTGCTCACTTCCGAAAGAAAAAACGAGTTTCAAGATTATCAAAAGTATTTAACCACAAGAACTTAAAAAGAGAATAACCAACAATTTTTCATATCCAACTACCAACAGTTATACAGCTTGATCAGATCAACAACCCACAAACGCACACTTACTACAAATTATAGCATAGAATGTCAACTTGTACAAAGATCATTCTAACAATGATTTTTTATTTATTTATTTTTTAATTTAAGCTGAAAACTCTCGCAGATAAAATCATAGTGACCGCTGCCCACAAATAAATCAAATCGCAGTCGTCAAACCTTGTGCAACGAGCTCATCAGGTGATATAGTAGTGGTTGTTGGCTCAGCAGACACAGAAGAAGAATTATTAGTGGAGGTGAAGAAGTTGCAGAAATGGGATTCAAATCGCTCCATTTCCTTAGCAGGCAGTGAAACCAACGCATTAATAGCTCCATCGTTGTTACTACTTGGAAATATCCAACAGATGTCTTTCCTATGGTTGACCACAGGCCCACTATGCTGTGGCTTACCCCATGGGAACACCACCTCCTCAAACCCCAATCTCAGCCACGAACTCACCATGTACTCTCCACACGGCAGCCCTCTGTTAATCTCCAGCCAATCTATTACAGATCTTGCGTACTCGTCGCTGACTCTGGCCGGCGACTCCGCCACCATTTTCACCAGTTCGGAAAACGGCATCTTTTCAAGATTCTGGCATTTCTCCGACGTGTAAGCAACTAGAATTGCGTTTCCGCAGTAGGGTTCCGGCAATGGAGGACTCAGCCTTGACCGTAAGTCGACAACGTTAAGAAAAGTGGAAACTCTTTCTTCGTCTTTCTGATTTTCGCCGTAGGATAGGGCCTTGCACTGCCAGATTAGTGTTGCCGCCGCGTTGAAGCTGCTGATTCTTGTTTCGGGCCTTTTCGCCTTTTCCTTGAGAAAATTGATGTCGGTTGTTGTTAGTTTGAAGACTTTGAACTCTAGTTCTTCTTTCTTGCAGTCGAAGACTGGAGGGCCGCTGGTGCCCGTGGGGAGGTCCGGTTTGAAAAACTCCGGGTGTGTGAAAGCAACGAGCGGCGGCGACCTGGCGGACATGAGGCGGCGGTCAAAGAACGGAATGACAGCAAATGGCTTGTCGCCCTCGAAGGCTTGGGAGGCGAGATTCTGGCTGAATGCTTTGGCGCTTAGGCCGTCTAGTAGGATGTGATTAACTGACATGCCGATTGCAAAGCTACCACATTTGAATGATGTTACCTGTGATTCATGACAATTAATATTCATAATTTGTATGTCTGCAAAACTTTTTAAAATAGATTATGAGCTCGTTTTGGTTGAGAATTTTTTTTTCTTTGTAAATATAATTTTTTTTTACTTGTCGAAAAATAAATTATGTTAGACTGTTAATTTGTCTATGTTGACTAAAGCACATGTTTTAAAAGCTTAAGATGTTACTGAGGTGAATGATTTGATATTTATGTCCAATATACTCTCAAATGAAGTTGGAATTGGTACAAACCTGAAGAATGAATGGCGGATTAGCATGGTCGTTTGGTGCGAGGTTATCCGTTAATGTATGGACAGCAAGCTGTTGGAATCCGAGGTTGGGAGAAAGCAAATCACCAATCTCAGCAAGGGAAAACTCAGAGGAAGCCACTACGAAGCCAACACCAGCTGAGTTGCAGTCGATCTCGAGGCGGCCTGTTTCTTGGTTGAGCTTAAATCTTCCAGCAATAAAATCGTAAGGCACAAGAACCTTCTGGAGTGCTAATTTGAGCCTCTCGGACACAAGTTGTGGTGGATAATCTGGATTGGCTGAAAAGAAGGAGACCGTTGGGATTCTGTAGTTAAGAATCTGGTCTATGTTGGACAAGAAAAAAGATCTTTTCTCGGTTTGTTGTAACGGAAGAACAAGGCTGGATTCTTGGAATGTGATCTTGAGATCTTGCATGGCTGGATTGGAGGAGATTACATTTGCCATCTCAATTCAATTCAATCTGAAATCTGATAATTTTGGTGTTGTTGAATAATTTGTTGCTACATAATGTGATGTTTTATAATGCCTGCTTGGGATCATCTGCATGCAGTGCAGGTCATCATTTATTGCATGATGCAGACTTTTTTTTTTTTGTTTTGTTTTTTTAGGATTAAGAAAAAGTCCATACTTTGACATCAACTTGTGTTGAGATATAAGATTATTTCTAATCGTTGTTATTGGAATTAATTAATTATTAATATTTTTCCCGGTGGTCGTCGATATCGTTAGAAAGATAAAAATATCTAATCTGGAGCTAACAAATGTTGATTATCAACTTAATTGAGGGCCCATAATTATTGAAGAATCTAGATACAAATTTGTAATGAAAAGGTCCACTCTGCACCACTTGCACAATTAACATGCATTTTTGCTGCAGGAAATTAAAAGGAGTGGGACCATGCATGCTGATTTTAATTCTCATCACCTACCTTGTGTAAGGCATCATTCATATTTTTGTTCCATTATTGATTGCCTTCAATTCTATGATCTATCCGGACTTGTTCACAATTTCCGATACTTAAATGCTATTCATAGTGTTGTTGCGACTTTTTTTTCAACTTTTTTGCATTTCGTGTTATTTTACGGAGTATATTGTAGATGGCTTCAACAAAAATATTACTACTATTATTTCAAGCATATTAGGAGTAATTATAGAATATTTAGTTACCATGTTATCTAAATATTCTATAATTACTCCTAATAAAGCATGCAATAATGCCTTCTTAATACTCCACAATAATAAAGACTGCAATTCAAAATTATATTTGGTATGTTGTAAATCGCCCTAATGGTATTGCTCTTCGGTTTGATGATTGTGGAAAATAAAGTAAGACAACAGAATAAAAAATAGAGAGAGAATGCAAAGACAAAAATCCGTAGAGAGATTAATAAGGGGTGTAAATATGGGGGAGGGAGAATTCCATTATATATGTGAAAAACCACCAGGAGTTACAAGAGAAGTTACAAAATAAGTTACTCTACCACTAACACATAATGGGAAGACATGGGTAGGTTAGTGATCTAGTGGGGAGTTGGGTGGTTATGTTAGGAAACCCCACAACCATATTATTTACAACACTCCCCCTTGGGGGTTCCTATCAAAACCACTATTGTGCATTTCATGTTGCCTCATTAAAACCTTCCGAGGAATAAAACCCAGTGGGACAAAACAACCTCGGTTAGGAAAAATAGTACAACGCACAATCTTTCCAATCAGCTATATTGCCTCGTTAAAACCTTTAGCGGGTAACCAAAAACCCTGTGGGAAAATAAATCCCGCAAAAAAGGAAAAAGAGTACAACAGGGCATCTAGGTATCTTCTGAATACTGAGTACCTACAGGGTACTCCCCCGATGTCTATAAGGGAGCGAGCTCAGATAATCTACGTAGGCCAATAGCCTTAACATGCTTTTCAAAAGTGACTTTAGGTAATGACTTAGTAAATAAATCAGCGCAATTATCCTGACTTCTGATCTGCTGGATCATTATTTGTTTGAGCTCTTGTTGTTGCTGATTGAAGAAAAACTTTGGAGTTATATGCTTGGTGTTGTCACCTTTAATAGAGCCCGTCTTCATTTACTCAATGCACGCTGCATTATCCTCGAATATGATCGTAGGATCTTCTGTGGTAAGCCAATCCACAGGAATCTCGAATATGCCCATTCATGGCTCTAAGCCATGTACATTCACGCACTGCCTCGTGAAGTGCTAAAATCTCTGCATGATTCGATGAGGTGGCAACTAAAGTCTGTTTTGTAGACCTCCAAGATACAGCTGTGTTCCCAATGAACACATATCCAGTTTGGGAACGAGCTTTGTGTGGGTCTGACAGATACCCAGCGTCAGCATAACCCACAAGCTTTGCATCCTTTAATGATGCATAGGGATAGAACAAACTCATGTCTATTGAACCCTTAGCTTAAGGTAACGAAATACGTCCTTTACACCATTCCAATGGCGGCGTGTTGGTGCTGAGCTAAACCTTGCTAGCAAATTTACCGCAAATGCAATATCAGGTCGAGTACATTGAGCTAAGTACAATAATGCGCCTATTGCACTTAAGTACGGCACTTCAGGTGCTAACACTTCTTAGTCCTCCTCCACAGGACGGAACGAATCCTTCGACCTATCCAATGATCGGACTACCATAGGCGTGCTCGATGGTTTCGCTTTATCCATATTAAAGCGTCTTAACATCTTCTAGATGTAGTTCGATTGATGGACCCAAATTCCATCAGCACGGTGTACTATCTCAAGTCCGAGACAGAAATTAGTCCTACCGAGATCTTTCATCTCAAACTCATGTTTTAAGAGTTGGACTGTTTCACGGACTTCTTCAGAAGTCCCAATCAAATTCATATCATCAACATAAACTGCTACAACAGCAAACCCAGAACATGTTTTCTTAATAAACACGCAAGGACAAATATCATTGTTCACGTATCCCCTTCCGATCAAGTATTCACTTAGGCGATTTTACCACATTCTTCCAGATTGTTTCAAGCCATAAAGTGATCGTCTCAACCTAACTGAGATCGTGTTCCGTGGTCTGGAACTAATTGCTTCGGGTAATCGAAGTCCTTCAGGAACTTTCATATATATACTCGTATCTAGATCCCCATATAGATAAGCTGTGACCACATCCATGAGCTGCATAGTCAGTTCCTCGGATACAACCAAACTGACTACATATCTGAATGTAATAACATCCATAACAGGAGAATATGTCTCCTCAAAGTCAATCCCAGGTTGCTGAGAAAATCCTTGTGCTACGAGACGAGCCTTATATCTCATAATCTCGTTTTTCTCATTTCGTTTCCTTATGAATACCCATTTATATCCCACGGGTATCACTCCAGGAGGTGTAGGAGCTACTGGCAAAAAAAAAACACTCCCCTTTTTACCAGTGAGTCGAACTCAGCCTGGATTGTTTTTTCCCAATTCGGCCAATCATCCCTCTGTTTACATTCATCAATTGATCGAGGATCAATATCATCACTCGATACAATTTCAGTAGCTACTGTGTAAGCAAACACATCATTGATGATTATTTCATCCCGATGCCACACCTCATTCATGCATGAATAACTAACCGAGATTTCTCTATTCTCGGGAATGGATACTAATGTCGAGGCGTCCCCCGATTTCGTCTCCAAGACGGATCCATAGTCCGGAACTATTTCATGAGATGGATCGGGTGGGATCCCATTATTACTATTGCTAACCTCATTCAACTGTTGGGCATTCATCCGCTTCCGGGGATGAGAATCCTTTGATCCAATTGGTCTCCCTCTCTTCTGGGCAGGGAGATATGATTGGTTAGCAGGGACTGATGGCCTTCCCACGTTTTGTCCTTCTGGGACATCTATCCTTGCAGGCACGTGTCTAGAAAGATAAATAAATCTAATCATATATTCCGCAATTGAAAATACTTTAATAAAATCCAAACAAGATAACTCTATCGAGTACCATATAAACTAAATTAAAACATAGCCATATAAAATATAGTCCAGAAAATAAAGCACAAACATAATCCAAATACGAAATTGGTACATAAGCATGACCAAATAAACAACATAATTTAAAACTGACAAACTAAAAACATAAAAGAACATAATGTCTAAGCTCATAAAATAACCCTCCAATCATATTCCAAACTGGGTCATTGGGTCAGATGTGCCCAGATTTGGAAGTCGAGCAATGGGCTCCTCATTGAGAACATTTATCTCAACCAAGTTGGTCTCCGGTGGTGCATTATTATTTACACCACCAACCATAACGTTCCTCGCACGACAGGTGCGTGACCAATGCCCAGTTCCACCACACATATGACATGTATCTCTATTCTGATTTTGATTCTGATTCGGGGCTCTATTCTGCTGCCCACCTCTAGGTCGAGCATTGTTACATCCTCTTGGCATATTCCCCCTTTGCCCATACTGTGGGGGACCATTAGGTGGCCTATTATAAGGAACATGTCCGCCCCTATTACCCCTTCCTCTCACTCGACGATAGAACCCCCGGCCTCTGCCTCCTCCACGGTTGTTTCTGTTGACCAAATTTGCTTCTGGCAAAGGTTGAGGATTTTGATTGACCAAATTTGCTTGTGGCAAAGGTCGAGTACCAACTGGTCGAGCCTGGTTGTTCTTCAAAAGAAGATCAAGGTTCTTCTCGGCAAGGAGCAGAACTGTGACCAACTCTGAAAATTGAGTATAGTTCTTGGCTCTGTACTATTGAGACAGTATCATATGTGAGGCAGGGAATGTAGAGTATGTCTTCTCCAGAATCTCAGCATCAGTTAGTTTCTCTCCACAAAACTCCAGGGTGGATTTGATGCGACATACTTCAGAGTTATACTCGTTAACGGTTTTGAAGTCCATAAACCGTAAGTGAATCCATTTGTTTCTTGCTTCAGGCAAGAGGATTGTCTTTTGGTGATCAAATCGACTAGCCAGGGCATCCCATAGTATTTGGGGATCCTCAATCGATGAGTAGTCCAAACGGAGGACCTCATCTAGGTGCCTCCTAATCAGAATCATAGCTTCAGCCTTCTGGGCTTCGTTAAGCAGATTTTCTTTAACAATAGCCATCCTCAGTTTCTTACTAGTGAGATGGATCTTAACATCCATTGTCCAACTCACGTAGTTTTCACTAGATACATTCAAAGGGGTGAAATCAAGTTTGCTCAAATGTTCCATCCTATCGTACATAGACAAAGAATACATGCGAATCAAATTATTGTGTATCACTTTTATGTCATGAAATTTGCATATGGCGTGATACAACCTCATATAGCATATATGACTTGCATAGAATTCACATATATTTCAACCAGTTCATGATTATTAGGCAAACCGATTGTTTCATGCACACAGAAATTTCACAGGGATGATTTTATTCACTGAAATAACATTAAATGTCCAAACATATACACAAAATATTCATAGTGAAATCATTCTACAAGAATATTACATATTACTCATCTTGACAAACAGATTAATTCATAAACTTCTTATCTTCATTCACCAACAAAGTACAACTCGTATAACAATCTATTCATGAATCATACAGTACTCGAAACATCAACCGAATTTTTCAGACAAATACAATGACATCAAATAAATATGCTACACAACTTTTCATGCTAATTCGAATTTATCTAGCATGCATTCATATAATAAAGAATTTCAAGGGGTTAAGGCTTACTTGAAAATTGATAAAATTCAGATACTATAGAGAAGATTATACGTTCAACGAAAGTAGATCACCGTTTTACAAACGAACCACGCTCACAATTTCTCCAAGTATTCTAGCCCCACGAACAATTGTTCTTCCACGATCACCGCGAGCAATTCATGCTGATAACGTGTTGTAAATCGCCCTAATGGTATTGCTCTTCGGTTTGATGATTGTGGAAAATAAAGTAAGACAACAGAATAAAAGATAGAGAGAGAATGCAAAGACAAAAATTCGTAGAGAGGTTAATAAGGGGTGTAAATATGGGGGAGAGAGAATTCTATTATATAGGTGAAAAGCCACCGGAAGTTACAAGAGAAGTTACAAAATAAGTTACTCTACCACTAACACATAATGGGAAGACATGGGTAGGTTAGTGATCTAGTGGGGAGTTGGGTGGTTATGTTAGGAAACCCCTCAACCATATTATTTACCACATGGTAATTATTAAACAACAAATCCACCATTGACACGAATGACTTGGCCATTAACCCACTGGCCAGCATCACTAACCAAAAACCCTATAGTCTGTGCCACGTCATTGCATTGGACAGCCGTCCACCAATCTCTGCACCGTTTCTTCACTTTTACCCGCGTAAAATAACTCCGTCGCCACTGGACCCGGCCCCACGCAGTTCACCGTTATTCCACGGAGTGTTGAATTCATGTTCCGCCCGATCGAAGAGCGATTTGACATCGCCCGGGCTTGACACGTCAGCCTTGACGGCGATGGCGACTGGGGAAGAAGGATTCTCATCGTTGGCGCTGGAGTTGAGCTCAGAAACCAGGAGATCGGCTTGGTTAGAATTGGCAGCGTAGTTGATTACGAGTGAGCGGAGGTGGATTGCAATTGCTCTGCCGATTCCGCGGGATGCTCCTGTTACAATGGCTACACGGCCGTTGAGGGGCAAAGTGTTTGCTGCTGCTTCCATGGAAGCAATTGAAGTGTTTGAGTAAGTGATTTTTTTTTTTTTTTTTTTTTTTAATTCCTAGTCAAAATCGGCACTCCTATATTAATGCTTAGTTAGGAATACAAATTGAGGAGAGCATATATACATCTTTGAATCCAATAAAGAATTGTAATTTGTTACTATTCTTGCTGTCACTGATCATAATATAAGATTGATTAATGTTAGCTGATGTAAGCAGTTACGTTGCATAGCAGAACAACTTCTGATGTGTAAAACTTGTCTAAATACATCAAGTATTTCTAAACACATTAGCTTAAGGCAATATAATTGTGCAATTCTCGTCTTTGAAGTGACATTGTATTGCATAATTATATGTATCAGCGTCTTCCTTTTAAGAGAAAGATATATCTGAACTATAATTGCGAAAACTAGTCTTTTTATGCAAAATTCCAGAAGATGTACAAAATGGGGAGGAGTTTAATATGTTGTTCTGCCCTTTGCAGATTACAGTTAGTTACACACAAAGGAAAATTGGCTGCTCCTGCATTAACCAATACAATGCATACACCAAAGGAAGAGTCAAATGTCGAAGACCAAAAGCTCATTAGCAGTTTGAAATCATAAAGGACAACATGTAACAGGCAAAAAAAGGGTTTTTATCGATGTAAAGGCGATCTCCAATCAAGACTTTCCTGTGGAAAATCCTTCTGTATCTCATCAGGAGGGATGAAGTAATCCAGAGAAAGACCGGGTACATTAAAAGCCAGGTCATCAATTACATACGTCTCTTCCATCCTAGTAACCTCAGCTCCAGCCTTCATATTGTCACCGAATCTTGTAATGATGACGCTCGATTGGCCCGAATGAGCAATCATCATACCCTCCACAGACCGATAGTCCTCCACTTTGGTGGACATGGTGGTCTCCCAGTAGGTGGGGCGGGAACCAGGGGTCTGTATTCTGGTTAAGTAGGAGTCTTCTAAGTAGACAAGCAAGCCACTCCTCTGGCTAAAGTAACCAAGGGTTACGTGCTTGATCATCTCTGCTGAGCTGTCACTCCTCTCGGCTAGGTCTGAATGCTCGGCTGATAGTTTCAGCACAAAGCAGTCGGTGCTTGATATGTGCTTTTCTCCCATGTACTGCGCTGTGGAGAAAACCGTTGATATGGCCACTGGATCGAGTCCCTGGAATAGCGGTTAGTCATTATTATTATTCAATTAAATTGTTTTGTGGGGCTGAAAAATTCATCATTTTTTTTTTGTTTATAGTTGAGTATTTAAAGCATTGGTATTCATAGGAGTGAATTCTAGCTGTGGAGGTAGTACTAGTGGTTGGTAAAGTATACCAGTAGTGCAAGTTAAGGGTAATTTTTTTTACAGAAGATAAAATAGTTGTCATAGGAAAAAAGAGCTAGACTGAAGTTGAAGTAATAAATTCTTGTTGGGGAAAATATTTACTAAAAATAAAGGTTACCCTTTCTAACCAAAAAAGAAATAAAGTCATGGCAGGTTGTATGTATATACTAGTTTATACCATCAATGAAAAGGATACTATAGGGGCAAAGTTGCTGCACTTTCTGTTCCTACATACAGTGCATTAAAATTGGGAAGGGAATATCCCGCCGGAATATTCCACCTCCATGTTTGTGTAATGATACAGTTACTTGCCTGAAGAGCTCGTCGGAGAGGCCGAACACCACCTTTAGCGGCGTGAGCACCGAGCCAAGGGGTGTGCCGCCAAGCGACGCTTCCGTCACTGCCAGCCACTACCTTGTGACCACCGACAACTAGCTCCACCAACCATCGGTCAGGCACCATTTGCCAAATGACAAAGCAGCCCTTCTGTGAGACGCTGCTGCTCGGAGTGGAGGCTGAGCTTTTCGAGCCGGGGTCATCCACCAGCCCCATCACCACCTTCCCGGTAGCATACATGTTCTTGACAACTCCGGACAGTTTCCGGCAGCCGGTTGCGGCTGTGAAGTGCTGTATAATGTATTGGGCCGACGAAGATACCTATGAAGGCATTAAATTATGAATTAAATGGTGGAATACAATTTTCAACATAGTGCATTAAATGGAAATAAAGAAGTTTGTAGGGAGTGGCCCCCAATCATGATTCTATTGCTTGGATTCAACATGATGAAAGCAAATCTCGTCCAAGAACAATGTAATATACCGGGAAAAAAAATGAGATCAAATATAATATTTTGTTTTGAAAAATGAATGCGAATGGTACGTAGAAGCTTAAATTTGTGTTGGGGGAAAACAATGGCAATGGGACAATGGTACGTGAAGTAACCAAGATAGTAGTGTAGTGGGAGTATTAAACAACTGATCCTAATTTCTAAGAACTATAACCTAGAAAACTACACTCTATTTGTTTGACTTTTTCAAACGACTACTACTTTATATCATCGGAAAAGCAAAATATACATGTGTACAATAATTAATTACTACAATGTGTTGTTCTTGCAAGAAGAATGAATGAGATATGTTTATATTAATTAGTATTAGATGCGCAGAATTAGAATAAAATATAGTCTTGAATAGATGATGAAGAAATGTATTGAAGGAAGAGATTACTACTACGCTTACTTGAGAAATAATAATGGGGTTTTTGGGATGGAGAGAGACAGGGAAGAGGGGGCAGCCAAGAACACTTAGAAGAATCTTGAGGTCATGAGATTTCTTGTTCATGAAAATATGTGGGAAATGGTTTCTGATCCATTTTCTCCATGTTTTCTTATTTGATCTGCTACTGTTTGTATTTTCTTCGTTTATGGGCTCTTCTGCTACTGTTGCTAGGCGACGATTATTCATCTGATCATTAATTGCTACTTTTCTATTTTTGCCTCTCTCTCTCTCTCTCTCTCTCTCTCTCTTTTCGGTTTTGGTTTTAGAGAGACTGAATGTATGCAGAATGGGGAGGTGAGGTGAAGAAGAAGAAGAAGAAGAAGAAGAAGAGTGGGTTAGTTGTTGTTGTTATTAAAAGAGGAGGAGAGGAGAGCACCTGGAGTGGAGTTTTTTGCTCTTGGTTTTGTGCACGTGCGTCTCATGCGCGTGTGCCTAACTTCATTACTTATACTCTCTAACTGTACTAGGAAGAATGATCCGAAATTCTCGACCCATATTATTATTATTAATGAGTCCATCTTCACCATTAATTTTACTCCTAATTTTAGGAAGGAAATATATTTGCCTACAAAAGGGGGGTGGATCCATTCCCCTCGATTAAGATTCGTTATTTTTATTTTTAATTGTATCACATTTCATCCAAGTTTAAATACAAATTTAAAAAAAAAAATAATAAAAAAAAAAAAAGCAAGCTTTATAATGAATGAATGTCCCTCCTTTCTAAGCATTCAGGGAAACATAAGACTCTAATGATTACTACAATACTACTCTCTTTCTTCTTTTACCAGAGAGAGAGACCCATAATATAATATGAAAACTGAAATCAAATAAAATTCGGCTCGGCTCGGCTCGGCTCTTACTAGTATTTAATTTAACTACTAATTAATCACATTAGATCAACTACTGTTTAAAGATGGTTCAACTTTTCACTTTTAATTAATTAACATATAGACTATAGTAGGCGCGTGGGATGAACAGCCCATATCATATTCTTTTGTTATTATTATTAGTTGTAATAAAAAGGGAGAGCTTTTAAGGGAGGCAAAGCCAGCCAACCAGTCTCCATCTCAGTCTCTCTCTCTCTCTCTCTCTCTCTCTCTCTCTCTGTAAATTGTAAAATGTAAATTGCAAATTGTAAATTGTTGTAATTATTCCATTTCTGGTGAGTTTGGTAGTAACACTTATTACATTTACTACTTTCGGATTTTATGCATTTCCTTTTTCTTTACCAATTACTCCACTAGTATCTTTTTTCTTCAACTTCTCCCATTAATCCATCACAATTTGTTCTATATATCTGTTCGTTCGCCATACATACATACTCATTCAATTTTTCACTTGAACTGAAAAACGAAATAACTTTGACTCAGATTAAATTCATCTTTCTTTTTCATACTAGTAATTAAATAGTGGGTTTTTGTAGTTGGCAGTAAAAGATGTCAGTCAATTCAAGAATATTATTTACAATAAGTTGCCTCAGTTACAGTTGGAGCAGTAGTTCGTTTTTGTGGCTTCGGTATTGTGTGGAGTTGGGAAGACAGTCAATATCTTGTTCCAAACAACATTCATTACAAGGGAATCATTTTACTATTATTTTTAATTCTAACTAAATAAAATACACATATCATCCTCCTCCATATAAATTTGAATTCATACACATTTTTAAATCGAAGAGAGAAAAAAATCAGATTGTTGATTTATATTGATTTATTAAAATATGAAAATTCAATACTCGAACATCTTGTTTCTTCACGCAACTCTTCTATTCGCACTTTCTTGAACTATCTCTAAGATAGAACTCCATTTAGATGGCGGATGATCTCTCGAGTACTTTACAACAGCAACGAGGGCAAAATATTGTTCACGACATGGCAAAGTCCGAATACTTTGAAAAGGTTTTGGAAAAATGAGTTTTTTAGTCATGTAAGTTTGTTAGTTGAACCAACGCTCATTAGGAGAGTTGGTACCTAGCCTTTACCAATAGGTAACGGTCTAGGGTTCGAGTCCCCCCCTCCCCTACTTCCCCTTGTAATGGACTTGAATTTACTCAAAAAAAAAAAAAGTTTGTTAGTTGAGAGTTTTAGTCCACCATGTTTCAAAATCAGAATTTTAGTCCTGTAAGTTACAAAAGTTGAGAATATTGGTCTTATAATATATAAATAAATAGATTAAAAATAAATTAGGTGATGTAGCTAATGAGTTGGATGTTTTTGGAGAAAAAATTGATCCTCAATGTCAAATTCACCAAAATAATGACGAAATTTTAACATATTAAATATTAATTTATATATTTAATTTTTTTGTTATATTTGCAATAAAGAATTGTACAATAAACCCATTCAATAAAATCTACAATTATATTTTTATGAAGGAAATAAGACTAACTAATGTTTAATTAATATTTCTTAGTTTCTATTTGATAAAATAGTAATTAAATTCATATTTATCTAAATATTTCATTTTTTTTTACAAATCTATACTTAGTGATTACAATGAAATTGAACCAACAATCAAATTCAACATAAAATCGAAAAAAAAAATATTTTATTAAACCTTGTTGTAAAGTTAAATGACATGCACAATCATAATTAGTATAAGAAATCAAATACACATTTATGAATTAACCGAAAAAATAATAAAATATATTCAAAACTCTATTAAATTAAATGTACCAAAAAAGTATTCTAGAGCCTCCAAACATAAAATACATCATCAAACCAAGAGTAACAAATATCTATAACGAGTAATAAAATATAATTACTATTTTTATCAATTGAAAACTATAAAATATTAATTAAAAAATAGTTACTACGAAAATGTTGATTTCATTCATCAAATAAAAAAAGTAATTTGATGGTATATTTTATTTCCCTCCAAAATCGTCCAACTCATTAGCCACATCACCTAATTTATTTTTAATCTATTTATTTTTATATTTTAAATGCCAACACATTCAACCAACCATCACATTACCTGTTATAGCAGGTCATAGGACCAAAATTCTCAACTTTTGTAACTTACAGGACTAAAATTCTGATTTTAAAACATGGTGGACTAAAACTCTTAACTAGCAAACTTACAGGACTAAAAAGCTCATTTTGCCAAAGGTTTTGTTCAAAAGAATGTGTTGCCTAAGGCAGATAATTCTTGTATGGCCCAAACCACATTTATTTTTAGCTCAACTCCAAATATGATATGCGTTTTTCTTTATTTTCATCTAAAGCCCAACATAATAATAATAATTCGTTACTAGCCCAATGGACTGAGAAGACATATATATTTTCACTCTGATGGGCTAAAGTTTCAGAATTTTATTCTCACATTTGATATAGTCATTGTTGATATGATTCAAATAATTCAAAGCTTTATTTATTGTCACAGTCTAATGCATAACTAAAAGTCCTATTAATGAGGATAAAACTAGTTTTTATGTCACGATCATTATTTATGTACAATTAGAAAACATTATTAGAGAAAAGTCAAATACGTTGTCTCAATTATTCTATTTATGTTCTTGTAATCTAATTCATTTTTTGTCAAATGACAACATCATCTATACGTATGGATAACTTCGAACGTATTTACGAAAATTTGCAACCGAAAACAAATAATTGATGTCCTGATTATGACAGCTGAATCAGTCCACAATTTTCTTAAACTTATCTTTATTTTATTTAATTTGTTCTCGAGCATTAGAAATAATATTGGAGGGGTTAAGGTCGAAGATATTTTAATTTTAAATAAATAAATGAAAGGGTTAATTAGCTAGGGGTATATGAATGAATGACTTATTCTGGGGCTAAACTAAACTAAATGCAGCCAGCCCATGTGAAACCCCTTGATTAAACTTAATCAGCACGATAATCAACTCTTTGATTGCAAGAAAGCCGAATGAGTAATTGGATATTGACCCCTAACTTATGGATATCAATTAAACTCTACCATTTCAATAATAATAATAATAAATAAATAATTTTGCAACAGAAATTAAGATAAGGTGGATGCTCCTCTGTTTGGCTAAAAATGAAATATGTGAGTAGACAAAAAGAAAAAGGTGAAGAAAAGTGCAGCAAAAATCTGTTTATTTTGGGCCCCCATTAATAATAAGTCATGCATTATCCAAAGGATTGTAGCTAGCTAGCTAAATATTGACAAATCAATGGATCTGCAACTGGCACACTGGCACTCTTGAACTTGCACTTTCATTCAACTTACATCCCCAAAGACCATATATATATATATATATATATATATATATATATATATAGGGGTGGGCATTCGGGTCGGGTCGGGTTATTCGTATATATATATATATATATATATATATATATATATATATATATATATATATATATATATATATATATATATATATATATATATATATATATATATATATATATATATATATATATATATATATATATATATATATATATATATATATATATATATATAAATTATATATGTCGAATGTCAAAAAGGTCCATCACATGTAATTTAAATGTATTTTAGTCCACAAAAAAACTGCCTCTCAATTAAACTCATCTCCATGTCTTTAGTCTAAAATATTCATAATATAATTCTTATCAATTCCATCCATTATGGTTTGACTTCCTTAATATTACACATTGACCCCGGATTTAAACAAATATATCACATTAATCCCCAAAAATTTTTTTTTTCAGAAAATAACTTTTTTCTGAAATTTCTTTTTTCCGGCCAGATTCCGGCGTTGACTTTTTTTTTTCTTGAATTTTTTTTTTCTAGAAATTTTTTTCCGGTGGTTGATCGCCGGTCTCCGGCGTTGACTTTTTTTCCTTTTTCTTTTTTTTTTTTGAATTTTAATTTCTTAGAAAAAAATATTTTAATTAATATTATTGTCTTGGTTACTAAATTACTGTCTCAGACAGTAATATTACTGTTTGGGACAGTAATATTATGAATATTATTTTCCCGAACAGTAATATTATAAATATTATTGTCTAAGACAATTAAATTACTGTTGGAGACAGTAATTTAGCAGCCAAGGCAGTAACATTAATTAAAATAATTTTTTTTAAGAAAAAAAATTAAAAAAAAAAAATGTCAATTAACAGTTAAATTACTGTAAATAGCTGCTGGAGACAGTAATTTAGCAACGAATACAGTAATATTAATTAAAAATATTTTTTTTAAGAATAAAAAAGTCAATTAACAGTTAAATTACTGTCTCCGATAGTTAAATAACTGCTGGAGACAGTAATTTAGCAACGAATACAATAATATTAATTAAAATATTTAAAAAAAGAGTCAATTAACAGTTAAATTACTGTCTCCGACAGTTATTTAGTTAAATAACTGCTGGAGACAGTAATTTAGTAGCAAAGACTGTAATATTAATTAAAAAAAATTTGAAAAAAAAAAATAATTTATAGTTAAATTACTGTCTCAGACAGTTAAATAACTGCCGGAGACAGTAATTTAGCAGCCAAGACAGTAATATTAATTAAAATATTTTTTTAAGAAAAAACAAAATTATTAAAAAAAACCTAAAAAGTCAACGCCGGAGACCCGACGGTCAACGGCAGTTGACCGGCCGGAAAAAAAATTTTGGAAAAAAAAAAAGTCAACGGCGGCAACCGGCGGTCTCCTGTGGTGGCGGGTCAAAATTGAAATTAGGGTTAAAATTGGTTAATTGATATAATTGGGCTAAATTGGGGTGTAATTGTAAATCATGAAATTTGAATTGAATTGGGGGTAATTTTGGTATATGTAAAAGGATTTTCTTATTTGCAAATAAGTTTGAATGAGCTGGATTTATTTGAAAGACAAAAAAGTAAGATGCCCCTCTTTTAATTAAGTGCCTTTGTCATGGGCCTATTTGCCATTTGTCCATATATATATAATTATTTGATTTTATAAGTAATGGCGGGTAATTAATAGCATTCATATAAATATATATTAATGTAAATTAGTATCTCTCTTTTACTAAATATAAATTAATTATCCTCTAGTTGACGGTCATGGCATGATCAAATTAATAATGACTCTATTACGTCATGTAGAAGAGAATATGCATGCCAATTAAACGGCGAGGCAAAGCAACACCATTTAAATAAAGGGATTATTTTGTAGACCCCATCATTTCCAAATTATATATAACTAACTACTAAGTGGATTACACTCTAGGAGAAGCTCCCCTTATTTCGAAAATATTTTGATATACCCCCTGGGCTACCCTGAAGTTCCTATAATACCCTTCTAAAATCAGTTTTAAACCCAAGCCACTCACGGTCTCTCTCTTCTTCTCTCCCAAATTCAAAATCCCGCCTCCACAAACCTCCCACCGGCGAAATTGTTTCCCGCAGCCATAACTCTCTCTCCGGTGGTCGGAATTCGATGGTTTAACTACCGTTGGATTCCTTTCGTCGAGCTCTTTCTTTTGGTGGTGATTTCATTCAGTTTCGAATGCTGATCTGTTTCTGCAATTTTTTTTCATTCGAGAACGGTGGTCTTGTCGGAGTTTTATTTTGTGTTCCACCCGTCGAAATTTGACGGGTCACCTACCGTTGGATTCCTCTCGTCGGGATCTATATTTTGATGGTAATTTCGTTTATTTTTATGTTTTCAGATTTATTTCTATATTTTTTGCATTTATGGCCGCGCAGAACCATTGGTGGTTACTCTCTATCTCTCGATCTCTTAATGTTTGGTGATTTTTGAGTGTTTTGATATTTTTCTTCAAATTTGTTGATTTGCACTAAAGTAATTTCTTTTTGTTTTGATTTTGCAATTGCAGCTTAATGAAGGCCATTAATCCTTTCCTTGAAGGTGTCAAATTTTTGTTTTTTTAAGTTACATCAGATCTGTTCAACAGACTGTATACATTACTATACATTACTATAGTAACATGTAGTTACATATGCGTATATTTATGTATTTTCGATTTGTATTTTATTGGTTCTGATGTGATTTATAATTTTAATATTTAAATTTGTAAATTTTTGTTGGGGTTTTATGAATCTATTTTGTATAAGTCAGTATTCGTGTGTGTATACAATTGATCGACTAAAAATATGGGGAAAAAACGAACATAACTATAAATTACTATAGGTACTATAGTTACATGTAGTTATTTTCAGTACATGTAGTTATTTTCAGTACTGTAAACATATTGTTTCGAAAATTAAAAAAAAAAAAATATATATATATATATATATATATATATATATATAACAAACAGATTTATAAAAAAAAAAGGAAAATAATAATAAATAAATCAGCGAAAATGATAAATGCAGGACCATAAATGTTGAATGCAGTTTGGCCGAAAATTGCACATAAGGGTAGTATAGTACTTTCGCTTCCCCAGGGAGTATGTCAAAGGATGATTTGGGCTTGGGTTTATCCCTAGTTTATTTGGTGGGTAGAGGTATGTAAAATAACCCCTTAAATAAATACATGAAATTATAAATAATAATTAGGATTAATGATAATAATAATAGTGGACCTACGGAATTTTAAGATGATGGTTTCAGTTCAGCTGGCTCAAGTAAGAAAAGATCGAAAGTTATTAACTCGATCACAATTTATTATTTGCGTAACCTCTACTCCCACTCCTCTACAATTAATTACTAGTATAAAAATTTAACTTTGGACATAATTTCTTCTTTAATTTATTATTATTATTATTATTACTGTTAATAGCAATAGCCAATTGGCATTGAGAATCCTGGGGCAGTAGACAGTTTTGGAGTGTTGTGGCTTTACCTTTTTATCCAAAATCCAATTATTCATTCATATTTTATCTTTTTATATATAATATATAGACAATTTTTGGGGATTCGAAAATGGGCGGCAGAATGGCCCTTTTTTTAAGCCCAAAGGCCAATTGTCGCTGTCCCCACTTTTCTATTTTTCTTTTCTATCAACACCATTCTTCTTGTTACTATTATTCTTTTTTTATTACACTACTATATAATATCAACTGTTCATTTAATTTAAGTACCACAAATTAATATGTACAACTGTTTCAATGAATTATATTTTTTTTATGCTTGGATACTGGATGTGAGGTTGAGTGCTATGTTGTCTAGATGATATGAATTGAGTGTAAGATTGTATTGTATTGGAAATCAAATACTATAATATAGAATATAAAATGAATTGGCAAGACAAAGGATGGGTTTGCTTTGATAAACCTCCTTGACAAAGATGGGTAATACTAAATATACATTGACATTATTCATCACTTAACTATTTATTAAAACTCTACTAGTTGACAAAAATAATAATATTAATTAATTTATCTATGCAAATACACAAAATTCAAATATAATAATATCTTTCTTAATTGTTAATTGGAGAGTTCTTCAAGGATAGAATCTAATACATTTAAAAATCAAACAATTACTTGTATTATTGGGAGAACTAATTCCAATTTAGTTTACAAATATATAAAAAATGAATCAGAAATTGGAATATAAAAAAATAGAGTAATTTTTCATATTCCGAAATTAGATATTTTATTGGAAAAGGGGTAAATTGAGGGTGCGGGACATATCCAAGTCAGAATGGGGCCCAGAGTAGATGTAGTTTATCCAATACGTGGCATATATCGATAGATTTTTGCGTCTATCACATAACGCCAATTAAATTAAATATATATGAATTTGACCCCACAGGTAGTTTGCCCTTATCCTCTTTTATCCAACCATTTCACAGTCAATGCTCCGCCTTTTCTTTCTTTTCTATGATTTATTGATTCATTCATTAAACTCTCCCTCAATATGTCTATCTATCTAAGTTTCTAGAATTTTTTTAAGATAATTCTACACTACGGTCACCCGAATCCCATGAACTGCGATTTCATTAGCTAATAATATTCATTATTCACTCTCACTGCAGTTACAAATACTTACTAATCATTTTCTGCAAACATATATATGTATATATGCTTTCCTACTTGCCTTCAAAGGGAATGAATATATATAAAATGTAACAAGAAAGAAGTTGACAAAAGATTAAGTGTTCCACATGATCTTCATGTCCAAGCAACCATAACTTGTATCCAGTCACAACTAAATAATTCAATTTCTTTTAACTTTTCCTTATTTTATAAGAAATATTTAAATTAAAGCAAGTAAAAAAATAAATAATAGTAGAAATAAAGAAAGCACCTCATCATACATCAACTCACTCCCACATACTTTGGTCTCCTCCAAGCCATAATTAAACTTAAACCCCCTGCAGCATCTACAGTTGCAACTTGTCTACATTCATTTCAGGCTCTGATTTATGTTATTACTTATGCTAAAAAAATATATTAATTAAACTAAATTAAAGACTTTTCGTTTATCTATAGCTATAATTATTGCATTTGAGTAGTTATTAATAAAATAGTCATAATCAGAATAAATGTTGGGGATATAAATTATACAACTACAATTAGTGCAACATGTAAGAAACCTAGAAGAAGTGGCAATGAACCAGAAGTAGGAGTGACACGTGTACTTCCTTGATTAACCAATCCCCAAGTTTTACTATGTGCTTATTACAACCTAGGTTCTCTTCTTGTACACCAGTCACCCCCCCACCCCCTCTTTATATTCTCTCTCTCTCTTCTCTCTCTCTATAAATATTGATTATAAATATTCTGTCCTCCAAATTAGTCCAAACCCATCTTTCAAACAAAAATCTCACGTAGTCATCAGTCACATGTAATCTCCCCCCTATCCTCAATCAACACTACATTTTCTTCCTTTTTTTAAAGTAACGATTTTTACCCAAAAAAAAAAAAAAAGAAAAATCAACCAATCATTTTGCACTCAGCGATGGATCATCGAGAATTCACTGAGCTGATACCCGGTTTACCCGAAGAAATCGCCCTCGATTGCCTGACCCGGCTCCACTATTCAGCCCACCGGGTGTCTTCCCGCGTCTGCAAACGATGGCGTCATCTTCTCCAAAGCAAGGATTTTTACTACCACAGAAAGCAGACCGGGTTCACCTACAAAGCCGCTTGTTTTGTTCAAGCTCTTCCGGTCCTATCCGAGCCCAAACCCACGGCTCAGCCCAGGTACGGTATCTCTTTGTTCGACCCTGTTTCACTCGACTGGAACCGAATCGACCCGGTACCCAAGTACCCGGATGGTTTGCCCCTCTTCTGTCAGGTGGTTAGCACGGAGGGGAAGCTTGTTCTGATGGGCGGGTGGGACCCATCGACTTGGGACCCGGTCAGGGACGTCTTCGTTTACGAGTTCACGACTCAGAAGTGGACTCAGTGCGCTGATATGCCCTCGACCCGGTCATTCTTCGCAATCGGCGCGGTGGAGGGGAGAGTGGTGGTGGCCGGAGGGCACGACGAGAGCAAGAATGCTTTGAGCTCGTCGTGGGTGTACGATATCAAGAAGAACGAGTGGTCCGAGTTGGCCAGGATGAGTGAGGAGCGAGACGAGTGCGAGGGTGTGGTTGTCGGGTCGGAGTTCTGGGTGGTGAGCGGGTACGGAACGGAAACACAAGGAGCGTTCAAGAACAGCGCGGAGGTGTACGAATTCGGGTCGGGTGGGTGGAGGGTGGTGGAGGATGCGTGGAGGGTGAGCCGGTGCCCGAGGTCGTGCGTGGGGGGTAAAAATGGGAATACATTAAAGTGCTGGTCGGAGGCGGATACAGCAGTACAGGTGGGGGCTTGTGGGGTGGACCTTGGAGAAAGGACCGTGGTGACCGGGTCGGCATATCAGGGGGCGCCACATGGATTCTATCTAGTTGAGGGGCAAAATGGTAAATTGACGAAGATAAATGTACCTGATGAGTATTCTGGATTTGTGCAATCCGGGTGCTGTGTGGAGATTTAATCAAGATTTTTATTTTTTCTGTTTGTGTTCACTGTGTTGTGTTACACACAGCTGCATTGTGGTGATGTGGAGTTAGCAGCAGCGTAGTGTTCAATGCAGTTTTGTTTTGGCATATGTTTTTAAGATTGTTGTTTCTAAGGAAAATATAGTATAAAATGATGTGTTTGTATATTTATTTTATTGGGCAGAAACAAATATATGAAATGATAATAAGAATGTGATATAGAGAAAGTTGAGACAAGGTTTCATAATTAATTTGAACAAGGTATTTCCAGTGGGGTTGGGTTCCATTTTACCCATTTAGCTTCAGCTTTAGCTTTGTTATGATGAAGGATTAAAGTAGATTGTGATTTGGGGGCATTCACCGACATTCCAATGAATTATTGTCATAATAGTGACTCACCTCATATGCTGCTGCTGCTGCTGCTGCTTATCTAGACTAGTTATGAATCCTCTCTCTATCTCTCTCTCTCTCTCTCTCTAACACCTTTCTTTGTATTTTATCTTAAAAACCAAAGGCAGGCATAACAGACTATTTTACCGTATCATACATTAAAACAAGCACATCAACCATTTACTGTCTTCATTACACACAATATTTTCTCAAAATAAAAGATAATAATAACTAATTCAACACAGTAGTAGCAGTAACATTCTGAAAACTAGTAGTACTAAGTACATTAATGGCTGTTCTAATATAATGGAGGATTGGACCCAAACTCAGTAGGGGCTGCTGCTGCGGCTCCAGCTCCCGCTACGAGGAGACCTTGAGTAAGACCTTCCTCTCTTGTACCTCCTGTTTCCAGGAGATATTGATCTTGAGTAATGTCTTCTCCTTGGTGATGGAGAACAATAATCAGGGCTCCTGGAATATGAACGCCGTGATCGATAATCACCAATGGGAGAACTCGTTTCCCTGCTACACCAGTTTACAAAAGTTATAAATATTAATAATATAACGTATCTTGAAAATGGAAAAACCCGTTGATATTCACCTTCTACGCTCTCTTGCCCTCATCTGTGAAGGTTTCTTTCTATTTTCCTCAGCAAATACTACGGTTAACTCCCGACCAAGCAGGATTTGTCCATCCATCTCATACTTTGCTTCAGCAGCATCTTCAGGGTCAACATACTCCACAAAACCAAAACCACGCAGCTCCCTGCAATTATTAAAATACATACTCCAATCAGAATAGTACATAGCTCAACTCATGAGGGTATCGGCAAACTCCCTGTGCAGCTTCACATTCACAGCAAAATCAGAATGAACAAGAAATTGGTCTTTCCATTATCTTTGCAAATTCGCTTGCTGCTAACCTTGTGAGAATAAATTTACGACTTGAAGTTGTTCGACGGAACTGTATTAAAAAAATCAACTTGCTTCAATCTTCATGTTTGTTAAGATGACCTTGATCTCTAATTACTTCATTCTTGTCTTGAATACTTCCATATACAAGGAAAAAACAAAAAAAGGACTTCCCATAAAATGATGGCAGAAGGTTAAAAGTACACAAATCATCTCTCGCCAATAATCAGAAAAATCATTTTAGTTTTCCTCGTGATCAGTTCAAATCAAATCCTATGATGATGATAATAAACAAGAATTACTAACCCTGTGTAATAGTCACGGGGCAGGTAGACATCCTTAAGAGGACCAAATTCTCCAAACGGTCCACGGAGATCTTCAGTCCTGTAAGAACCAGAATAAATAAATTAATTAATTCAAAAGTCTGCCTTTGCATACATTGTATTGTTCAGGACATGATACGAGTGGCAGACGGTCGATATGACATTTTCCCATGTACTAACATGAAACGAAAACACGCATAACTGAAGCATGGATATTGCACATGTTAACATCATCAGCTCATCCTAACATTCGTTTGTAACAAATTAATTAAGATAGGAAACAAGGTTCCCTTCTGCTCTACTTTGTTGCTTGCAAAAATGAATTCCCCGTTGGTTATTTAATACACATTTGATTGACAACATAAAAAGGGTAAAAATGGCAGGGCAGAAACGGTTGAAAAATGAGGATGATGACGATACCTGCAATCATAGCGAAGATTGCGGACGAGAAGGCTGGTGGGAAGATCTCGGTAGTGATGATCCCTTGGGCTTGAGCTTCGATCTCTCCTTCTATAACCAATTGGCGACGGACTTCTGCTGTATCTTCTACCCATTTTTCTACCCAATTTTCACCTAAATACACCAAATATAATTAAAAAAATAAATAAATCATGCAACCAACAATTATAACAGCCGTATCAAAACATATTGTTCGATCAGTTTCCAATTTATCCAGCAAATAATTTCACAAAGAAACACTGATAAGGAAATAAAAATAGAAAAAAATCAGGTAATAGAGCCTGAAAATTATCGATCACAACTGTTGTCATTATTCAGCAAAATGGTTTATTTTAACAAATTAAAACGTCCAAATTTTCAATTGAACTCGGAATTCAAGCATAAAAATAAGCCGGCGAAAATGGGGGAGAAAGTAGAGGAAAAATTTAATAGTACCTTATAGTAGCTTCGATCGATCGCATACACGAAGTGGAGTTTCTGCTTTCTTCTTTCTCCCGATTTAAGTAGGTTGGTGGTTCGATAGCATTCCAGAAGTTTCTACCACCATCTTCTCTTTGGGCTTTACTTCCTTTTAGTTTCTTAAATTATTTAGTTGGGCCAGAAAGTTGAGTCACAAAATTCTTAATTATTTTAATACATTTGTTATAATCAACTTTATTTTTCTATTGTGCATATACATATATGATTTAACTAAATAATATATTATTTCCAGGAATTTTCACTAATAAGTATTGCAGATGTAAATTATGTTGGTCGTCGCTAATCGTTACATCTTCTGTTTTGCAAATTTGTAGCATTTTTATTGGGATAGGAGAAAAACTGAAATTATATTTTGATAGGAAATCAGAATTAGTATTAGCACCAAAAGAAATGTTATTGTATTAAGATCGGGAATTGAAACATAGAAGAAAATTGAAACTAAAAGTTATGTACGCATTCTAACAAGATTGTTTTTACAACAAAGGGCTCGTGACGGGCGTATAGGCAGTAGGTGTAGACGGACGAGATGCACAGTCCTCTCTCTACAATAATAATAATATAGTGTTGCCTCCATATCGAAACTTCGATAAAATATGACAAGGGAACAAAATTCCCAATCATTGAAATCTCACACTCATCATAGGGAAATAAATATGATAAAGAATTAGTTAAGGGCATAATGTACACGTTCAAGCAGTCGAACAACCTGATTAACCATAACTGGCATAGGAGGTTTCAAGGTCGACATAACTGTTACATTTGGTGTGCCACTAGGTAATGCCAACACCGCCTCTTGCTGCATGCTTGTAAGCTCCAAGAATTGACCCAAAATGTCACCATCCAGTATCTTACGTATTCCAGCCTGTCCTCCATTACAAGAACAATCCCAACATAATTCATGTTTTCATAAGGATGATGATATGACAAGTCGATGAATCAAGCAAGGATCGCAACAATCATATAGTATTATAAGACTATCCACCAATAAGTAAATCAAAAGGCTCACCCGACTTTCACGGCTTCGAAATTCATTGTGATCGTTTCCCAGAATTGGAGCAGTAAGCGGGTCAACCACAAGCCTAGCCTGAACCTCTTCTAATAGCTCGTATTCCTCCCTGCCCAACAACGAAGGAAATAAATACATAAATAGGATATCTAATCAAGAAAGGCCACCAATCCAGGTTGGAACCCAAATAATTAGGTAAAATACTTGCAGAAACTAATTCATTCTTGCACGATTTCCCAACATTTAATCTAGGATACAACTTTGACAAAATTCAAATAAAAAATATCCCTCTTCCATATTCATAACATACATACAATTCCAGGCCCTGCAACCGTTCAAAGAAGCTCATGCCAGACACAAAGATGTGGAATTGAATAATTAGACAACCACAGATGAACTCAACAAAGCTTCTCTGCTAAGCTTCATTTAAGTGTATTATGTCTCTGGTTCACAGCAAAGAAATTTAAATAACATACAAGAAAACGGATGGGGACACACAAATGTACCTTGTCATCGGAATGAAGATTATTATACTCCCTAATAGCGTAGATGCCATTATACAGTTTCGTGATGAGTTAATATTGTTAGTAGCATCATCGGAGTCCTTCAACATATCATCTGCTGGGAGTTTGTATGAGAATGAACCCTACAGGAAGATTTAAAAAAATCGCACGTCATACACAGAAAATACTTGACTATAAACATAATGTACTTCCTGTTCCCCAAGAAGCTTTTAAGAATATGATCACAGCTAGCCCAATGATACAAGAACCTAATTACATTAGCTCGGAACATTCAAAATTGCTTTTTGATTGTGACAATTGACCATTACACACTTAATTCAAAATTTCTTTCGGATTGTGACAATTGAACATGAGACCAGACCAACATCTTATTTTTCTTTTTCCGCTACTAATGTAGGAGTAAATTTGGATATTTCGGAGTCTTGTTAGTTATACATTCTCAGGAAGAAGTTTTATGGTTCTAATCAAGGCTAAAGCTACGCTCCAAGCAGGCCACAGATACCTCCATGTCTAAAATTTAGAGTTTGAAGATATCTTTTCACTTGCAACCAAATCAAATCAATCAGATATAGTTCAATCATTAAAATACAATATCTAAACTAGAAATCAAAATCTGTATTGCCTGAGTCGGGTTTCACGTCCTTTTCATTTAATAAAAATTCTTAAAGCATAGTTTAGTACTGTAGGCTCTTAAGAAAGCATTACCTTCCTCATGCTCATGGCAATCTCACCCATATAGTATGAACAGCTTAGAGTCAAGTTGCGCTCCGGACTCGCATTGTCTGTAAGACGAAGTTAAATCAATCATGTGAATGAGTATTATGGTTTAGGAAATTAATTACTAGAAACAGAAGTCTATGTTGAACTAGATGACAATCAGATGCTTCATCTAAGCATCCTATAAGAGCATTCTGAAACAACTTACAAAGTTAACATTAACTTGCTTGTGTACATACACAACATTAACTTCAAAACTTAGTTCCTAATGTTGGTATTATCGATTAGAGATTTACAACAATCTCAAGTCGCAAGTCTCCATTGGTATTAATTTAGAAGAGTTGGTAATGGCATCATAAGATTTTTTCAGATACAGAGGTACAGCTTATGCCATGCGTATAACTGCATTTACATCCCATGAAAACCCTTATGGTTTGATTATATGCTTTATTTACCTTTTGCTAAAACTGAAACCATCTCCTAGGCTTGTCCAATACCAGATTCAAGATAAACATATATAAGGTAACTGCCTTAGGTTCACACATCAATTTACCTTCTAAATGATTTGCGCATGATAAGACAACCAAACTTCCTTTCCTGTCCGAAACAACGGCAGTATCAACATCCATAAGAAGGCAATCAGCAACTAGCCTCTGGACAGGATCACAATAAACTTGCTCTAGTTTTTTGGAATCCTGGTACAAATAGTAAATGGTTGTTTGTAACAACCCCACGCCAAATTTAGAACATATTTCCACAATTAATATTCGATGTTTTTCTTTTCTTTTGTAGTTCAGATTCAATGGATTGGCTCCATCTGGATTTTGCAGAAAGTCACTAGAATAACGGAAAACAAATTAGTCAACCGCAGGGAAAACAAGTGTTATTACTGACCTCATGGTAAGAATAGAAGAGAACACCGTCACGACAATCCCCAACAGCTATTCTAGTGAAATGTGAAGTCAAAGTCATAATAGTAAACCGAGTTCTTGTGGAAGCAAATTTCCTCATCCTTTGACAATTATCATTCACAAAACCACAAACAGAAAACTGAGAAAAACAAAATAGTATCTCTTTAGAAGCTTCCCGACAATAATCCTCAACAATTTCCTATAAGCAGACTTGAAATTTTTATGACTTACAGTAGAACCAGAAGAAAACAAGAAATAACTATCAAGGTACTGGCACACGGCAAGTATCATGCCGCTCACGATGGTTGAGTAAGCCAAGCGCAAGTGCCATGCTTCAGTTTCTTCAAGTTTAATTCCATCGTAGTTATTATCATCCGGGCTGCTACAGAGGCTACTGTTAAAGAGCTGATCAGCAGAATAGCCCCCGATAGGTGAATTTCGTTGTGTTACAGAACCAATGTCTGAAATATGCGTGTATTCAAGGAAGAGAACAAGCAGACGGCCTTTTGTACTGTAAAATACACACCATACAAATTGAAATACATAGATAAAGACCCAGGAGAGCCGAGAAAATAATTAACAAACCAAAATCAAAAAATGAACTACAAACACTAGGGAGAAGCCCATAGCAATATAGAAAGGGTCGCACATAAGAGATATAACCTTTCAGCTTCACCACTTGGCATCATAGCTGGTCCAGCAGAAAGGCTAGTTCCAACAACCAGCACATGCTCACATCCGACCTTTATGAACTCCATGCATTTTCCAGTCTCCCCAGGTTCAAATTTGAAAGATGATACCACTGAGCCGCTCAAAGGATCCACACAGCAAATATCTGATGAGCATGAATCATTATCTAATTCTGTCCTCATAATGAACAACAACCTGGTAGCATTATGATATAAAATTTTCCTCGGAGTGCCTCCAAGATGAAATGCCTGCACATTAAGCCTTTTACTAGGCACCATTTCCACCTATAACGAGATTAAATGCAAAATCATAATGTATGATTTGTAAAAGGCATCTGAGCATGAAAAAAGAAGAATCAATCTAAATCAAGCCAATACTGAGACATATGTTTTTCTTACCAAATTAAGACTGTTCTCTGCAACAAATAAAATTCCTCTGGGGCATTCAACTGAACACACAGGAGTGACATGAGTAGAAGGTTGGAAGGAGATGGATGTATAAGAAAGACTGTGCCTTGCAGTCTGCAATAACCAAGGCCTATCACTGAGGGCAATCATATCAGCATCAAGGGAATCACTCAACGAAACCAAGAAAACAGGTGTAATACCAATTCGGCGTACAGCAATCAGCTGAAGATTAACTGGCAAATCTCCTTCAGTCTTCCCAGATATATTGGACTTGAATATTTCCGGGACTTCGTTATTCGGAGACAATAAATTCGACGAGATATGGAAATTGATTGTGGAGGACCCAACAATAGATTGCTGACCGGTTGACCCTGCTGAGGAAAGTGTAGAGGCACTAGGCCACTCAAACCTAAGTAGCATTCCATTCCTCAATCCTGAAAGAACATACAGGCGATCAACTAAGACAAGCCTTACATCTTCTGGAACACATCCACTAATAGTAGTCCCCAGTGTGTTCGTTAATGAGATGATCCCTATGGCAAGAACTTGTAGTCCCTTATCACCTGTAAAGGATACGACTTCTACTGAAGGCCTATGAGTACCAATAACGAACAAATTATCAACATGATTTCCAGATGGAAAGGCTGGCGTAGAGTTGTTAGCTGCATAATTTGTCAAAAATCTACTCAGCTCAAGGTGCTTCTGAGGTATGGAGATACAAGATAACTCATTCTGCAATTTTACACAGTACATCTGATAAACTTCGTAATGATACGCCAATGAACATCGAATACCAAGAATGAATAGGAAACATGGACTGGATGTGGCTACCACTATCATGCCGTGCCCAACAGCTCCGAGACTTATACTCATATTATCAGGGAACCACGATGTGCATATTGGAGATGAGAAAGGAATACCTTCGGGATGCACACTTCCAACGGGCAAACAAAGTCTCACTCCACGTTGGTGAATCTGGACCATCACACCATCAGCTACAACACCACAAGCCAAAGTGCAGACATCTGGCTGAAAACCAACAGATTCAGTTACATCAGAAAAGTTGACACCGACTGAAAGAACCCTGGTCTCCTCAACAAATGATAGTACAAGAAAAGAATGATAAGGGTCGGAAAGTTTCATTTTGACTGTCCATGTACCAGTGACACCCTGATAAATTGGAGCAGTTTTCAACAATTTCTCCACACTGATACCACTTCGGATGATCCGCAGAGATCCCTCAGATGCCATCCCAGAGCAGGCAAACAGTTGATCGTGTTTCTCATCAGGATAATCAACAATGCACATATCTAAGATTGGTGCAATGTTTTGAATCGAACTTTTGTATTTTAGAAACCCCTCTTCAAATTTTAAGACCATCCCATCTGCCATGTCAACAACGACTGCTACAAACCCACAGTCAAGCCATAACAGAGCATTGGCTGGTCGACCTTTGTAAAGACAATCAGATAAATTTACTCTAACGCCATCAGACTCAAAAAGGACTTCAAGAGCATAAAGATCTCCAGAGTCAGCACTAAATATGATCCTATGACCATTTGTTACACCAGGTTCCCAACTCCATGAGCAGACATAATTGGAACCAGGTTGGACACTACTATAATCATCAATATTCATTGGATCATCGTTTTTATTTATGTCACCAAGCTCCAGCAAAGCAGATGCAGCAACGCTATACATACCTTCTTCATCCATAATATCAGGTATTCTAATACTGTTTTTAAATTTCTTTTCCTCCAATGGTGTGAAATTTAAACTTGTCCTGTGGACACAAGAAGGGCTTTTGACATTCCTGAAATCCATGAGGGCAATATCACCTGCCCTGAACAGGAAGGCAAATCCATGAGTATGAGGCACTTCTACTATATGATATGCTAAAGGTCCGGCTTCTGCAAACTGATACACCACTTGGACTGACTGTTCCTTGATATTCCATTCCAGCAACAAAAGCTCATTTCGATAAAAAGATCCCCATCTGCGGAACAAGACATTGAACTTCTTACGGACAGGAAAAATATTCCAAAGACAAAAGTAATTTTCAAGTAAAAGAAAAGTGCAAAATTAGATCAGTTTGAATAAAGAGCTATCTAAAAATAGGAGGGTAGCTTGCATTCTCAGTATATATTTCGACAATGTACCTATTCAGAAGAATGGCAAGAACAGGCTTCCTCTCCTTCTCAGGCTGATTGTCATCTTCAGAGATGAAGCACATGCTCCATATTGTACCAGAAATATTGATAATAGAACCTTTTGCAGTTTCCAAACCCCCATCTTTTTCAGGAGGACACAAAATTCTCTAAAATGAAAACATGATAAAACAAATTTAGAAAGTGTATGCAACAATTTAACCACATAGAACTGCAATAAATCTTTCAGAGCAGTACAACAATGCATAAATCTATGGGGAAAAAAGTACTAGCTCAAACTCAACCTTATCAATGATATCACCACTTGAGGACATAGACAGCGAGAAGATAGCCAATTGATCCTCATACGCACTAGCAGCAACAAAACAACCACTGTAGAGAGCAAAGAATAAACAACCTACATGAATAACGATTCTACAAGCTCTGAGTGGCAGCTAAGTGACAAGTTACCGTTTCATTGAAACTCTATTCTGTAAAGGTTTATACATGATGCAAGCTCACCTGGAATCAACAGCTAGCATCCTTCCAACTTGATGCCTTGAGTTGCCAGGATCAGAAAGCTGAATATGGGTCAACGGCAAAAACCTAGAAATAAGCAAACCACCAATTTAGCAAGACTTTTGGCTCAAGGAACCAAACTAGTATAACTAATATGAAGAAGAAGATAATGGCACAAGTCACTGAAACAAACCTGTGCATTTCACTGCAAAAGGTGAGAAATGAAAGCTTTCCTGAATCAGAAATGACAAGTAACATATCCTTCCCCAGTACCTAGAAAAAAACCAAGTAGGTAATCCTTAAGTCCTGTACCATTTCAAATATGAATGTTGTGTAAATAAAGGAGCCCACAAACCTTTGGATTCTGCACCTGAAACCTCTTATTCCATGGAAGGACTGCAATATCTTTGATGGTACCAAATACAGGTTGTTCAGAAATAGACTGAACAACCCCATCTTCATCAACTATCACGAGTTCTATTGATGTCTCCTGGAATAAGCTTATATCGTTATGACATATGTATATGTATTGTATAAGAAACATACCGATTCAATTCAGCCAACACTAAAATGTTAATTGGCAACAATTTCTCACGCACTGATAAAAGATAATATGCATATCCTCGCGGTCAGAAAAGAGGACGACTAATAAATAAAAAGGTAATTGGGAGAGTGACCTAAAACATACCTTGCCGAAGACGACGTCGTAAGAATTGGGGGAGCGGAAGTGGCCGCAAACAGCTTGAAGAACAACGCTGCCTCTGAGGACTGTTTTGGCCAAATAAAAGGCATCGGCGTTAGGTGATCGCAAATTAGTGTTGGATGTATTTGGGCGTGATGAAGACGATGATGAAGATTCTTCTTCTGAAACCGCCATTATTATTCTGTAGGATTGAGAGGGATTAGGGTTTTAATGAGGAACGAAGTGATTGATTGGGATGACTGATTTCGAATTTGGAAGCTTTATTGTGTCAGTTATCGGAGTACTCCATGTCTGTGTGCGTTGTTGAACACCAGAACGTTCTACTAACTTTTGTTGGAGAAATAATATATAATATCAAAAGGAATTACTCTACTGAGTGAAAGTGGTGGGAGCAATTTTTCCCTAACACCAGGGTAAATAAACCCGCCTTCAAATCTCCTACTTAAACCCTTTTTGCATTTTTTCGGAAGCTAAATAAATTAGGTACTGTTTTTCATTTATTTATTTTTTAGTTTATTAATTATTAATTATATACGCTAAATTACCAAAAGAAACCATGAACTAAAATTCAATTACCAAAAAGCTTCTTATGTATTTATTGATGATGCTAGAAATAGATCACCTTAGTGAGTTGAAGTAGGATGAGTTGGAAGAGCAGAGTGGATCACTGGCTCACGAGCTTGATGACCTTGAGATACCTGCGATCATAGAATACGTGAACTAGGCCGGGGGTTGATCCGGCGGAAACCCCTCCGACGCTCAAGTCAGATGTGCGGATAGTGAAAATAGTCCACAGAATACATGTTGTAGTATTGTTCAGTTAATAGGACCTACCTGAAAGAATGAGTTCAAACCTTTATTTATAGCTTAGTTGAGATTGTCGGGCCCAAACCTTACTTGAAGGTGATTGGGCATCGGTGATAGTGGTCTTCGATATTGGGCTCGTGGCCCAGTAGGTAAATAATTTGTAGGCCCATTGGGTTGGACCAATTAGGCATATCATTAAGCCCCCCACTCTCGAGTCGATGTGGGGGCCATGTTGAAATGGGTGTCAGATCGTGTCGAGAGTAAAAATTGTAGAAGTCGATCGTTGGCGTGTGGCCTAATGGTGTGCGAAAACGCGTTGGAGCCGTGTGTCGGAGGGGAGTGAAGGCGCGTTGGCGCGTAACGCGACCAATTTATCGCGATATAAGTTACTTGAGTCATCGGTGTTGTCCCGCGACAATGTAGTAGCTCGGATCAAGTTATCTCCTCGTGGGAGTTGTCTCGTCGTGGGGTAGTAGAGTTGATCGAGTTATCTCCTCGTGGGAGTTGTCTCGCGATAATGTAGTAGCACGGAGCTAGTATTCTCCTCGTGGGAGTTATTTTTTATCGACATTATCAATGTTTTGACGCGTTGCTTGTATGTGTTTACATATAGTCTTGTGCGTGATGTACTTGAAGAGGGGATCAGGCTCTCAAGATTTTTTTATGGGGATCGTGCCCCTTGTTAGACCTCGTGGGTTGTAAGTATGTTTGGACCGTGGCCACGTTTTAATGAAGGACCCATCGAAAACAAGTAGATAAATTTTGAGTAATCAAGCTGGCCAGGCTATATAGATTCCCATAATATCTCTAAGTGTTTCGAGGGTTGTAATCGTGTTAACTTGAGCTTGCGATTATATAGTGAATTTCGTGCGAGTTGTCTCCTCCTCGTGGGAGTTGTCTCGCAGCGAAGTTGTTGGAGCGTTGGATAACGCGCGACTGAGGAGTGTGCGGATTGAGGTCGCTCTGAGCGAGTTGTAGTAGTGAACGATTTAGCTCCTCGTGGGAGTTGTCTCGCTGCGGGTCGTCGGTCTGAGCGAGTTGTCTCCTCGTAGGAGTTGTCTCGCTGCGTGTTGCAGGACCGAACGAGTTGTCTCCTCTTGGGAGTTGTCTCGCTGCTGGTTGTAGGACCTAGCGAGTGGTCTCCTCGTGGGAGTTATCTTGTAGTAGTGAACGATTTAGCTCATCGTGGGAGTTGTCTCGCTCCGGGTCATCGGTCCGAGCGAGTTGTCTCCTCGTGGGAGTTGTCTCGCTGCGTGTTGCAGGACCGAACGAGTTGTCTCTTCTTGGGAGTTGTCCCGCTGCTGGTTGTAGGACCTAGCGAGTGGCCTCCTCGTGGAGTTATCTCGCAAGCCTCCCACTCTCGAGACGATGTAGGAGCCAGGTCGAAAAGGGTACCGGATCGTGTCGAGAGTAGATCGGTGTTGTAGTCTTGCGTTAATCGTTGACATGGCGCGGAGAAATAATCTTTTTTATTTATCCATTTGATAGCGAACGCGATTTGGTAGGCGCGTTAAAGAGGTGAAGCGCGTTGAAATTCTCTTGCAATTTGGTGAAGAGTAGTAAAAGTTGCACGCGATCTGATGGGAGCGCGCGCTCCAAGGTGGCCTTGGGAAGGCGCGTGCAGCTGCTGCCCCCCAGGCGCGTGTGAGCACGCGCTTCGCAATATTATTATTATTTTTTTTTTTTGGATAGAGGCGCGCGCGGGGCTTGGAAGGGGCGCCGGTCGGTTGGCTGTTTTTTTTTTTTTTGAATGGAGCCGCGCGGCTTGGCTGCAGCTTCTTCTCTCTTTTTTTTTTTTTTTTTTTTGAATGGTGAGGCGCGCGCACGGCTTGGCTCAGGCGCGCCTTGGATGCACTCTTCCCTTTTTTTTTTTAAATGGTGAGGCGCGCGCGCGGCTTGGGGCGGGCGCGCGGCTTGGCTCCACATCTTCCCCTTTTTTTTCATCTTTTTCTTTTTTCTATTTTCTTTTTTCTTCTTCTTTTTTTCTTGTTTCTTTTTTCTTCATCTTCTTCTTTTTTTCTTTTTATTTTTTTGTTTTTAGGTGGTTGATGTTCACCCCTTTGGGGATGTTCTATTTTTTGAGTAGGGAGATTATACTCGTCTCTTGAGATGTGATGTGCACCCATTTGGGGTTGAAAGGTAAAGGTGATGCCCACCTTGGGATGGGGATGTTTTATTTTTTGAGTAGGGAGATTATACTCGTCTCTTGAGATGGGATGTGCACCCACTTGGGGTTGAAAGGTAAGGGTGATGCCCACCTTGGAATGGGATAACCCCCTACTTTAGAATGAGGCGCTCGAGACCTATGGTCTGAGGTGAATGCGCACGGTTGTGCCATTGCTTCAGTGGCAACACGAGTTGAAACTTTCGCGGTCGTACGTTGAAGGTCCTTATCGGTTATCTGAACCGTTAGAGGAGCAAGTAGAATTTGAACTTGTTGAAGGTTCGGCGATCATATGCTGAAGGTCCTCTTCGATTATTTGAACCGTTCGAGGGGGGGGGGGGGGGGAGGTAGGCCCCTAGGGAGTCGACAACCCTTGGCGAACAAAATATTTTGGGGGTTCTATAAAACCCCAGGGAGTCGATAACCCTTAGCGAACGAAATATTTTTGGGGTACTATAAAACCCCAGGGAGTCGATAACCCTTGGCGAGCGAAATATTTTGGGGGTACTATAAAACCCCAGGGAGTCGATAACCCTTGGCGAACGAAATATTTTGGGGGCACTATAAACCCCCAGATTTTATGTTGACTTGACCTAATAATTATGTGGTGAAAGAGCAATAACACTGAGAGTAAAGGAAATAACTAGCTTTATTCATTGATCGAAAAGGTGAAGCTTACGAGCCTACTTGAGGCGAAGGTAAATAAACAAGTAGGGAGCGAATCGCTCGAAATAAATAAACTTGTACTAAAGTAGATAATGTAGGTGTTTCGTTCAATTGATGTCGAGAGGTGAGGGGATGTATCATCCTTAAGGTATGATAGCCCCCCAGTTTAGGATGATGTAATCACGAACAATGTTATGGGCTCGATAGATTCCAAGTGTCATTGACATCATTGGAAGTACAAGGACATATAAGGAGATTATCAATGAGATGTTTACGATTGTCGTCGGCCATCTCGTCGCCGGGTGTTGAAGTAATCTTCATCTCTTTTCCTCTTGGGAGGAGGGAGGGCCGAAGCCTCTTCGATGCGCACGTGTTTCTCAGCGCGACTTAGTAACTCTTCTAGAGTGGTTGGAGGTCTTCCTGCAATAGATTCCTTGAATCTACCTTCCTTCAAGTTTTGTTGAATGATTCCAACGAGCATGCTTCCTCCCACGTTAGGAACTTTGTGAGATGCCTCCACAAATCGTTGAATGTAGTTGCGGAGGGTCTCGCCCTCTGTCTGGGTGATAGTGAAGAGGTACGCGGGAGTCTTTGCGTACTCTTTGTTGATAGCGAAATGGTGGGTGAAGCGATCTGTTAGTTGGGAGAGAGCTTCAATCGACCCAGTGGGCAAGGAGTTGAACCAGCTCAACGCTCGTTCGGAGAGCGTTGTGCGAAACATCTTGCACATTGCCGCATCACTTGGGCCATAAAGATCTGCCATGGCGTAGAACTTTTCAAGGTGCTCTTGTGGGTCACCAGTTCCATCGAACTGCGGTAGACTCGAGACCTTTACCCGTTGGGGTAGTATCTCATTGATTATTGCGACAGTGAAGGGATTGTGCCTTATTGGAGGTATTGCCCTTTCACCAATGGGATTACCTATGTGGGGAAGGTGATTTGAGCGAGATACCTGACTGCTAATATCATCCTCTCCATCATTGTGTGGAGGAGCTCGTTGGTGAGAGGTGTTGCCTCTTGAAGGTGAACGTGGGTCTCGTCGCCTAGTTCGTGCATCTTGGCGATGAGTAGATTGTTGCATTCGGGACCGTGGGTCCGAGGTAGAGGAGGAGACACTTATTTGGTTCTGGACTGGCGGTGGTGCCATAGGTGACTCCACATGTGGAGCAGGTGCTGGTATCGCGTTGGGAGCATTTGCTCCCATCGTGGCGATATATTGGGTCACGGCCTTTGTGGCAGAGCGAGTTGAAACTTCTGCTATCATGCGTTGGAGCGCATCCTCGGTTATTTGAACCGTTCGAGGAGCAGGGAGTGGTGGATCGGCGAGTGGTGGGTCCCGAGGGGGATCACCTAAACCTCGCGAGGCGGATCTGCGGCACGTGGAGGAGGTGGCAAGCCAGAGCCTCCACGGATCGGGAGGTTGTTAGCTATGTCATTTTCTCTCCGAGCAGACGCCTCAGGAGGATCTTGTTGGCTACGTGATCTGGTTTGCATCGTTCCCACAGACGGCGCCAAAATGATGATGCTAGAAATAGATCACCTTAGTGAGTTGAAGTAGGATGAGCTGGAAGAGCAGAGTGGATCACTGGCTCACAAGCTTGATGACCTTGAGATGCCTGCGATCATAGAATACGTGAACTAGGTCGGGGGTTGATCCGGCGGAAACCCCTCCGACGCTCAAGTCATATGTGCGGATAGTGAAAATAGTCCACAGAATACATGTTGTAGTATTGTTCAGTTAATAGGACCTACCTGAAAGAATAAGTTCAAACCTTTATTTATAGCTTAGTTGAGATTGTCGGGCTCAAACCTTACTTGAAGGTGATTGGGCCTCGGTGATAGTGGTCTTCGATATTGGGCTCGTGGTCCAGTAGATAAATAATTTGTAGACCCATTGGATTGGACCAATTAGGCATATCATTTATAAGTAATTAAGGATAAATTAAGGATATTTGCAGGCCAAAATTAAACATTCAGGCACATTTTTTACCATTCTTCAAAAAATAAAAAGTAAAAAAACTCAAAACTCTCTCAACCTTTCGATTTTCTTTCGCAAAGCCCGTGCAAATCGTCAACAGATCGGAGGTAATTTTTACGGTTTTACGATCCTCTTGTTATGTAGATTACGAATCCGGAAAAAAAAACGAAAAAAATCACACGTTGGCCTGCTCGTGTGAATTTACACGAGCGCATCCACTGTGCTCGTGTAAATCCACACGAGCAGGCATTTTTATTATTTTTTTTTATTTTTTTTAATTGCTCGTGTAAATTAAAAACACACGAGCGGATTATTATTAATTTTTTTTTTTTTTGATTTATAAGATGCTCGTGTGTTGCGAAAGAAAATCGAAAGGTTGAGGGAGATTTGAGACTATTTACCTTTCATTTGTTTGAAGAGCGTTAAAAAATGTGCCTGAATGTTGAATTTAGGCCTGAAGACATCCGTTGATTAACTTAGAATTACTGCATCCAGGGTGATCCGGT